TTTCAAACGTCTAATTATCTTTATATCTATTTGAAAAATATTGTTTAAAAAAAATATCCAATTAAATAAATTTCAAAAATAAAAGAATAAAAATATTGAATAAAGAGAGAACTCTTAAATTTTCTCTTTATTTCATTTTTAATATAAAAAAAGCTGAAAATAAAAATGATAACAATCAAACATTTATAGCCTATTTTTTTAAAAAAATTTCATTAGACTAAAAAAATAAAAAAGAAAAAAACTCTGTTTTTTGATATACTATAATTTCATACCTACATTGCTTTTGTTAAATTTAAAAATTTTAAAATACAATGATATGTAAATGATTCAAATTCAAATAAATTTTATTTTAGATTTTATTGTAATTAAATAATAGAGTCTAATGATAAAGTGTTTAATCATATTTTAAAAAATTAAGAACATAATATATTAAAAGAATTTAAGTTCCATTTTCAACCGTTGAATTAAGGTTTTTGATTTATCTCTTAAAGAGCAATATAATACGAGAACGTATGATTAAGAACATAAAAAACTATTAATTATAAAAATTATTGGATAATAATATTACAAGATCAAGTAGAGAATATGTATACATATACATATTTTTTGAATTAAAATGCATAAAAATTAATTAAAATAATATATTAGAAATTTCAAATTAAACTAATAAGGCTACTTTAGGAAATATCATAATTCCCTCATCTATTATCGTATTTATGTAGATTATAAATTTAATTTATTATCTATTAGGTTAAAGAGAGCAAAATAATGTATATAATAAATACATGAAATATGAAATATATATTTAAATCTAACATTTAATTTGAAATATGAAATATATTTTAAATCTAAATTTAATTTAAATCCAAAATTGAATAAAATAAAAATACATATATAAAATTAAAAATTTTAATTTTCATGTAGCATTTCTAATTATATAATATTAAATAATTAAAAATAAAATATATTTAATATAAATATATAATTAACGTTAATTATCTATAAGGCATGATATTAAAATAAAATTTATTGGTGAATCGATAAAGTTATTTATTGAGCTTTTCTATATATATATATATATATATATATATATATATATATATAAAATTGAATATATATATAAAATTGAGTGCGCTATATGATAATTAAGGTTGAACCATGAGAATTTTATAAATAAATTTCTTATTAATCCTCGTAAATATTTAAAATTCCTCATATTTTAAAAAATAAAGTTAATACAATGAATGCGAATTTAGATGGTAGTTAAAATTGATAACCTTTCCATAATCCATATTCATAAATAATAGCTAATAAGGTTGAAGAGTCTAAATTCATATAAACTTGAAATCCAAATTTATAAGAAGAAATTATTTCATATAAATGATATATCTCTCATATTAAAATCTCCTACTTTCAATGTAGGATCCAGGACAAGTCTTATATTTTTGTCTTGAAACTAAAATCTTAACATAAGATTGTTAATCTGACAAGAAGGAAAAATAAATATTTAGATGAAATCATAAATATTTGTAATTGATAAATGTAGACAAGGCTGTTTTTGCCTACTTGGCTGAGGCTCTTAGCCCTTGGGAAATCCCAAATGTTACTTTTTGTTTATTTGGCATGTGTTATTCATGCTTTATGTGTAAAATATGTATACAATTTTTTAATATATGGAACCAAACATATGCCTCACTCCATCCTTCCTACCATCCTATCAATGCTTATTTTTGGTTTCCACCTACTTTTCTTTTCTTTTTTTCAATCTTTATTTGAATTATTTATTCCAAATTTAATATTTCATTTAATTTTTTTATCTAGATTCCTATTTTGAATCTCTCCAATTTGAAAATAAAATAATATAGAAAAATGAAAATTACACTCATTCTTATTAAATCATCTAAATTAATTAACAAACTTCAGCCTTTCTTAAATATCTCATTATTTAATTTGAGGACACTATGGTCAGTTCCTTTCTAAATAAAGGAAAATAAATTTCTTTTTTTTATTCGTTATATCCAAACATCCAAACACAAGGGTGAAAAATAATTATGTAATGAAAATTAATAATTTCTCATTATTTTTCATTGTTATCTTCCCTCGTCTTCTTTTCAAACAAATACTTAAAAATTTTTTTATTTATAATTATATAATAACACATTAGCTTTTAAAATTTCATTGTTATTTTAAAATTTTTATTATTCAAACAAATACTTAAAATTGCTTAGATTGTTTTGTGTGAAGTTAGATTCAAGTCATTGTAAGCTAATTATTAAACGAAATTGTTAATTAATGAATTTAATTAATTATTAAAAGTTTTGATGTGATTGTAATTTTTGAAACGTTTAAAAATTCTTTTGGTTTTTAAGCCTTTTCTTTTCTTTTTTTTTTTTTTTTTTTTTTTTTTTTATAAATCTCAAATTTATATGAGGTTGGACTTTTGGGAGCAGTATATTACACATCAAAATAAAATTCAAATAATTAATGGCCTTGAAAACATGAATTTACTTATTTTATGTTTTAAAATAAAATTGGTTGGTGAATTTGCCTGCCAGCTGGATTGACTATATTAAACTTACTGGCATTAATTAATGTTTTTTAAGAATTAAAAATTAAAAAACTAAATATTCCAAAGAAGTTAAATAAAAAAAAAAAAAAAAAAAAGTGAATCCAACCCAACCCAAACCCAAACCAAATAGTCCGGTCCAATTTTTCAGAATAATTTAAACATTCGAAAAATAGGTAGGAGTTTGGCCCTCAAAGTCAGAAATATCAAAATATGGTTAAGAAGAATATACAAACATCTTTGAAACATTGAAAGTAAATTAGGTTTCAAATTAAGAATTTATATTTTGAGCTATTTCAAATGGTAAAAAAAAAAAAAAAAAAAAGTGAATCCAACCCAACCCAAACCCAAACCAAATAGTCCGGTCCATTTTCAGAATAAATTTAACATTCGAAATAGGTAGAGTTATGGCCCTCAGAAGTCAGAAATATCAAAATATGGTAAGAAGAATTATACAACTCTTTGAAACATTGAAAGTAAAATTAGTTTCAAATTAAGAATTTATATTTTGAGCTATTTCAAATGGTTTAATTAATTTTTATACAATTTTTATTAGATAAAATTAATATTTAAATACTTCTTCGAAAAAAATAAATAAATAAACGCACAATAAAAAGTTATATATGGATACTGAAATTTTTAATTGATTTTTATAAATTTAATCTTCGTTTGTTCATTAAAAAGTAATTGATATAATGCATTGATGTTTCTTTAAATCTCAAACATTATCATAATAAATGAATATAACTTGATTTAAAAATAGAAAGTCATTTAAGTATATTTTTAAATATATATTTCTTTATTGGTAAAGAAAATTTTAATTGTGTAGGTAAACCAACTATCCTTCAAGAATCAAGAAAGGTTTATTTTTATTTGGGTCTTCATCTCTAACCTACCTAACCTTTAAATAAAGTTGAACTAGGGAATCACTAGCATAGTACAATGCAGTGGTATTTAATTATTTATGTAAGCCAACCATTTTGGTGTGACTCATTGGATTCATAACATTCATCTTGTTTATTTATTTTTTTTTTTTTAAAAACATTCTTCTTGTTTTATTTGCTTAAGTATAATTGTAATTATAATTCTTTATTATTATAATTATACTAATGAATGGAACTAAACATTTTATTTCATGTCGCGTCCTAAACACAAGATTAAAAATATATTTTTCTGTTTCTGTTCCATTCTATTCCCTATTTTATTATTCATTTTATTTTTGCGTATTAAACGTATTTTATCATCGTTGGTCATGAATGTATAAAAGATAGCTTGTATGCTTTTAATTAACTATAAAATATATATAAGCATTAAATAAAATATCAGTATTAATTAAAATGTCAATTTTAATGATCTCATTGGATATCATCGAATTCGATTCATTTAAAGATGAAGCGAAAATAGATTTTAAAAATACATCAGCCAATCCACCCTATTTATTATTATTATTTTAAGTTATAAGTCTATGTTTTCTATTTTTTGTTTAATTTTTTTAATAAAACTCAAATTCATTTTATAATTCACCCCATCTCAAGGATGAGTACATATTTAATTTCCCATAATAAATATGTGTATTATTATTATGGTTAAATCTCTTTATGTACAATGGGGCCTAAAGTACTTGCAATTTGTTGAGCATTAATAGCCAATATTAAGTTGCAAATTTTTAGGAGCAACTATTTATTGAACAAATAATAATAATAATAACAACTACTTTTTTTTTTTCTTTTTTTGGTTTTAGCACCGTTCCTTTTATTTTTATTTTTTGAATACTGAAAAAGAGGATTTGAATTTAAATTTATTATTAAATCGTGTATGTACTTACCATTAACTCATGTTTTAGTATAAAATTATTGATAGATTAACAATTTTTGTTGGTCCCAACCCAAATTCAAAATTAGGGTATAATTAGTGTTAGAAGGATTACTATTGATAGTTAGATAGTCCGTCCTTAAAAGCTTAAAATATTCACTATTAAAAGAAATTTATCTGAATATCATCTAGACTGTCGAATAAATGTGTGTAAAAAAATATAAAAAAATTAAATTAGTCGACAAATTTTATTTATAAAATTGAACATTAAATATTTAAAATTGCTACTATTAAAATGATTTTTACTTAATTACCATCCGATTGAACCCAAAGACACGAAAAGAAAATAAAAAGAAAGAATAGAGAAATCTGGACTACTCGACTGCTCGCGCTGTTATTCCCGTTAATGACAGTTACAAAGCCCCGTCTGTTAGAACATGTACTAAAAACTTATCCTGCGTGGCATGAAATTAGCCAATGCCACCGTGGTAAAAAATTTCTTTTAAGTGGGTCCCTAAAACAGAATTTTCTCCTGCTAAAGAAAAGAAGAAAAAATTAATTAATTAATTATCGATTAAATTATTCAATCAATTATTATTTATTATTATTTTATCGCATTTTCAGTTTCTCGAATTTTAATCGCAAATCTCCCCTGTGACCATCTGCTTCAAATTTTGTTCTCTGTTTTATTAAATACTATTAAACCCAGAAAAAGCTTTGATCAAAATTAAACAAAGGGCCAAAAGACCAAAAGAAGAATTAAAGAGAATTCAACAAAGGAGAAAAGGAAAGAGGAAAAGAAAAAGGAAAGGAGATTGAAACTGTTTGCTTTGTTTCTATAGATGCTTGATTTCTTTGTAGAATTCAAAGGAAAGGCTTTGGTGCATAGAATCTACGATATGGGTTTTGGTGGTGATGCCCTGTGGGGCCTCTCTTTCTGGAAAAATAAGATGAGGTGAGTGCTTTTTGATTGTTCTATATAAACTTGGATTATTATGCCATGACGGGTTGTGTTTTTTTTCCGTGATTGTTTTTGATCTCAAGGCGATTTTTTTCAAATTTTATATTTTTGTTGTTTTGGTGGGTTTGTGGTTCAATTTGAGATGCTGGTTATGTGTTTTGGAGTGGGGACGTAGAATTGTGATGAGTACTGGGTTCTGATAGGTACTTCTGTTTTTTTTTGGGTCTGAACTCTGAATTTGGGGTTTTGGGTTTTAATTTTGCTAAATTTGGTGTCTTTTACATCCTTAAATTTTCATTATCGTTTATATTCTTATTCTGTATATCTTCTTTCGAGGTTTTAATACTCGATTCTGTCATTTTTTGTTGGCATTTTTTTCAAATTGTAATAAGTTTCACATACAAGCTCTTGAATTTTAGTACCAAGTATTTGCTTTGCTTGATTAGTCATCTAAGTTTAGATTATAGTACTCCATCATTTACCATGTCAAGTCTTCTAAAGCTTGCACTTAGTATCTTACATTGAGGTTCTAATTGCTGGAGTTGGTGCTTGAAGATCATTGACTTTGGTGAACAAGGTATGAAGAGTAAATTTAGGGTAAAACGGCAAGGGAGAGGCATAATTCGTCAAAATTTAGGAAAGGTAATGAAGTGCCTCTGCTCTGGAGAGCAATCAAGGCCAGTAGATGAAATGGTACCTTCATCTGAATCTCTTGCAACGAAGGATTATTCATTGGGTGGTTATTCTTCTAAAAATGGTGAAACCAACCAGAAGCCAGATACCAGCAATATAGAAGAAGCTGAATTAACTCTCCGTGAAAGTGGCTCTTTGAACTATGAGGTTTATTTCTTCCACTCTGTAGCTTTTAACTATTGTTACTGCTCGATCAATTTGTCTGGTTCTATTTGGTTCTCATTCAAAGTGAGTTGGCATCTCTTAGCAAACCTAAGAAGCTGTACTGTGTTGTGATTTTTTTTTTCTCAAACTTGAGAATAATTATATATGGCAATTTTCACAAACTTTTCAATGGTTTCAGGTGTATTGATAATTTTTGTTTTTGTTCAAGAATCATTAGATCACAACATTCATCTGATCACCCTTATATTTCATACAAAGTTAGATACCTGACTCATTCGAAAGCTTTGAATAACCCTTTTGGTTAGCATGTTCTAGTTAAGGTTAATTCTTCTGTTGGATCATCTTAACTTCTTTACCATATCATTCAATTACATACTCTGAGTGGCTTTTTTTGCTATGCCACAAGTGCAGAATCTGAAGGACTGATGAGCACTTAAAACGCTCTTGCATGTCTGGAAAGAGTAGGATTGGTTCATGCTTAATGAACCGTATTTTAACTAAATCCTGCTCAAAGTCATAGACTGGATTCCTTGCCTTCGTTTTTATAATGTCATAAAGCCGTTACCTTTATCATCCATAATAGGTTCTCTTACTGGATAATCTTTAACTTTGTATACAGTTTGAGCTGCCTGTTCATTTATCATGTATGCAATTTTTTCTTTTCCTCCCTTCTCAATTTGTCAATTTATGAATCTCAGTCGGTGAATCATATACATGCTTCTTGATTTGTAGCCTAAAAGACGATTGATATAAATAAGCAAGCTAGGTGGATGATTTTCATGATTGTCTGTCTCTTTTAAGATGAAGATGTCTGCAATTTACAGGAAGCAAGAGCATTACTGGGAAGAATTGAATATCAAAAAGGAAACATAGAAGCTGCTTTACATGTGTTTGAAGGAATAGATATTGCTGCATTAACTCCCAAGATGAAAGTTGCTCTTGCTAGAAAGGAAGAGTCCCGAAAGAGACATTCACAATTTTCTACCCCACCAATGTCTGTACATGCTGTCAGTTTGTTACTGGAAGCAGTCTTCCTTAAAGCAAAATCACTGCAACATCTTGGGAGGTTTAATGGTACTTTCCATTTACCAATTCATGCATATGTTACCACCTGCTTTTGAATTCTTTTGAGCTCTATCTTCATAATTTGTGTTTTTTAATTTATATTCCTTGATGAATATTTTAGCTTTAATATTTTTTTCTCTGGATGTGTTGGACTTACATAACATGTTTCTTGTGTTTTGATTTCATGCATTGTTCATCATATAGCAACATAGTGAATAAAAAAGAATGTTCTGTTATGTTTTATCAAGAGAAGGTGATATTTTTGCTATTAGATGTTCTGAGAAAAATTAATGAGAATTGCATATAACAAGCCCATATGTCTGTGTAAGAGTTTGTATAGATTCAATTAATCTGAGAAAACCATTAGCTTTACATTACTCTTTCAAGTTGATTGTTTCATACATGCATATGCACGACTCCTTACATACTCATTTTATATGAAAGAGAACTATAAGGATGAGAACAAAAAGTACAAATTGATGAGATGTACATAACAATCAAACAAATATTCTGTGGCTAATGTGTATTTCGAATCATTCTTGCAGAAGCTGCTCAATCTTGCAAAGTTATTCTGGACATTGTTGAAACTTCATTACCAGAAGGCTTGCCTGAAAACTTTGCTGCTGACTGTAAATTGCAGGAGACTCTAAGCAAGGCCGTTGAGTTGCTTCCACAGCTATGGAAACTTGCTGATTCTCCACGTGAAGCAATCATGTCATACCGTCGGGCTCTCCTCCATCATTGGAGTCTTGATGCAGAGACAACTGCAAGGATTCAGAAGGCATTCGCCATTTTTCTTCTGTATAGTGGAGGTGAAGCAAGCCCCCCAGACCTTCGCTCTCAGATGGACAGTTCATTTGTACCTAGAAACAATATAGAAGAGGCTGTACTTCTATTAATGATATTACTTAGGAAAGTTTCTCTTAAACGAATTGAATGGGATGAATCAATCTTGGATCACCTCTCTTTTGCTCTCACAGTGTCAGGGGATTTACGGGCATTAGCCAGTCAAGTTGAGGAGTTGCCTCCCGGTATTATTGATAAGAGAGAAATGTACTATATGCTAGCTCTTTGCTACCATGGTGCTGGTGAGGATTTGGCTGCTCTGAATCTACTCAGAAAATTGTTACATGCTAGAGGGGACCCAAAGTGTGTTCCTGCATTGCTAATGGCATCAAAGGTTTGTGGGACTACCCCTAAACTTGCTGAAGAAGGAATAAATTATTCCCGTAAAGCCCTTGAAAACTTGGAAAGTGGATGCGACCAATGGGAAAGTACTGCTAATTGTTTGTTGGGTGTCTCACTTTCTGCACATTCTAAATTAGCAGTTGCTGATTCTGAAAGGGTCAAGAGACAATCTGAGGCACTGCAGATCCTGGAATCAGCAGGAAAAATGACAAGGATGGAAGACTCCCATATTGTTTACCATCTTTGTGTAGAAAATGCAGAGCAAAGGAAACTAGATACTGCACTTTACTATGCAAAGCGCTTCTTGAAACTGGAAAGTGGAGCGAATATTAAAGGATGGTTACTATTGGCCAGGATCTTGTCAGCTCAGAAACGATATTTGGACGCTGAAGCTGTTATCTGTGCTGTCTTGGATCAGAGTGTGAAATGGGATCAGGGAGAACTGTTGAGAACTCATGCTAAACTTCAAATTGCGCAGGGTCAGTTAAAGAATGCTATTAAGACTTATGCACAGCTTCTTGCGATCCTTCAAGTTCAGAATAAGAGCTTTGGTTCTGGGAAGAAGGTACATAAGGTTTGTCACTTGATCCGCAGCCCCATTAGCTTAATCATAAATATTATGTAATCCTAATTGAAACACTTTTGACATCTATATCTTCTTCCATCATGATTATCAGTTGAAAAGGATTTTGTTTAGCGGAATACTGGGATGCTGGGAGGGGAAAAGTGGGGGAAATGACATTGTGGGGGTGATGTTTACGAAAAATTCCATAGATTAGATTGGAAGTCAAATTTTGGTAATGCTGGATATTTTGTTAACAACAATTTTTTAGACTGATCATTGTATTCCCCTTTTTCCCCAACAATTTGTTGAGAAAATTTGCTGCATGACCCATTAATCTATTCTAATAATTTTTCCAAACCTTTTGTATAAATTTTGGTAGGGCAATGGAAAATCTGCTAGAAGTTTGGAATTGGATGTTTGGCATGATCTGGCTTCTGTGTACATAAACCTTTCACAGTGGCGTGATGCTGAGATTTGTCTTTCCAAATCCAAGGCCATCAGTTCTTACTCAGCTTCAAGATATCATACCACTGGTACATTCACATATCACTTTTGGGTTTATTAAATCTTCTATGCATCAATTAATTGGAGTGCTCAAGCAATAGTTTGCAATAATATGCTTGGCACTAAAGGGCCCTCTTAAGTTGAAAACTTGAAGTTGTGGTGTCTTGATTGGAGAAGCTAATAACAAACAGGGATTGATGGGCGCATGAAAAAGCTCTCTTTTTTTCTTTTTCTTTTTTTTTTTTTTTAAATATTCATTAGGATGCTCAATTGTTGGAACGATATTGTTATAGCCTTCCTCTTTTAAATTTATTATAATTACCACAATATTGGTAGGAGGATGTTAAGTGGAATGTGTGTTCATACAAAGTTGGACAATATTAGAAATGACCATTACCGACGAAAAGTAAGTAGCACAAGTTGGGGATAGGAGCATTACCGAGTTTTTGTTACATGAGTAGGACTTGTACATAGGACCTTTTGATTCCCAAAGGTTCTGTTTTAGCCACTAGGCTGAGGAATAGGCTAAGGAAAAACTATTTATTTGTTATTGAAGTATTCAACTTGCATATCATAGCTTCTGCCCATGCAAAATCCAAGCCAAGAACAAAAGCTATTCTTCCTCTACCATGTCTATCACGAATCTTTTCTCGATGGCTAAGATTTTATTTTTTTGTTTTTTACTTTCTTTTTTTGGTACATCAGAAAAGAAAGATTTCAATTTCTTTGCTAAAGCCAAAAATGGGCATTTTCATGATTGCCATATGGCACTTTTGTTTCAGTTACGCTGTCGGTCTCAAAGTTGTCAATTGCAATAGTTCCAAGGTGAATGTATTGCGCCATAGCGATCTTCTCTTTGCATCCGTAGTTAGAATAGAGCAGAGGGAACTGGGAAGGAGAGAATGTGGTTATTTTCTTTGTGTTTTCCGCAAACTCAAAAAATCATGGCAGAATCTGTTCTTATTGCCTAGTTTGGTTCAGAACTTGATTTATTATTATTATTATTATTATTATTATTATTATTATATTGCAGGTCTACTTTATAGAAAAAAAGGCCTACACAAAGAAGCTCTAAAAGCCTTCCGTGGTGCTCTGGAAATTGATCCAGACCATGCCCCGAGCTTGGTATCTATGGCTGTGGTACTCAAACAGCTCGGTAGCCAATCAAATGAAGTAATCAGAGGCTTTCTAATGGACGCTCTACGGCTTGACAGAATGAATCCATCTGCATGGCATAATCTTGGCTTGCTTTATAAATCCGAAGGTAGTGCATCCTCTTTCCAAGAAGCAGCTGAGTGTTTTGAAGCTGCAGCTTTTCTTGAAGAGTCGGCACCTGTTCAACCTTTCAGGTGACCAACACTTTCAAGAAGTTCTACTCTCTGCAAATTACACATTCTTTTGTATTTTCCCCAAATATGTAACTGTAATACAAGTTTTGTATACTATAGCATACAATGCAATAGGAAATAAAATGAAAATTTACTTTAAGGTTCTCTAGATTGTCCAACTTGTTCTGATATATTTGGTAATGAATAGTGTGATTAAAGTGGCCAAATGAAAATATGAGCCATAAATCCCTTCCTAGTGCCATTTTAGAAGCCTTCAAAGAAGGATGAAAATTTTATAATCAGTATTTGAAAATTGCACCACTAGTGGGTTAAAATAAGAATTGGGCTAATAATCAATTCAAATATTTTAATTTAATTTTTTTTATACATAACAGGTCTAATGAACCACAACAGCGTTGTGGCCTATTCTCTTTAAATAATATTTACTAAATTGGTGATAACTTTTATGATAAAAAGATTTCGAATTTGAATCCTCTCAATATCTACATTTTCTAGGCCAATTAGTTTGAATATTTTTAATTTTATTTTAAAACTTATTAATTATATGTTTTGTACTAATTTTTGATCGAGTCAATCCAATTGAACCAATTATGGATCGATCCGGTTTTAAAAACACTGCTTGTAACGGTCCTATGATGCTAAAGAAAAATGAATTGCAAAAACCAAAGCAGGAAATAAAGAAATAAAGATTAAAGCTTTGGCGGTCACAGGTTACATTACTAAAGAGTTAAGACGGGATTCACGAGAAAAGCTTTGGTGTCATGAATGCATATTTATGGGATATGTTCAGATAGTTGAAGAACCATTGTATTACTCAGCGGATGCAGAAGAAGGAATCCCACAAACAAAATTTTAGTCAAAGATTAGCTGAATTGGAAAAAAAAATAAAAAACAAAGAAAAAAAAAAATCTCATTTTAGTTTTGAGTTTTGATTTTTTTTTTTTCTAATTTAGTTTGGCTAATGGCAACAAGAAACATTCGTCTATCGCGCCGAGATTAGTTGATTTATGGCCGTATTAGATTAGTCCACGTGGCTTGTCTTCTTAATCATCTCATACATTCATAATTCATTTTCTCTCTTTGTGGCTTTACACATTATTTTGCCTTTCTTTTTCTTCTTCTTCTTCTAAAAATAAAACTCCTTTCTCTTATTATAGCCTTGTATTTCACAAATTAATTTTTTTTCTTAGCCTAAAATTTTATAATATATAAAAAAAATTATTAGCAAGTACATTGCACAATATGATAATTCTAAATTTAGATAATAATTATAATTATAAATTTAGATATAAGTAGGTTTTATTATGTCTCTTATACTAAATTGATGGATGGTAAATACTAAATAGAATTGTTTTTTTAATTTTGGTTTTAAGATGCTATGATAGAATTTTCAGATTGTATAATTGATAGTAAATAATTTAATTTTATTAGCAAATTCACAAAATCAAAATGAAATTTATTTGAATTTTGAAAAAATCATACAAGAATTAAATGAATTTGAAAGGACGATAATGCAAGATTGCTTTTCTTTTTGGTTTGGCTCCAGTGTCCACTTTAAAGCCGACATTGCTCCACTTGAAATTAGGACAGGACAAAGACAAACGACCAAACGTAGAACTGTTGCAGAGAGAGAACAACAAAGCGTTCACTGCTTGGTGTCTGTACTTTGTTGGGGTCTCTTGTCTTAGTTAAACCTTTCAATCGCAATTCCTGTCCTTTTGGATTTCAAGTTATAAACTTGAAAAGAGGGTTTTAGTAGTTTTGTCATAATAGAGAGAGATGGAGAGTGGGAAGGGAGTGGAAGCAGGACCGTCCACAATAGGTGGTGTAGGTGAGAAACAAGAGGAAATGGCAGAAAAACCAGTTATTGAAAATGATGAAACTGAGGAAGAGGAGGAAGATAATGGGGTTCCTGTTGCTGGCTTTGTACCTGGGCCTTTACTGTCTCTCAAGGAGCAGATTGAGAAAGACAAGGTTTTTTCTTCTTCTTTTTCCTATTTTTTTAATTTTTGCAGACACTGTAATCTTTAGTATAATTGGAGTTGCAGCAATTTTCTCCCTTAATTTTGGTGAAGTTTTTATTTTGGATGACTATAAAATATAAAATTTTACTAGAAATTAGCGTAATTCAGTGTTTGTTCCAATTTGGAAGCCAATGTTTGGTCTTTATTAGCAGCAACTACTGGAACCATTATTCTTTCAGTTGTGACTTTATGATCCTAATATTTTCTCTCTTGTCAATGTTTTTAATTGGGGTTTTTTTGATACTTGGATCTTCTATTATGATTATTTGAATATTTTTTCCTGGTTGCGTCCTAATTAGTTTTTGGAACTAAGACTGATTGTCAATTATCAATAAAGAAAGATAAATTATCTTCTGGCACTAAAATAATTTTAGCCTTTAACTGGTAGTGTTAAGTTTATTTTGTTTATGTTTGCATTCTAGAAGGTTTGTTTAAGTGTTTCTTATAATCATTATATTCGAATGATAACAAAATGGATGAGTAGCTACCGATTTCTGTGGCATACTGTTCTACAAATTTGAAATGAAATTGCATTGCAGGATGATGATAGCTTAAGGAGGTGGAAAGAGAAGCTGCTTGGTTGTGTAGAAAGTGATTTAAATGGTTTGTTTAAAGGAGGCCTTCTATTTTCATTGTCTTTTGTCCTTTGTATGAGTTTGCGTGCTTCAAGTTATTATGAGTTTATATTTCCTTTTTTTCAGGCCAAATGGAACCTGAAGTGAAATTTCACTCCATAGGAATCATATCTAATGACATTGGGGAAATAAACACTCCCTTGCCTATCGATGAGAATCGGAGTGGCCGTGTCCTTTTTACTCTTCCCGAAGGATCTCAATATCAGCTTAGGCTAACTTTCAGTGTTCTGCATAACATTGTTTCTGGCCTAATGTACTCAAATACGGTGTGGAAAGGGGGACTCCAAGGTGCAGAATCATTTTGTTCCTTGCATTCGAAACTAAAATCTTGTAGACTTATCCAATCTACTTTTAAGAATAATTGCCACTCAACCTCATAAATAATCCCAAAGTATCTTTAGGCCATTTGGCTTGGTTTACAGTACTTCTGAAAACAAATAAATGAAACATTATTTAGTGTTATTTTTCACTTTTCAGCTTGCTGCCCTTCAGTTTCATGTCAGTGTATGTAGTCCTTGAACTTTAAGATTGGAGTGAATTATTTTTCTTGCTTTGTCAGTAGCTAGAAAGTTGGGGAAGTATATCTGAACTGCAACCAGAAAATGTCAGCTGAAATTATAATAAAGGAAAGAAATGTGCTTTTTAACCAAATGTGGTGCTGTTTGGTAATAAAGGTCCTTTTTTGAATCCAGTCACTTCAGTTCGAACATCAAAATGTGTCATCAGATAGAACAATGTCATGAGCTTGAAATGGTAGAACTACTGGTTGCCAGAAAATGATTGATTTTTGTTGTTGTCCTGGCATAGGATTTGATTTATTATTATTACATTTAGTAGTCTACAATTTATTGTTGTTTTGCATTGATTGTCAGTTGATCGAAACAAGGGAATGTTGGGTACTTTTGCTCCTCAACGGGAACCATATGTGCATACTTTGGAGGAGGAGACTACTCCTTCTGGTATACTGGCAAGGGGAATTTACTCAGCTAAGCTTAAGGTACATTCAGCTGCAGATTTGTTATTAAACCGTTGAGTTATGCCTATTGTGGTCAGTTTATGCTTTTTAGAAATCCAGTTATTTCAATACACGGGCTTCTCTTTCATTTTGATCTCTTTTCGCCTGGGGAGTTGGTTGGTTTGGTTAGGTTGGGATGACCAATTTTCCCCATGCAACCTTGTTTTTTATTTGTATGGGGAAAATGCCAAACTGAAGCTGAATTTTGGTTCTTATCAGGACAAGAGAAGTCTTAATGGCAATGGTCATGAAAATTATTACAAATCATTTGGCCAAGAAAAGCATTACAAACCATATCTAATTTAGTTAAACTAGGAAAGATGCTATTGATTGTTATTGCAACAAAGGGTAAATGCTAAAGAACAACTAGGAAATGTGTATGTATCAGAATGGTTAATCCAGAATACGAATGTAATCTGCCACTGCATTACAACAATTTTACTATTGTCATTACTGTTGAACTTAGAAAAAAAGGACTTAAATTGTTCTTCTGTTTCTTGCAGTTCGAAGATGATGATAGAAGATGTCATATGGAACTAAAATATTCCTTCGAGATAAAAAAGAGCAGCTAGCCAATAATTTTCTACACAACTTCTGTTGTGTTTATGCTTCAATTTCTTTTCCCTATGGATTTTCAACCTCACGGATTCATGAACCTATATGTTAAATTTAGATGTGTGGGTTTGAGGGAAATATACTCTTTTCCATTAAAGTTCACAATTTCTAACCACAATTTTCAATCTTTCATACTCAGATTTTTGCCTGAATTTCTTTTGTTTGAACAAGGATAATGTTTTTGAGGCATGCACATAGCCTAATTTGGTGTTTTATTATTAAAGGTACAAGAAGCCATGGAAAATCCAAGATTTTGAATTGAAGAGCTGTAGGCTCTACAAATTTAAAAGAATGATTCTATACAAAAAAATACTTAATGATTTCAATACAAAGGTTCAAAATTCCAATTTTACCTCATAACTCCTTTATTTGTTTGACAATTACAGAACAATCCTTCTCTTTTCTTTTTGTCCTAGCCTTTCCAAGGATTTAAGGCAATTGAACAAACATTGTTTTTACAAACTACTGAGAAAATCTTCCAGTTACATTGCAAACCATGCCATGCATCCACTTCTAGGGTCCCACAATTGCTGAACATTAAGAATCTGTTCTCTGAACAAGAAAATTCTGCTTGAAAAATACCGTCCTTAATTAAAGCATCTCATCAACTGATCTATGTTCGTGCACATACATGAAGCTACCAGGAAAGGTTAGCTATGCCCAAGTTAGGAAAGGTTGTACAGATGCAAGCATTTAACTGATAAATGCAGACATGCTGCAAGTTGCCTTACAGGTGCATGATTCTGAGTTAGAATCCCCCCTGACCGTTCCCAGGTGCAAGATCATCTCGTTTGCACATGATGCATTATGAAATGACCAAACAGCTTTTTACTTCCAACTTTCAGGAGAGTGTACAAAACCGATTGGAGCCACAATTGGCAAGAACTTGCAAAGGATAGAATACACCGTATGCTGGAAACTGAAATGACAAGAATACATCATTCTAAAAGCAGAGATGATGCAACAATTTTAATAACATCTAACTACAAATTTTTTAAATCTAAGATTTACAAGTGTGATGAGTGATATGAACCACAAATGGAAAACCAAAGGGACAGCGGACACATAGGAGAAAATATGATACTGCATTACAATGAACAAAATTCTAAAAAGCATGTTTGCTATAAACATTGGAGATATATCATTGCATATATAGCAAGCATTTCTAAGTAATGAATCAAATGAATCAGAAAATATGGAATAAAAGAAAGATATAATTTCAGAACAGTAAAAGAAGATTTCTATTTTGAATTACAGAATTCTACCATCACATAAAATTTCCAATGCATAATCGTTTTGCTGGAGGAAAAGACAGATGGCACCTTCTAATTTTACAGGTAATGCAAAAGCGTGTCAGCTGTAGAATTCTTCAACCTACAACTCTGTCCTAGGTGAACATCCCCAAAAAGGTATCTGCATGCACAACCATCAAATGAAGAGGTTAGGTAAAAATTAATAAAAAAAAAAAAGAGAATAAAAAAAAAATATTGGTCAAGATATCATTTGTGGAGAAAATACAAACCTATATTCACAGTAGTCAGGCCATGCACACCTAGCCTTTCCATAGTCCCAATAGCAGTCATCATCCCTCAAAGGTCCACGCTTAGCTATTACAAGTAATATATCAGTGGACATACTGAAGCCCTGGAGAGGAGAGAATATATAATGCAAGATTCACCTTTTGTAACAAATTTTGATTTTGCATTGGGGTGAATATCATGCCATATCTGAAGCCACAACTCTCGCATTAGAACAGGGGACCTAACAATGTTCCTGTGATTTGCTACATGAAGACAACTTTAATTTGTGAGAAAATCCTTGCTGATGCTAATTATATGCAAGGAATTACTTCAGAGAAAGAAGCCAATAAAACAGGATTGATGTAAGATCTGTCAAAAAAGGACATTGCAGAAAATAACAGGAGAATTAATATTCCAACTTTCTTTTGGATTACTTACTTTTATGTATTTGAAAAAACAGGATGCATGAATATGAAAAATACAGAAACTGCATGATCTGAGTAGTAAATTAGCTTCTCAAACAAAACGGTACTAAATATAGATATATGTAAATGTTCCTAAGACAAACCCCCAAAACGTATCCTAAATTAATTTCAGATTAAACAGAATAGATGAGTCCATTAAAAATCATGTCAAGGCTATGAGAACCACACATTTGATATGATCAATGGATACATCATCTGCGAGGTTTACGATCCTTATCTAAATTGGATCACCTCAAATGGCATAAAAGAATTATTTACTTTTGAAATTCTATGGAAGTATCACTTCAGTTGTAAATGTCTTCTCTAGTTCATTTACAGTTAAGGAAACTTTACACACCTTTATCAATCTCCCAAACTGCCGTTCTCTTTCCTGGAATACTTTCAGAATCTTCATAATATGTAACGTATTTTACCCTTGGAGACCTTGTCATGTTGGGAACTATATCTGCTTCATGCTGATGCTCTACATTCAATTCCACTTGCACATCAGATCCATCATGCTCTGACTGCAATTTTCAGAAGAATAAACAAGAAATAAAATTCAGCAAGAATTTCATTTTTGTAGCAACACATAATAGCCTCTTTAGCTGGCTTTTCACAACAATATTAGGACATAGGACATCATTCCATGAGAAAATGCCATCATTCACCATGAAAGCCATAAAACACAAAAATTTACATCACTCAGAAACATTTGAGTACTCTTATACTCTATTCCCTGAAATTAGCATATTGAAATAACTAACAAGGTAATTCCATTTAGAAATTAATGAATTAGGCATAAGGTTTAGCTAAGATGAATTAAACTTATTTGTTTTTTCACTATTTTTGCCCCCAATTTCTTTTTAACACAAGTTTTACCTCTAAATTTACATTTTTTTTTTTGACATTGTCAAAATTTTTGGATAAAACTTTTTTTGTTGTAAGAAGTTCCGCATAAACATGCGGTTATACTGCTGTGAATACCTAAACATGGTTACCAGAATGCATTGCTTCAACTTTTAGAAGGAAAGTTTGTACTTGTTAAGTATTTTTCCTCTTAGAATGTACGAAGATCATTTCTTTAGAAGCATATGTCATCAAATACACAAATATCTAGATATGCGCATATGTATTTATATAGTTATGCTGAGTACAAAATATTACAAGTTGCTGCAAGTTTTGTATCACATTGGGATTACACTGCAGTAATATGTTCCTATTTCAAATTTAAGTTTTAATTATTCCTGGCATGCAGTTCTATGCCACAGACAAGCCATATGCAGATGCAAAGATCACAGTAACCAGAATATAAGTACCTGAGGAGCTCTTGTTATGTTAACTCTGGGTCCCAGCCAGTTCTTGCAAAAAGAGAGAGAATTATATGGTACCTGGCACAGATTTGCCAAATTAATTGCTAAAGCCACAAGAAATTTCAGATAGCAAAAGATGTGATTCATGAGCTTACTGTTTCATCCCCACTTGCAGGTCCAGGATTCCCCTCAACCAGATTTCCTGACCTACAAGATGTAACAGAGGAATAGAAAGAGGTAATTTTAATCTTCAATGAAGCCAGATGTCATTAGATTATAACAATGGTCAATTTTTTTTAATGAGATGGAGCATGTTAATTTTGGAACAAAAAGACTTCGATATTGGTATAAATAAGAACAAAAGTGCTGAGAGAGGACCTAAAATTTTATTTCTTCCTGCTTATAGGGAACATGATGTTAAATCTCAACCAGTATAGCACACAGATGTGCAACTATATTCACGTGTCTATGGTCCACTAGTTAATATTACTGATGCTTACCCTAGTGGTACTGCATCTATCGACTGGGAATAGAAAGTTCAACTCCCTCTACCAAAATACTCAAAAAAAAAAAAAAAAAAAAAAATGTCATATTAGATTATAACAATGGTCCAATTTTTTAATGAGATGAGCATGTCCTTTTTCTGGAACCAAAAAGACTTCAGATATTTTGGGAGCTATTAAATAAAGAACAAAAGTTGCTGAGGAGAGACCTAAAATTTTTATTTTCTTCCTTGCTTATAGGGAACATGATGTTAAAATCTCAACCAGTATAGCACACCAGATGCAATATATATCACGTTGCCTCTATGGTGTCCACTAGTTAAATATTACTGAATTGCATATATACCACTAAAGTGGTTAATCGATGTGCAGTTCTATCGTGAGAACTGGAATACGGAAAGTTCAACTCCCTCTACCAAAATACTCAAAAAAAAAAAAAAAAAAAAAATGTTACTTTGTCCTCTCCATGTACAACTGTTCCATTCTTTTTCTCAATTGTATTTTCTTATCTTTGCAATACTCAATTTATTTCACACAGATAATACAGTAAATAACACTTAGCCTTGTATGGATAAGCATCCTTCAAAGCTCGTGAAATGGAGCATCTGTTTAATGATCCATATATCTGGCCAGGTTAAGGGTCTTGTCTCTCGAACATTGGTAAGCAAAATATGGTGACCAACGTTTTTGCCATTGCCAAGATACCAAAAACCATCATCCGCCTAGTTCATAAGAGGCGAACTATCTTAGGGATGTAAACAACTATCAAAACTATCCAAATAATAATTGGATGAACAATAGAAAATAACCAGTTAAAACAAAACAAAGGACTGACATGAACTCTTCTTCTGCGGCAAAAACAGTCTCTAAAAAAAAAAAAAAAAAAAAAATGTTACTTTGTCCTCCTCCATGTACAACTGTTCCATTCTTTCTCAATGTATTTTCTTATCTTAAAACAATCTTATCACATAAACAGTAAATAACACTTACCTTGTGATAAGAGATCCTTCAAGCTCGTAAATGACATCTGTTATGATCCAATTATCTGGGTAAGGCTTGCCACTTGGTGCAAAATAGTAACCAACCTGTTTTGCCATTGCCAAGATACCAAAACCATCATCCCCTAGTCATAAGAGCGAACTATCTTAGGGATGTAAACAACCTATCAACTATCCAAATAATAATTGATGAACATAGAAAATAACCAGTTAAAACAACAAAGACTGACATGGAACTTCTTCGGCAAAAACAGTCTCTTTCAGACAGGGGGCCAGGAGAAAGTAGAAGAGAGAGGGGGAAGGATAGAGAGAGGAAAACCAGTTGCAAACGTGATTTGAGCATGATAAAAGAGGAAGTTTTAATGTGATTTGTTCATGCAAAAAGAATACTGAAAAAGCCAGGAAACGATTAGTAACACTTCCAAATCAATCATGGGGATAAATCTTACAGAAAAAACAGCACTACATGGAAAGAGAATCCATAGGCATCTATTATTGGCTAGAAAAACAATTCACTGCAATGCAATTCCACCTGTCTAAGAGGTTCACCGAAAAAAAGAAGAATTTCATAGTCACTTCAAGAAGACAATTATACCTCAGTCTTCATATCTATTCCATAGATGCAGAAAACATTTTTAATAGGTGGTCTGTCCCAAGGTGTAAGTGGATTCAGAACAGGATCACCATGATATGACCTGAAAAAAGTACCATACTGCAAATTTAGGGATATAAGAAAGTTGAAATGTGCAAACATCATGCACACTTAATGGTTTGTCATGGACGCTGTTGACTCAAAAATATTTACAAATTGTAAAGGAAACATTTGGAAGTTTGACTGATCTATCTAGAAGTGCATGCATATCAACATAACATGGTTCAGTAAATTACTGATCAAAAAGGAAAAAAACTCTCTTCGGAAACTGCAAGTTGAACCAACATATTTCGCAGCTTCATATGATCTTGAAGGCATAAAACAATTTAGACCATTTCAAAATATGTTGATTCTCTTAGAAAATTGATTAGCAGTGGCATTTGCATTACCAGATGAATGGATCTACATGGAGCTAAGCAAATGAAAGAACTATATCTATAATTCAGAGGTGGTTGGTGGGTATTCATGTGATTATCCACCCTTGAAATAAGCATGTGCCAAAAATATTTCCTGCGCGAGTGTATTATCATTGAAAAACACTACAAATTGTTAATAACCAAAAAGATAGACTGACAAGAAAATAAAGACAACTAAAAACCTGAGACATATGAGGCATCATGAAAAAGTTTTAAAAAAAAGCGAAAGTAATATTTTCTATCAGTACAAGAAATGACAGTATTTTTAAGTTCAATGCAAATACAATCCAATATGAAAGTGAATCTTGCATCTATAAGGCAATTTGTTAGTTTACTTCCAAAGACTAATTTTTTAAAAACATCCTTATCAGCATTCGCCAAGAAATACCCACTTCTGTAATTGGTACAAGAGTCTCTTGCTATCAGAATCATAGTCCTCTATTGCTTTGAAAAAGGTTCCATCTGATACTTCACGAGCTGAAAAAGATAACTGAGTAGGGAGTCCACATTCCAGGTTAGACAAGTTGGTCTGAGTTACTTCTGTAGCTGATGGATAGGCATCAAATGCTGCAAATATGAAATTTGAATACAGCATATGACCTTTATCATAATTTCCCTTTAATGAGATTAATCTATAAATTCTTACCATGGATAGAAGGAATTTCAATGTTGACTATATTTGTTGGCCATCCAGAGTAATTAAAACGAAATTCATCTTCTTCACACTGATAGATCTGACGACTTTTCCTGGATGCCCCAGAGAAATGTTTCCAGTATGGATTTTGAGCTGTACAGTACTTTGAAGATGGTATCATCCATAATGAAGAAGCAAAAGAATTGAACATCAATCGAGCTGTGCCCTGGTACCTTGCCATAGCATGTCATAAGCAAATGTTAAACAGACATCTGAATCCAATGGCATGAGATAACAAGATAACATGATAAATGAGTAAACATCTAGCGAGCTTGCGAAATACAGTTGTTAACAGAAATTCCCCCAAGCAATTGTAATAGAACTGTAAGATTAAATAAACCCACTATGATAATTATATAAGCAAATATTCTCTTAGAAGCACTATTTATCTCATTTAGATCACTAAAATTCTCGAGATTTTGTGATATGTGCATCAGTAATTTTAAATTTGTAGCAATGCAGTTGGAATTTACTATAAAAAATGGGGGATAAATAATTCTTTATGAGTAGAAAGATGAAAATAGAATGAAGATAATTTAGTAAATAGACAACAGCACCAATTAAGAAAAGATTGCTTTCACAAACAGAGTAAATAGGTAACCTCAGAAACAGGAAGACCAAAGGTGTTTCCAAAGAGTGTTGCTTTGACTGTCTCAGTTGCACCAAGAAGAGGAGCTCCTGGAATCAAGCAACAAAGTAAGCCCAAATAAATGCCATATTTTACCAAACAAAGTCCGCCCTTTGGGCAAGAGGATTTTGAAGCAAATAAATCATACCCACAGCAAAATAGATGTGAATGTGTTCATCCAGCCATTTATTGTAATGCTTTGGGGCAATTTCTAGCTTTAACCATTCTAGAAAGTAGCGGAAGACATGGTTACCCAAAGAATGGCCAAATACAATTGAGGGTGCACCACGAAGTTTAAGAGCAGTTTCAAATGTCAACCTACAAAAGTGAAAGATAAAATCAAAAATCTCTCAAATCAAACACAAGATCTCACACAATGGTCATGAGACATGGTTCAGAAATTTGTTTTCAAAACTATTAGCACGCATTTAGTTTTCTAACAAATTCAAATTATGCACCTGAAAAGAAGTTCAGGGATAGACTAGGCATACACATAAACCAGCTGTTAATGTCAAAATCAGGCATAGTTGCACTCCATGAGATATCCCCTTGCAGCACAAAAAGAGCTACTATTTTTTAATTAATCATCAAACTAAATTCAGCTGGATTCAGATTGAGAAACAACTTTATGCGTATTATAAACACATACACCTCACCCCAATATTTGTGGCTATTCATACAGCTACTTAAAACACTTTCAAACATCGACTTTGACTTATCTATGGGAATCTAAAAGCACAAAACTTATTTCAAGAAATAAAACAGTCAAACTTACAATAGTTACAATCAGAACATAATTGCTGGTTTATAATTCGAGAATCATGGTTCTCAGTACCAAGGATAACTAGAATCGCAGAACTGCACCTAAAATTTTTCCATATCAAAGTTTTCGGAATTATCAAGTAATTTGTATGGACCAAAATACATATTGTCAGGAGTTCTTTGTTGTTGAAGCTGTAAGTTAATCACAGAAATGTAGAAAATCCTCAGATTGCATCCATCATAAACAAAAAATAAAAATTTTCCCATTCTGTCAACCAAACAACCAAATATGTATTAAAAGTTAATGTTATAGTCAATGAGCGATTTAGGAAATATACAAACTTGAGCCTGTGAAAGTAAAGGTCCCGTTCCTCAAGCATTGATGGCGCTAATCTCCAATCATAAGGAACAGCAATAATTGCATTAGCCTCAATACCAAACTCGACGCACCACTTAATCCATTCTTTCCATACAGAAGAAAGAGGACCTGAAGAGCATAAAGACTAGAAATTCACTACAATTTTCTTGTCATCAAAGAAAAGACAAAATCACTAACTTAAAATGAGCAAAGCATAAAAGAAAATACTCAAACATACCTGTTATATAACCAGGATCTAGCTCTGTAATCGCTGAAAGACCACTATCAGGCCGTGACTTGCATTCAGGATGATCAGTTTGATTGTAAGGATCGAGCATCATACACTTAAGCCAACAATTTACAGCAGAAAGAAGCTGCATCACACAAAAAGAATTATTACAATCTCCATCACAAACCGTTGAAAATTATTTAGCTACGATTTACTAACTAGCCGATATAATCTCTCAGAATTCAAAATCAAACGTAAAATGAACTTAGTTTAACTTCATTGCAGGAGCTCGAACGAACTTAGATTTAATCATTTAAATAATTTTCATGTAATGAATAAAAAGAAAACGAGAGAGAGAGAGAGAGAGAGAGAGAGAGAGAGTTACTTTGGTGGTGTCGAGCCAGACGAGGTCGAGAGGGTTAAAGTCAAGAGGAGAGTAAGGGCAGTCGAGAACAGACCAGGCTCTTAACTGAGTCGACGCGAAGCCAGGAATTATTATCCCCGACAGCTTCGAGTAGTCTAACTCTCTTCCATCACCAGAGCTTCTAGGAAGACCACCACCACCACCAATAATGATCAGAACCGCCACAACGACGGCCAGATGCCGGAGGCCTCCTCTTACCCTCATCTTTTTCTCATTTTTAGTTTCGAGAGGGAGAGATGTGCTCGATGACTCTGACTATCCGTTTGGGAGTTGAAATTTTGGTGCTCTCGTGGATGCTTCATTGGTTACAGGCCGCGATTTTTCGCTGCCATAAAACGACAGATTATCTCATCGTTTAAAAAGTGACGCAAGTTAAACGATACCGTTTTTCGCCTTTCTAAATCGACCTCGTTCAGACTTGTCTGTAATGGCGCCAAATAATATAATTGGAAAAAGCTGAACTGGTACTTTGTTTGCTTTCGTTTATCGGAGGAACCGAAGCCTGAGCGACCAGTGGCACAAAACGACTACAGAAAGCTCCAAGAAATGCCTTTTCACAAGATCCTGAATCTAAATCAATTGCCAGAAGGACGTGGTTTCGTTAGTTGCATGGAAAATTGGTTCTTATGGAATCATCTACGGTTTCTTCTAGGTTCCGGTTTAGAGACCACCGGCAACCGGAGGATTCACCCGATTCTGGCACCAGCTCTGACTTGTCTTCCGTGTCAAGCGAAAGAGACGAGGAGTCCGAGCTCGAATCTATGAGCGGTAAGGTAGGTCGCTTTTTAAATGTTTGTTTGGTTTCCGAGAAAACTGAAGTCAGAAGAGGATATGGAACTGTTTCTTATTAACAGAGTATGAATTTGTGTTTTGTTGTTTGATATTTAGGGTATAAGGCGTCTTTGTACGGAGCTGCTGGAAATAAAGGCAGCATCAGATGAAGATTTTCATAGAAATATTTTCTCTAATTATTCAGCTTTTGTTGGGTATCTTTCTTGATTTTATTGTTAATTATTCCTCTTGTTTTGATATTTTTTCAGTTATTATTATTTTTTATTTTTAAATGATTAATTTTTCATCGGTTTTGATGTCTTTCTTTAGGTTTTATGCTAAATATAAGTAATATGTAAAAAAAAAAAAAAAAAAAGAGTATTTGAATTTGTGTTTTTTTGTGGTTTGATATTTAGGGTATAAGGCGTCTTTGTACGGAGGCTGCGGAAATAAAGGCAGCATCAGATGAAGATTTTTCATAGAAATATTTTCTCTAATTATTCAGCTTTTGGTTTGGGTACTGTCTTTCTTGAGTGATTATATTTTGTTTAATTATTCCTCTTGTTTTGATATATGATTTTTCAGTTATTATTATTCTTTATTTTAATGATTAAATTTTTTCATCCGGTTTGATGTCTTTCTTTTTAGGTTTATGCCTAAAGTTATATAGTAATATGCTAAAAAAAAGAAAAAAAAAAGAAGGTAACTGGAAGACTGGATCCCTGACTTTAAAGTGCTTATAAACTAATGTATTATGGCGTTTTTCTCTTCGTTGCTGTTTTGTAATGCTTTCAGAATATGAGGACAGTTAAAAACATGGAGAAGGGAAATTGATGTATTGAGAAACCCATGTTTCAAACACAAAAGAGGCTTGTAAAAGATCTTGATTAAAAAAAAAAAAAAAAAAAAAGGTAATCTGATAGACTGATTACTTTTAATGTTATAACTAATGTATGCGTTTTTCTCTTCGTTGGCTGTTTTGTAATGCTTGCAGAATATTTGAGGAAGTAAAAGACATGGAGAAGGAATTGATGGTATTGAGAACCCATGTTTCAACACAAAAGAGGCTTGTAAAAGATCTGATTGATGGTGTTTATCAGAAAGCTTTGTCAGAGGAAACCATGGAATCAATCACAGAAAAATTGAAATGTGATGAATTATCTCCCCTAAATGAGTTGGAGGCTCGTGTCAGTAATGTTTCAGAGAACTTGGACGTGCTCTTGTCAGAAAATAGAGTTGATGAAGCTATAGCAATTTTAGAAATGGAGGAAGAAAATTTACAAAAGGTTCAGCTTGAAGACGATACCCCATTGGATGTTTTAATGCTATATAACTCTGCCATTTCTGAGAGGAAGGCCATGATTACATTGCAGTTAACGCTGGTGGCTGAAAATTCAAGAATTTCTGCTGCAGAACTTCAGAAGGCATTAGTTGGAATTTGCAGGCTGGGGAACAGTCATATAGCTACTCAGTTATTGCTCAAGTATTACCATTCGCGTCTTGCTGCTGGAATACATAATTTGCAAAGTTCAGAGTCCTTTTTACAAGGGATGTACATTAAGGAACTTTCAAATTTTGTTTTTTCTATTATTTCTCAAGCAGCAAGGAGCTTTGTAAAGCTTTATGGAGAAACATCTCCTTATGCTTCAGAATTTATCCAATGGGTTCAAGAGGAAATCGAAGTATTTGCCTTTTCTTTTACCAAATATGTTAAATCTGTCTCAGAAATAACTGATGGACTTTCTGCAGCAGTAGAAGCTGTGCAAGTTGCAATCTCATATTGCTCTTTGTTAGAAACCCAAAGATTAATGTTGCAGCCATGCTTGATCAGGCATCTTCGCAATTGCATGGAGGATGTTTTAGAGATACATATAGACCATTTTAAGAAAGTAATCAGCATCATTACATCTACCGATGCTTGGGTTTTGGGCAGATATCTTGTGTCTGGAATCCTGAATGAAGACTGCTCTTATGCTGTTGGGCAACAACCAGAATATTGCCTGCTCACTAACAGTGGCCGGAAGTTTGTAACTCTCTTGCAGGTTTGTTATTTTCTTTTTGCACCAGTTTTAATGTCAAACTGATGGAAACCAGTTTCTAAAGCGAAAAGTAAGGGCATTATAGGTGACTGGTCAGTGCCAAATGCTTGTCTGATGAAGGCAGCAGTAGCAACTTTGTTATGATCAAATACTTATAAAATATCAAAAGACCATCATGAATTGCACGTGATAAAACTATATTTTCTTTGTTTCCAGAGAACACTGATGTTTTGGATACACTAGTTTACTGTAAGTGTTGTACCACTAGGTGAAAGCTTTTACAGGATAAGTCCATTCTTTTATTGTATTCTATCCTTCTGAATAATTTTGGTGGATGAAAAATGTGGACTTCAAAAGCATAATTAGTCACTTCAAGTGAATTAAAATTCAGTATGTGATTGTTCTTTAAGCATGTTTCATGAAGTGGATGTGGGATTTTATTGTGAAATGATGAATTTGTTATTGAAGAGATAAAGGTTGACTAAAGATATTCAAGGATGCTCATGTTTGTGAGTATGCTATTGCTAATATCCGTTCATATTTTTCAGGCTATCACTCAAGAGATGATCCCTTTAGCTGCGATTCAAATGGAAGATTCCATCCTCGAAGGACTCAGTAACCTCTTCATGGAGTATATATCCATCCTGGAAAAAGCTATGAACTCTAAACTAAATGTGTCAGAAAATAGTGGTTCAAAAATAATTTTGGCAGAGTCAGTGCTGCAACAAGTTTCAATTCTGGCAAATCTATCAACTGTTAATCATTTCTTCTCTAGCACTGTTGTAAGCTTTTTCAGGGATATCAACTGTACTAATTCGGAGCTAACAGAAAACCATTCAGTGGCTTGTCAGCAGCAGGAACTTGATAGTTGTGTAATGACAATTCAAGAGGCATCTGTTCAGCTTAGAACTCAGTTCTTCCAGAAATTTATATGCAAAATATTGTCCCTTGAGGTCTGTAAATGGAACCCAGAAATACCTGTTGACCGCAAGACTGGTTCCAGCCTGGTACATGGACTGATGCCCTCTTCCTTCTTTCAGGTACCCTTTGCTTCTTTTAGAATATGAACATAATGACCTTGCATTTCAACATTTCTAGTGTACCCTTTTAGTTTCAATCTGAAAGAAGAGAAGAGGAAAAGAGAAAGAACAAAGGACTTTTTCAATTCAGGATAATGAATGTATGTTCATATGCTTATCTTAGTGTTTTCCCTGTCCTAGTAGCTCTTTTTGGTCCATTTTGTAAATCATCTATATGAAAAAAAATATTCTGCTGAAGCTGTCTTGTCTCAATTGATTCTGTAATGATTAGGACATGAAGTACATTATTGTATTTTATAAGAGAATTAGGCTGTTCTAATGCATAAGGCCTCTCATTTTCTATCCTGTAGTGGAAGCAGCCCCCGGTACAAAAATACATTCTATCTGATTGCATCATTGGTGATATTAGTGTCCTTCCTGTTTGATTTCATTTTCAGCCCTTTTCTCTGTTCCACTGACCTAATCATATTGTTTTTCCTGCCTCTGTTGATGTACTGTCTATGTTGAATCTTCTGTTGAAGGCTTGAAGCATAAATTGGACTCCCTCAGAAACATATAGGATAATGTTTGATGCATAGTCTATTACTGAAATAATTCGATAACAAAATAATTTTGCTTATTTATTTATTTTGTCGCTGATTTGGTTCTCTGGTGACTCTGCTTCTATTATGTTGCTGTTTTGGCTTTAAATTTTCCAGAGTTGTTGGTTCTCCATCAGATTGTTTTTATTTTTGTAGTTCTTTTCTCCTCCCTTTATCTCTTGAATTAGCTTTTATTAAATTCTAACAAAGAATCTTTAAAGTTTTCTATGAATCAATCAATTTCCATTAACTTTCTGTAGACCACATTCTCCTCATACAGTTTCCATTTTGTTGTACACAAGTTATTGTTTTTAGAACTGCGGAAATTAGATAAACTTGCAGAAGACAATGTTTTTGAAGTGGATTGGTTGATGGAATTATCAAGAGACCTAATTAAGGCAGTTTTCATCTGGATTTCAAACAACAAAGAGATTTGGGAAATTAAAGAAAACTTGACTTTCCAACATTCTGATGTTTTGAATCAGGTATATTAATTTTTGCACTTAGAGAATTTCTGGCAGCATATTCTGGTGGCAAAATTTGTTTTAAGATAAGCATGTGGTATTTCAGTCATTGTTACCATGGTGCTTTATCATTTTGCTGAATTGATTCGTTCATGTCCATGTGCATAGAGCAGTTTGTGCTAGATACGCATTTTCTGGCAGCAGTCACAAAGTACGAAGAATACTTTCCCAACAGTCCCTTGGCTCTCTCAACTCTCTTGAAATCAGCCTTTGTTTCTGTTGGACTAGATCCTGTAAGGTAATGTTCTAAGTTGATATGCTGCTTATCACTCCTGAAGAAATATTATTGAGAGAGAGGAGAAGAAAAGAAAGAAAATAGGCAGCTAATATTATTTTGGAAGATTATGGTTAGATTGTGGGTTACTAAGGAAGGTTAAAACCTGTAAGTCAAATTATTTATATATCTTCACTGTTCAAGAGGTTCTCTATTGCATCAATTCGTGGTGTCCTATCAATAAACTGTGATTCTGAAGGCATATCAGCACCTGGAAAAACAACAAAATGTTCTTTGTTGCAAGTATTTCAAAATTCTAATTACTGCATTACACTGTATAAAAAGGGATGAAAGTGTCAGTATATGACACCAGAGGTGTTACTTGTAAAAAGAGTGGTTTCACAGCTCGCTTTGTGTTTGTCTTCAACAACTAGAAATTCATCTATGCTTTATATAAGAGTAACATGTTTTTAGATATACTGATTAATTTGCATGCCTTAGAAAACATTGTATTCGTTTTTATGCTTAGGGGTAAAGCTTTCGCCCAGAGAAATTTCCTTACATTATCCACAACATAGGACGTCTAAAGAAAAGAGAAAACAATTAAGATTTTAGGACAATCAGAAATTACAGGTTTTAATTTGAGTTTCTTTTGATTGATTCCACATTGTTGCTTGGCAAAAATTGAGGCCCCCCTAGAGATGACAGTTTCAAGTTATCTTTTGCAGAGATGTTGAAGATGACGGGTGGGCTATAAAAGCTGCAGCTGAGGCAATTCAATGGCTGTTGGAGATAGAGAAAACCGAATTGCCTTCAAACTATGAGCTTGTTAATGATTATGTAGAACCACCTGAAAACCATTCTGAGCATGGAAGTGAAACTGTTATGGATGATGCTAGAAGTTCTTTTGAGTTTTTTCCAGTGTCAGAAGAGGATGCAGAAGCCATAGAGGCATCAGAAGTTGCCACCAGGAAACAAAAAGCGAAATTGATAAAAGAATTGGATTATTTTGTGTGGTCACAAGATGCTATGGAAGACAAGGGTTGTAATGTTGAAAGGAGTGCAGCAACACATCCCTTAGACTCTTCTGGAGACTTGGAAGATATTGAATCAAAAAATGTGGCATCTGATAGATTTCATTTTGCACAAGAAACTACTTTATCAGATCTGTTGTTATCTGTGGATAATGGAGAAACTTCTGAAGAAGGATTCCCCACTGAAGTGAGTAGGAGCACTTAAAGTTTTGACTCGGCCTGCAAGGTGAGGATGAACCAGACAGCTTGAAATTGGCTGCCTGTTTTCCATTAAAGATTGTAACAAGATTCTGCAGATAACAGTTTGGCTAGCATTCTAAGCCTTAGATCATCGATGATGAAGTAATGGAAGTGTAGAAGACAACGGTAGCGAACTGTCAATGACTCGTAAGATTGAAATGCAATTTTGAGTTTACAATTACGATATGGTTTTGTTCTACGTATGTTGTTTTAATCTTAAAATTATAAACTGAACTGATAATTCAGTTTCTTTAAATTAGATCACAATTTGTGATCTTGAATCGGTTATGATTGATTTGATGGTTTACATGGGTTTTTTTTTTTTTTTTTTGAGCACTTTAAAGTTTTACTCGGCCTGCAAGGTGAGGATGAACCAGACAGCTTGAAATTGGGTGCCTGTTTTCCATTAAAGATTGATAACAAGATTCTGCAGAATAACAGTGGCTAACTATTCTAAAAGCCTGAGCTAGATCATCGATGATGAAGTAATCGGATGTGTAAGAGAGAGGACATAATACACTTAGGTAGCGGAAACTGTCAATGAATCGTAAGATTGAATGGTCAAATTTTGAGTTTACAATTACGATATGGTTTGTTTGTCTCTACGTATGTTGTTTAATCTTAAAATCTCAACGTTTAAACTGAACTGATAATTCAGTTCTTTAAATTAGATGTGTGCGAGCCCACATTTGTTGAATCTTGAATCGGTTATTGATTGATTTGATGGTTTACATGGGTTTTTTTTTTTTTTTTTTTTTGGTTTAAAAGCGCATCCCCAAATCTAACAATATTTTAGGAAAATAATCTTATTTTTTGAAAACATTTCTGTGTAATTGTTGTGAATTATTTTACACATTTTTCAAAGTACATTTATAGGATCTTTTTTATGTTTTTTCTCAGTTATATTGAACAAAACTAATAAGTGTAATAATATTTTAACTTGTGATATAGAATATTTATGATAAAAGAAATTCATATCTAAATTTATTATTATAATATATAAAAAATATATATAAATGAATAATATTATGTTGTTGCTACTTTGCTAGTAACCCGTGCGCGGTGAATAATAAATTAATTAAAAATTGAAGTTATATGGTATATATAAATGATATATTATGGTTGTTGCTACTTGCTAGTAACCCGTGGCGGTGAATAATAAATTAATAAAATTGAAGTTATATGGATATAATAAGTTTGATAGTATTATAAAAATATTTTCTTCACTTAAAAATATAAAATTATTTTCTTTAAAATGATTTAATTCTATTTTGACCAATAAAATAATCTTTATTCTCTGATTTTTTCCCGTACTCCAAAACTAGAGCCGTCACTATTACTCCAAAAATATGTGTTTTTATTCATATAGTTTAGAATTGGGTCTTCGCATACGCAAACATTAAAAAATATGAAAAAAAGTATTTGTTTTTTAATGAAAAAAAAAATATTTGTATGAATATTTTTTCTAAAAAAAAATGCGCATATAATTTATCAACGAATTATACTATTACTCTTTCTGTCCCCAATTGATAAATACATTTTTCTTTTTTATTTGTCTCAAATTATAGCTCACTCAAAAAATTGAAATTTTTTATTAATGGACCATTTTAATAAGTTAATTAATATGTTAAATCTATATTATACTCATATTTAATGTTACTTATTAAAAATAATTGTTTTATTTTTATCAATTACTCTTCAATTTCCAATTTCCAATGTCATCATTTATTAATAATCACTTCGAAATTTGAAAACGTGAGTATTTACTAAATTTAGTCATTTTCAATATATACACCTTAGATAATTAATTAATCTTGGTAGATGAAAAAATCAATAATAGATTAATGAATATATTTAATGTTAAAGTAAGAATATAATAAAAAAATGCACATAAAATTACATTTTTAACAAAAATAACTGGTTTTTCTTAATTCTCGTAAAACGGAAAGCGTGCTAATCAGTTGGGAAGAGAAGGAGCATCGTGTTTATAGGCTTAATGTATATTTTCACGTTGAACTTTGCATTGTATTGCAATTTCACTATATTTTAATTTTTATATCAATTTCACAGTGAATTTTAATATTTTATTACAGTAACACCTTAAATCGCAATTAGAATTTAAATTGCAAATAAAAAGTACATTAATATAGAATGTACTATTGACTTTTTTTTTTTTTTAACTTAATCCGAGCTTTCTTACTTATTTAAGTTTGTTAAGTTTAATTGTTGTCTTGCATTATAAAGTAAATTAAATTTAATTGTTGTCAAGCATTATATAAATTTGTTAAGCTTTCTTACTCATATAGAACGTCCTCTTGACTTTGTTTCCATCCTATAATTATAAATTATAATTGATTTTAATTGAATTTTATACATATATTGATAAAAAATCACTTATAACTTTTAATAGTTTAATATTGAGCTATTATTCTTAGTTGTTATAATTATTTCAAAATTTTTATATTAAAAATAAACAATAATAACAATTAATTTACTTTAAAGAAGTACTCTAACTTTTTTAAAAGGGACGTCTATGTATCAAATAATGAATTTTTATTTATTACTTATTAATAAGTAAATAAATAATTGAAAAATATTAAAAAATAATAATGATGGTTTTCCTTACTATTAACCTAAGCTTATCCACTTAAATAAAATTATTAAATTAATCCAAGTTTAAAGTTAAGAATGGCTCCGTAATAATATATTTTTACTAATTGTCTAGAGTGCTGGAAGGTCAAAATTCAAAATAAAATTAATATAAAAATAAAAAATTGAGGGTGAAATAAAATATTCGCCGGTATTTATATGAATTAGAATATTTTCACGATAGAGGGAAAAACAAATTCAACAATTTAACGTGATATTTTCAGGATACGAAACTCCCCCGAGAAATTCCGAGACAACCTAAGAAACAGCGAAAAACTGACAGCTGACAGTGGCGGGAGATACCCAAACCCATAAATCAAAAAAGCGCGCGATCTTCTTCAAACAAAAACTGCTCTTCCCTCCTCCGTCTCGGCCGCCTAAAATTTTATTTACCGCCTACCTTCACAACCACTTCCCTTAAAAAGTAAAATACCAATGGAACGAAAATCCCATCCGTACACGTGTATTCATACAACACTTCCGAACAGACTCCAACCTAAATAACTTCACCGTGCACTCAATAGTGAAAAATAAGATAGACACTCCCAATAGACAGAAAATCGTACTCTTTGCTTCTGCTTTGGATTTTGTTTTCAGAGCTTACTCAGTGGAAATGGTGGATTCGACTAAACAGTGTTCTGTAAGGTCAATTAATCCATGGGTTCTCCATCTCCAGAAATTGGGTCTCGAGCTTAAATGCCCTTTATGGTCTGTTAGTTTCACTCTTTTTTTTTTTTTTTTTTTTCCTGATTTAGTTTCACTCTTTTTTTTTTTTTTTGTTTTCCTTTAGCAATAATTTTTTTTTTTTTTTTTTTTTTCCTTTAGCTAATATGCATTCTCGAATTGTCCTTTTTTTTTTTTAATTTTATTTTTTGCTAGTTTGAATTTTATCTGATATTTGGTTCCAATTTTGTGGTTATTTGCAGTCTAAACTTGTTAAAGCGACCATTTTTGCTTCCTTGTGATCACATTTTCTGCAAGTTCGTAACTTTTCCATGAATCTTCTTATTCTCCTTCGTTCCTTTTTGCTCAATTCGTTTCTTGGGTAATGCCGATTACTCTATTTTTCTTATTCTGTTATCTAATTTTGGGCCCGTGTGTTTTTGAATTTATTGCAGTTCATGTCTACCTGAAACGAAACAGTTTGGATCACAGTGTCCTGTTTGCAAAGCTCAATATGTTGGCAAAGGTATAGGGAACGCCATTTTCCATCTATCTTCCTTTTCATCACCTATTAGAGTGCTTAATTTTTCCTTGATTGTCAGATTGCTTTGTAAATTTTCCATTAATTATTTGCTTTAGGCACTTGTTGTGTTCCCTTTAACAATATTAGGAATTGTTAAATGCCTATCTATTTTGCTGCAGGAGTGACAACTTTAATTTGATGAATTCATTTTACAATTCGGTAAATATTGTTCTTAATATATTTAGCACTAGAGCGAGTGGTGGTTTGGGGTAATTCTAAAACCCTAAAAATTGGGTTTGAGTAGGGTTGTGCAGGGGAAGTTTGTATTTGCATTTCGTAGTTAGTTTCCTTGGAAATATCTTACTTTATCTAAAATGGTAATGTGGCTGCAGATCTGAGGTTGTTGCCTTTCATTGAAAACATGGTAACAATCTATAGAAGTTTGGATGCTTCTTTCTGTCCCAACCTGTTCCAATCTAGCTCATCTGGTATGATCTCTTTTTATTCTTACATCTGATAACTATTAATTTATTTTTTACTTTTTTGAACTATAACTTTTTATCATTGCAGACACTAGGAGTTTGGAGCAATGCCCGACTTCAACCAGTGCAGATTGCAATGATAAATGTAAGGAGTCATTTAAAGCTTCTCAGGAGGATAATTCAAGCAGTGGGAGGTCCATGTTTTTGCAAACGGGCAATAAGTTAGCTCAGGTTACATTGAATTGTCCTGTTGAAAATGAGGTTCCAAGGATTGATATGGAAGGAAAATGTAATATGGCTAGAGGCCTTAAAGATAAGGAGTATGAGATGGTTGGTAGTGCAGGATATGAATGTGATGGTGAGAAAAATGTCAATTCTCCACCTGTAAATTCCCAGACAAGAGCTGTGGGAATCCACGAGCGTGGGACTATGCAAATGGCCATGAATCAGGTGGATACTTTGTCAGCTGGCAGCCCTCCATTTAGTGATATTAAGAGTTCAGAAAATGACAGTAATGATCAGTATGGTGATGATGTGAGAATCCAACTGTCCTTTTCAGTAACTTTGTGTTTGTTTATTCAATTATACCTGCACGCTAATGTAATTATCAAATGCACACTAAAGTTCCCTATTGTCTGCATTGGTTCAAAATCTATCCTTTTTTTTTTTTTTTTTTTTTTTTTTTTTTTTTTTTTTTTTTTTTAAAGGCAGATTTGGCTGATGATTACTGTGGTGAGCTAACGGTGAAAGGGAAATTATGATAATTGTAATTGAATGAAAAGATATTCGGTGGGTATTCAGCAACCTTTTTTTTGTAAGTTGGCATCTGTGCCTTAAATATTTATGAGGATTGCCATTCTTTTTCAGAGTCCACAGAACTATCAAGCGCACTGAGTTTTTTTTTTTTTTTTTTTTTTTTTTTAAACAGATGCTATGATTACTGTGGTGCTAACGGTGAAAGGGAAAATTATGATAATTGTAAATTGAGATGAAGATATTGTGGGTATTCAGCAACCTTTTTTTTGTAAGTTGCATCTGTCCTTAAGTATTTATGAGGATTCCATATCTTGTTTCAGAGTCCACAGAACTATCAAGCACTGAGATTGGCCAAGCGAAATACTGGTGAAAGGACAAAAGAAGATAGGCATGGGGGTTCTGACTCTGGAACTGACATAGGCAATTTAAGGGATTCAAAGAGACATAAGAAGTTGAACTATGGCCCATTAAATGCCTGCACAAATGGTACCAGACCAATTAGTTCTCAAGCTGAAAATCTGGAAACTTGTTACTCTCATTCAGAGCATAAACCTTTGTCACTTGTTACTGATGAGCCTCTTGCACCATTCGATGACTCATCAGTGGTGAAAACTGTCTGTGGATTTTGCCAGTCCTCCAGAATCTCTAAGGTAAAGATACTCATTTGTGCTTGGTTAGTATAACGGCTTGACCTTTGTCAGTGGTGTTTTTTACACCATTTTATGCCAAAAATCTTGAATTATTTAAGAACATGTAATAGAAAAATGCCCCTTTGGTGCTTGGATGTTATTCTCTTGTAATGAATGGTATTCTTCTTGTAATGAATCATTATTTTCCTTTTCAGGATACTGGTCCAATGTTGCACTATCTCAATGGGAAGTCAGTGGAGGGAGATGAAGCATCTATGCCCAATTGCATACACGTGCACAGGCTATGTATTGAATGGTACACCATATTGCCATTTTTAACCGAATATATTCAAGTAAAATGGTAGTTTGATGTGTACCGTGTATTCGCAGTAGTCTTCTATTACTATTTTTGCTGGATGCAAATTAATATGTACAATAATGTGCAGGGCTCCACAAGTCTATTTTGTTGATGAAACTGTTAAGAATCTGAAGGCAGAATTGGCCAGGGGTGCAAAACTAAAGTGCAGTGGATGTGGGCTGAAGGGAGCTGCCCTAGGCTGCTATCACAAATCTTGCCGGAGAAGCTATCATGTTACATGTGCAATGGAAATTGCTGGTTGCCGATGGGATTATGTAAGTCCTTGTGCAAATTAATATATTTTCCGTGATGCATTTAGCTTACCATCACAACCACCATGAGTTAAGGTGTGGATACTGATGTCTTCCTGTTATTAAATTCTTTCAGGATAACTTCCTCGTGCTTTGTCCATCTCATTGTTCAGTCAGATTTCCAGATGAGAAAAAGGCCAAGTCCAAGTCCAAGAAACACAAGTTGGAAAATCATCATGTGCCAACTCAAATGTACACCCTCTTTCTCTTAGCTCTGTGGTTTCCAAGAGACTGAAAGAAATTATTCAAGTCAATCTCATTGGCTTCTCATCCTTCTCTCTTGCTTTCATTTTTCCCTGCCAAATTGTCTTATTATCTTGGGAATATTCGGAACATAATTTGTCTGATATTCTCATGAAAATATTCCAACCAATCACACAAGATCACAAACATATTTCAACCCATCATTTATATTATGCACGATTTTGCAGTTGCCCTTTTTCATGTTTTGAATTAATATGTATTTTGATATATTTTGTTGCATTCTGGATGCAGAACCACTCAACAACCTTACTTTTGGGCTGAATCTAGTGGAGTAAAAGAATGGGTTTTTTGTGGATCTGCTCTGTCTTCTGAAGAGAAGGTTAGTCTACGTGAGGTTGATGTTTATTTTTCTCCCAATTACTTGACACCAAAGCATTCTTTGAATGTCTGTTGGAGTTGTCATTGTTGGGATGATCTTGAGCCCATGCATTTTAGCTATTTTTGCCACATTAATTTTGCAAATATGACCAATGATTGCCTTATTGTAATTGAACAGTAATGAGTTTAATAATACTTGCATTGTATATGTTGTGTTTTGTCAAATTTTAGAGTGAAGCATCTAATATTTTATTTCTATAGGACAAGTTTTCTTAGCAGGTAATTTGTTAGAAATTTGGACAATTGTCTATTAGTCTATCATATGGTTGGAAATCCATAATTCTTGCATGCATGACACTATATATTTTTTATTATAATCGCTGATACATATTTTTTGCCCTTGTCACAGTGTCTTTTGGTTGAGTTTGGTAGCATGATTGGTGTGCCTGTAACCAAATTCTGGAGACCAAATGTCACACATGTCATTGCAGCCACAGATACTAAAGGGGCATGCACTAGGACATTGAAAGTTCTCATGGCCATTTTGAATGGAAGATGGGTCCTCACAATAGACTGTTAGTGCAGTTGTCTCTAAAAATTGATTATTGTCTCGTTCGTGTAATTTTTTTTTTTTTTACATGCTTTGCTCCATCTGGCTCTGTCTTTACTCAGAAAATTCTATTCTGTTCTATATGCTTCTCTCTGAACCACTGGGAGTTTTGAAACTGCACTAACAATAGCCCTAGGCTAAGCAACGCCTTTGCATTAACGTCTTCTGAGGATGATAAAATATCAATCAAAAGATTAATTATCAATGGATTAAATTGTGTTTTAATCCATCCTTTATTCTTCTCTTTGGGGTGGAAAGTATATAGCATGGAGGATGAAATCAAGTTTCATTTGAATTGATTGTTTGCATATATCATGATATATTGTCTTTGAACTTTTTTCTTGTTTTTAGTTGTTGGGTTCAACATCTCACAATTAATGAAACCAGAAATTTGGCCTTTTGCAGGGGTGAAGGCATGCATGAAAGCCATGTGTCCTGTCGATGAAGAACCTTATGAAGTTAGTCTTGATAACCACGGTTGTCAAAATGGCCCCAAAACTGGCAGGCTCGGTGCACTGGATAATGTAAGTATCCTTATGAATGCCTTGGTGCAAAAGCATGCGATGAATTGGGGTTTTTTTATTTGACATTTCAAGCTTCAAAACTACTAAATATTTTTATTGTTACATGACTGAGTAGATCTGTCAATTGTTCTATTATGAAGCTTCAAATTATTACACGCAGTTGAATCTAAATTCAATTTTGGTTTTACATTTGCATTCAAGCAATGAAATGGTAGATATTCTTAAAGAGCTTTTGCCTGATTGGTTCATTTGTAGGCACCGAAGCTCTTCAACGGCATGAATTTCTATTTTTCTGGCGACTTTGTTTCGGGTTACAAGGAAGATCTCCAGAATTTGGTCATTAATGCAGGAGGCAACATTGTGGAGAAGAAGGAAGAATTAGTGGAACAAAGTCATGACCAAGCAGCAGCTCCTTCAAGAACACTAGTGGTTTATAACCTCGATCCGCCACAAGGTTACAAACTGGGAGAAGAAGTTACAATTCTCTGGCAAAGATTAAATGAAGCAGAAGATTTAGCTGCTAAAATAGGTTCTCAGGTGATTGGACATACATGGGTTTTGGAATCAATTGCTTCATATAAATTGCAGCCTTTTGTTAGCATGCACAACATTCGCAATGGCCATATATCTTAGCATAATATGTAAAAGATAGTAACCTTTTTGTTTTTTTGTTTCATCCTGAGCCTTACTGTTATATGTTTATTTTTTGTTAGATTCATTTCAGTAAATGAGTTCAGGATGTTGTAATTTGCATGATTTGAAAATGAAATCAAATTAGCTTTACTGGTGAGCATTTAGCCAATTCAGTCAATTTGATTAATAATTTAATCGAATTTTTTTTTTTACTTTTAACTGAATTAATTTTTTAATTGAATTTAATCCAATCGTTTCAATTGAGTTAATTTTGATTATTAATGTAATTGAAATTAAAGAAAATGAAAATTAAATTAATTGAAAATCGTGATAAATTGATTTAATACGTGATAAATTGATTTAATTGAAAAAAAAATTAATTAAAATTATTAATTACTATTTAATTAAAATGAAAAGTTGAAATAATTTAATTTTTGATTTTATTATTTATTTGATATAGTTTTGAGAGTCGATTAATTTGGTTTGATTAGTTTTTAATTGAATATTTATTCACCGAATTAAGTTGATTGAATTAATTCAACGAATGCTCATCCTGCTCATCCTTTAAGCTATATCACAAGTGTCCTCGCACTATAAAGAGTATTTGTTTTCCAGCAAGAGCAAGATTAAATTGTAATAATATATGAATTCTTACCAATAGAAACAGATTTTGCTATGCTCCAAAGCCATGTTAGAGACCAACTGTGCCATTCAACAATCACAATTATTTTTCTTCCATTATTTTACAAGCAGGGCAGGAGTATTAATTTATTTTTAAAATTTTTTTCTATCACTTTTATAAAAATGGACTGGTCCATAGATTAAATTTTTAAAAAAAGATTAAAAATTTTAAATTCACAATCAAGAATTGGTCCTTAGATTGTTGTGCTTGTTTTCATTTTACCGCTAAAGTATCTGCGAATGTCGAATTGCAATCAAGTGTTTGGGCACTGAATTACAAATATTTTCCGATAAGACAAAAAATGACGAAATAAAAAGTTTATACACCACAAATATAATTAACCCACTATATTATTAATATGAACTTTCTCCTTTCTTCACATTGATTCTAACAAGCAATAATTCTGTAGAAGATTGTCTACTTCATCAGCTCTCTCCAGTCTTCAAGTCTTCCTTATTTTCATGGTTATTTACCTTATTATCTGGAGATGAAGCTCCAATTGCTTCCTGCAAATCCTTTCTCGAGTCCACATCGATATTGTAAACGAAGAACTTAGCCACAACCAAGAAAAATAGCAAGTTGATGAACATCAACAGAGCCAAAAATGCATAATAATAGTCTAAGTGTGAGATATTTAGATTATCCAAAATCCATCCTTTTTGTCCATTCTTCTTTGAAATGTTAGCAACCGTCTTTAGCAGAAAACTACTGAGAAAATTCCCAATTCCCAAACTACTGGTAAAATATGAAGTTCCCAAGCTCTTCATTCCTTCGGGCGCTTGATCGTAGAAAAACTCTATCTTTGCAACTTCAACAAAAGTATCAGCAATCCCCATTAAAGCAAATTGAGGCAAAAGAATAAATATACTGAGAGGAACTATTTCGTCCTTCTTAACAATGTTATGTTCCTTGGCAATATTAAGTCTCCTTCTTTCTGCTAAGAAAGCTGTGACCATTATAATCACATGTAAGATAAACCCAATTCCCATTCTTTGAAGCAATGTAATTCCTCTTGGGTTTTTTGTATATTTTCTAATTACAGGGATGAAATAACGGTCATATATGACTAGGCTGATGAGCATAAAGATTGTTACAAATGCTGTCAAACATGCTGGAGGGATTTCGAAATGAGGTCCCATTCTTCTGTCTAAGGTAGTGCCTTGTTTGATGAATAAAGTGTGTACTTGAGCATACATTGTGCTTGGTATGAATGTGATTAATAAAATTGGAAGCATTTTTATCATTTGTTTTGTTTCTTCTACTTGTGTCACAGGACATAGCATCCATGGGGATCTCGACCCACTCTTCACTGCAGCTTTGTCAAAGAATCTGCCGGCATATTGTCATGATAATATATATAAACTACTTGCACCGTCCCGAAAAGATAAGAGCACTTCAATAAAGATAAAATAAGCAGGAAACGAACCTTAATGAAGGGGTGTGGTCAATTCTGAATTTTCTTGATTTTGTATATTCTTCCAGGCTAAGTTCATGAAGCTCTTTTGGGTCATTTGAGAGAGGAACATTTGCCTTCCTTAAAGCAGCCACAAGTACTTGAGCTATCCTAGTGAATGGACTTCCAGCAGGCAATTTGTGCCTATAAAATGGAGTGCCGACCAAAAACACAGCAATTGAAACAGCTAACCCTGCTGTTGGAAGGGCATAGCCAAGAGTCCAACCCACATTATCTTGTATATAGATCAAGAAAGTGTTTGAAAATAGAGTACCAAAGAAAATGCTGAACATCCACCAATTAAAGAACGATAACTTTTGAATCCTTTCTTTGGGTTCGAAATCATCGAATTGGTCTGCACCCATTGTAGAAATGTTTGGCTTGGTTCCACCGGTTCCTGCTGCAATTATGTAGAGTGCTGCGTAGAAGACACCCTTTTGGAGAGCTGAGGCCTTTATGTCACAATCCTCTTCTTTGATATTAGGACCACATGATGGAGGCCTTAGTGCTGACAATGAAACTGCTAGAGTTAACAGGATCATACCCTGTTCATATATTAAAGATTAGAAATTTTTGACCCAAAATTTGATTTCATAAGAAGGGGAAATCTCTAATGAATCTGATTGAGTTCTTTTTGTTTTTATCTTAAAGACTAGAAACTATGTATCATATCGTAAAACTCTTGTGCTTGTACAGTTTATATTAAAGAAAACTTTTAAAAGAGAAGGTGAGGGGTAACAGATTACCGAGAGATAAATGGCAGATGCAACGATAAAAGTCCAGAATCTGCCAAGATGAGCATCTGCAATGTAAGCACCTATAATGGGCAACATCCAAACAGTACCAACCCAATTGGTGACATTATTTGAGGATGTCACAGTTCCTTCATGAAGCTTCTTCGTCAAATACAATACCAGGTTTGAAGCTATCCCATAATAAGCCATTCTCTCAAATATTTCATACCCTGCAACACCAAAACTGTAAGAACACAAGTTCGAAATTGTAAAAAAAAAAAAATCTGTTCAATCAAAAAGAGATTTCTAGCAGTTCATTAGTCGAGTATTTGCTAAATGGTCTGAGAAGTTACCAACAATGAAGGAACAAGCTCTCCATCTTCCAGTTTTTGATCTTAAAATGGGTCTGCCATTAAGATCTACAGTCCCATCTTCTGTATAATCTTCTTTTCCATTTGCAGAACCTTTCTCTTCTATATTTTCCATTGTTAGATATGAGAACTTTGAATGTATAACATGTGGAGCTTTTTGTAAACTTAACCCTTTATTTAACCTCCAAGATTATGATTTTGAATTACCTTTTTAATTATAATTATAAATTCTGTCTCCTTTCATGGCCTAATTGCATAGAGTTTGCATCTTGTTTTATACTAGCATATTTTTCTTTTGTTTGCCATCGGTTTATTTAGCTAAGTTTAAGTGCCAGCAACGAATTAGACAAAATGCTAAGAAACAAATTCATTGAAAAATACTATGATGTCTAACAAATTAATTATAAGAAGAAATTAATATTAAACTTTTATAAAGAAATAATAAACTTTTCATTCTTTCTTTTTCACTTGTATATGTATTCATACATGGAAAATAGTAATAAAGTGACATTTTGTTCTTAATTGATTAGTGTATGACTAAATCTATATATAATATCATGTGCTAACCAGATATGATTTAGATGGTTTTCTCACATCTTATTAGTTTTCTCGCGATTTGTAGAAGATTGAAGAACCGAGAAATTTCGAGTTTGAGTCTTATCTACTACAAAAATTATTACCAAGTCGGTGACTATTATTTAAAGGAGAAAGTTAATCCCTATTGTGTAATCCACGTGCATATGACATACTACAACTATTGAATTTGCTATTAATATTTAAAAAAAAAAAAAATCCTACCTAAGCTAAGATATCATACATATATTGAAACATTATAGAAAATGGCATCTCAAAGTCGGCACCAACTTGCATAGATATTATTTTCATTGTCATTTTCATGTATAGTCCTTCATTTTGCTTATTAATTTCCTTTTCCGCCTTCAAATTTTTCTTTTTTTTTTCTTGTCTTAATACATGTGAGGTCCTACGAATCTGATTTTTTTTTTTTTTTATATTTTATTTCTTATTTCTTTTCTTAGTACATGTGAAGTCCAATGAATCAGAATAACATTGTGAGTTGCAGAATACTAGTAGTTATCCTCTTTCATCAAATTGATGATAATCTTTACAGTGAAAAAAATTCGAACTCGAAACCTTTCATTTTTCACGTTTTTAACGAAACGTAAAAAGACCAATATGACATTATGCATATAAGTATATTATGAGACATATATTAATTTTCTCCAAAATAGGAAATATAATTTTTTGTATTTTGCTGATAAAGCTTCTCCTCACATGTGCTTCTAGAAATCCTATGTCTCTTTATATATATATATACCCTCTTGTCCATTTCATACGCCATTTCATACGAAACATTAAACTGGACTTATAGAAATTTTCTTTTGTCCTTATTTGTCTTGTCCAGGCTAACATATCCAATCTTGTGGGGCCAAACATAGAATAGTAAATTTTCAGGTAAATATTTTTACATGCACCGCCAATAAATATATGCATATACAATTAAAATTAATTTGATTTATTTAGCTTTTAAAATAGCATTTATTATTAGTCAAAATATCAAATTTTGTAAGGTTTTCATAAAATAACTCCATCTTTCACGTTTCCACCGGCATGCAAACTAGAGTATTATTATTATTATTATTTTCAATTTGTGCTCTATATCTATTTTTTAAATAAAAAATATAATTGGCTCAATTTGAGTCCGGAACAACTTTCGCTATAGCCTGTCAAAATGTCTAAAATATTCATATATATATATATATTGTGCGCAAAATTTGCCATATTGTACCTGTTGAGGATATTTTAGACATTTTATCCATTATAATGAGAATGGTATCATACTCAAGTTGAATCATTTAGCACAGACTTTATTTTAAATTTTATGATTATGAGGTTTTAATGTGGAAACGGAGAGGTAGACCCATGAAATAGACACCATAAGAGGGGAAAAAAAAAAAAAATCAGCAAATTACATCTTGACAATGAGTTTTGAAGAACATGTTGAAAATGATGCAATTTGAGTTGAATGAAATTTCATCAACTCACAGATTTTAAGTTAATCTCAAGAAAAAATGGTAAGGGTGGGGATATTTGCACCCCACTCATTTGTGACTTCACATAAATTCAAATTGAAAACCAAAAATCAAAATCGAATTAATGATATAACCAAACTGAAAAGATAAAAAAAAAAAAAAAGAAATCAACTAATTAGACTGAAAAAAACAAATACTTGTATGGCAACTCACCCAACATTCTTTTTTTTTTTTTTTCCTTTTTTTTTTTTTTTTCAACTCACAGATTTAAGTTTGTGAATCTCAAGAGGAAAAAAAAAATTGGGTTTAAGGGTTGGGATAATTTGCCAACCCCACTCATTTTGTGACTTCACATAAATTCAAATTTGAAAACCAAAAAATTCCAAAAATCGAAATTTAATGATATATAACCAAACTGAAAAGATAAAAAAAAAAAAAAAAAGGAAATCAAACTATTAGACTGAAAAAAAAAAAAACAAATACTTGTTATGGCCACTCACCCAAACATTTCTTTTTTTTTTTTCCTTTTTTTTTTTTTTTTTTAATTTTAAAGCAACCGTATTTAATTCTAGAAAGCATCACGAATAGTTATTTAAAGTCTTAATTAGAAATATGTTTAAGATGATATTTTGGAACTAAAATATAATTTAGAAAAATAATTTACATTATCATTTAATAAACAATAATCATTTAAGTTTAATAAGGACCAATTTTGTGATTTGCACTCTTAAATAAGTAAATTAAATAAATTTTTTTTTTTTTTTCCTTTTTTTTTTTTTTTTAATTTAAGCACCGTATAATTCTAGAAGCATCACGAATAGTTATTAAAGTCTTAATTAGAATATGTTTAGATTGATATTTTGAACTAAATATATTAGAATAATTACATTATCATTTAATAAACAATAATCATTTAAGTTAAAAGGACAATTTTGTGATTTGCACTCTTAAATAGTAATTAATAAATGTATAGTTCAAAAAATATATGCGATTAGGTTGAAAAGAATCAATATTCAATATCATGAATTTTTACTTTTTTCCCTTCTTTTTATACCTATATATATATAATTGATTTTATTTTTTATTTGGTACGTAGGAATATGTTTCATAAAAATTTATAAAACTATAAGATTTGGTATATTGAAAAGTTATTTTTAAATTAAATATATAAATAATATTGGTTGTAGTTAAATAAATAAATCAAATTAAATTTGATAGAATTTATAATAAATCCCTAAATTCACGAGACTATATGAATTGGACTTGACTTTGAATTTATTAAAACTTATTTGTTAATGAAATGAATTCCTCTTTCATTTAACTTACAACTATGTAAAGATAATTAAAAAAGCAATATCTATCCCAAAAATTCAAATTAACACAACTTATTAGATCTAATGGATAAAATTTGCATTTTCAATTTATACCTTTTTTTTTTTTAATTTGTATTGGGGAGGGAGATTCAAAACTGAATCTATTGCCAGGTCGCATATGCAATTGTACCCAAATTAATGCAGTTTAAGTTAGCTAGCTAGAGTAAGAGATTTTATAAAACAAGGGAATTACAAATTAACTCTTATTATTTTTGCATTTCAAAGTTCCAAGAAGTAATTTCATTGTCATCTTAGACCATCCTTCAAACCTTCTCTATCTTCCACATCAACATTATACACAAACAACTTAGCAACAACCACATATACAAGAAAATTCATGAAACTAAAAATACCCAAAAGTGCATAGTAATAATCTAAGTGAGAAACATTTAAGTTGTCCAAAATCCATCCTTTGTCTCCATTCTTCTTAGTAACCTCAGCAACTGTTTTTAACAGAAAACTACTCAGAAAACTCCCAATTCCCAAACTACTTGTAAAGTACGAAGTCCCCAAGCTTTTCATTCCTTCTGGCGCTTGATCATAGAAGAACTCTAACTTTGCCACTTCTACAAAAGAATCAGCCACACCCATCAAAGCGAACTGAGGAAGGAGTATGAAAATACTAAGAGGGATCGTATCGTTCTGAGCAAGAAGGTTATGTTCTTCTGCAACATTGAGTCTTTTCCTTTCTACTAGACAAGCAATGAACATAATAATAACATGCAGAAGTAGACCAATTCCCATTCTTTGAAGCAATGTGATTCCTCTAGGGTTTTTGGTGTAACGTCTAAGGATTGGAACTATGCAACGATCGTAGAGGACAAGACTTATAAGCATGAAGACTGTGACAAATGCTGTTAGACATGCAGGTGGGATTTCAAAATGAGGTCCCATGTTTCTTTTTAGGGTTGTGCCTTGTTTTACGAATAATGTTCCTACTTGAGCTATTGTGGTGCTTGGTATGAATGTCGTTAGTAAAACTGGTAGCATTTTCACCATTTGCTTTGTTTCTTCAACCTGTGTGACTGGACATAGCGTCCATGGTGAATTACTTGATCCAGTCTTTACTGCTGCTTTGTCAAGGAAACTGCAAGCCAATTAATGAGATTGATTAGAAATTTTTGTAAGTAATGAAACATTTATAAGTTTGCTCAGTTGGGATTTAGAGAGTTTGGTTATGCAAGTTATAAAAAGCAAAGAGAATTACCTTAAGTAAGGGGTGTGATCAATTCTAAATTTCGCAGATTTTTGATATTCCTCTATTGAAAGTTCATGAAGCTCTTTTGGATCATTTGGGACATCTACTTTCCACTTTCTCATAGCAGCAACCAAAACCTGTGCTATCTTAGTAAATGGACTCCCAGCAGGCAACTTATGCCTATAGAATGGAGTGCCTATCAAAAACACAATGATTGAAACTGCAAGACCAGCTGTAGGAAGGCCATAGCCAAGTGACCAACCCACATTGTCTTGGATGTAAATCAAGAAAGTGTTTGAAAAAAGGGTACCAAAGAAAATGCTAAACATCCACCAGTTAAAGAATGAGAGCTTTTGTTTCCTTTCTTTAGGCTCAAAATCATCAAATTGGTCTGCACCCATAGTAGAGATGTTTGGCTTGGTTCCACCTGCTCCTATTGCAATAATGTATAGTGCACAATAGAAAATACCCTTTTGAAATGGGGAAGCATGCTTGTCACAATTCTGACCTGTGATGCCATCTCCACATGATGGAGGTCTTAAAGCTGGTAGTGAAACTGCTAGGGTTAAGAGAGTCATTCCCTATTAAATTTGTTTATACAAGGTAAACCAATTAATTAGTAGTGTCATTTTTCTTAATCCACAGTGCATCAAATAATTAATTTGATTATCTAATACTTTTTTTTTTCAAATGTAGATATATTAATAAGAAAACAACCTCTCTATAAAATATTAGGAAAGAGGTTACACACATCAACTCTCTCAGAGTCCACACATATCGAATGGTCACAAGATCTCTCTATCTGAGTTGGTTTACCTACTATCCCTGTGCACCATATATATGATGCATCTACTACTTATATGGCATGTATCATCTCAAAAGTGTCTTGATCGAAATTAATACCATGGCCATATGTAGTCAAACAGTTCTTCCCCACAAGCAGCAAAACTATCACTTTTATGTGGTTTCCATTTCATTATAAAACCACATACGTGTTCAATTATGCATGGTGCATGCCAAACTTTTGGTAAAAATACTAAAAAATCTAAGAAATTTTTTTTATAAATTTAACTAATAATAGTTATGCGAATTTCTTATAACATAAAAAGTCAAATATTCGAATTTCAATATTCTCTTTTAAAGAACTTTCGTATTTTCGAGAATTTCTTATATTGTAATTAAAAATTAGAGAGAGAAATGTGTTTAGTTAATTTACCAAGAAGTAAATGATGGATGCAATGACAAAAGTCCAGTACCGACCAAGATGAGAATCTGCAATATAAGCCCCTAAAATGGGTAAAATCCATACAGTACCACCCCAAGTGGTGACATTATTTGAAGATGTCACAGTTCCTTCATGAAGCTTCTTTGTCAAATACAACACCAGATTTGATGCTATTCCATAAAAAGCCATCCTCTCAAATATTTCATACCCTACAATTACACCATCATTAGTTAATTCAGTAAGAAAATTGAAATAAAAAATAAATAAATTCTTATTAAGCTTCCAAGAATTTGTCTTTCCTGGAAAATTCATACAAGAGAAACTAATTTTTATATATATATGCATATAAAGGAATTAATTAATTCTTTGTTTAGGAAACTTTATTTTCTGAAAATCTCTGAAATATCAACTTACCAACAATAAAGGAACAAGCTTTCCATCTCCCTGTGCTTAATCTTAAAATGGGTTTGCCTTTGATATCCACAGTGCCATCTTCTGTATAATCTTCTCCCCCACTTGCAGGGCCTTTTTCCTCCAAGACCTTTGCCATTATTTGTGATGGAGAAAGAAAGCCTTTTGATAAGGAGCTTAAGTTAAGGTTTTAGTATCATTCTTGTGAGTTACATGTTAGCTTTTTATAAAGCATGAGGACTAGCGTCTGGTCTACCTCAAAAGTTTGAAATTTTCTTTTTTACCCTTCAACCTATTCTACTCAGTTTTAATGGATCCTGAAACTTGGAAATTTAAAAAAAAAAAGAATAATGGTTCTTTCTCTCATTCCTTTTTTTCTTTGGAAGAATGTTTTGTTTTGTTTTGTTCTTTTTTAGTCACATTTTCATTAATTGTCCTCATCTTCATGTACTACCCAAAATCTTGCAGGCCAATACTGATGGTTGTTACTTTTTTTTTTTTTACATTTTTTGATACATATAGTTGTTTTTCTATTATAATTTATAAAATGGATTTTCAAGGTACTTATCATCTTCTATGGTGAATTAATAATAATAATAATAAATATTATAATTAAGCTAGAGATCAAATTCTGGAAATAAAGCATCTTCCTGGTTGGGAAAGTTCCAAAATTTCCTCTGTGTTTAAGAAGATTCTTTAAATTACTGAAAATTTATAGTTTTATCTCTATTAATAGAAAGTGAAAAGAACGCAAGAAATAAAGATTTAATACTAATAAAGGATCTTGTTTTCGGAGAAACATAGATATATGCATAACTATGACGACTACGGCTTCCTTCGGGATCTTTCTAGAAGTAGAAGATCTCCGAGGAAACTGTTGTGGGGTCCCTCCAACATGTGGGACCCACAAAAGTTTGAAAAGAAAAAAAAGAAAAAAAAGGAAGAGAATGAAACACGTTTTTAAAAGGTGGCAGCCAACATTTCAAAAGAACGCAAGAAATAAAGATTTTAATACTAATTAAAGGATCTTGTTTTCGGAGAAGAAGAAAGAAAAACATAGATATATGCAAACTATTGACGACTACTGGCTTCCTTTCGGGATCTTTCTAGAAGATTAGAAGATCTCCGAAGGGAGGCAAACTGTTGTGGGGTCCCTCCAAACATGTGGGACCACAAAATTTGGAAAGAAAAAAAAAGAAAAAAAAAGAAGAGAAATGAAAAACACGTTTTTCTTTAAAAGGTGGCAGCCAACATTTCAAAGGTTGCACATGCCAACCCTTTGACAATATAAGAAGTCGTGCATTGGTTATGCACGGGCTTTCCCCTCCTCTCCCTCCTTATAAAATAGAGGTACTGAATTACCTTCTTTCAGCCACAAAAAAAAAAAAAAAAAACAGAAAACCACAAAAGGAAAACGAAAGTTTATAATTTTAGGGAAAAGGGTTCCTTAAAATGGGGAAAAGAAAAAGGAGAAAAAAAAAAAAGAGAAAATAGTGAGGAAATTATTTTGGGGTGTTTTTGGGAAACACTTTGTGTGCCACTATTTGTGTAATCTCTTTGTTACCCTACTATTTTAGTAGAAGAATTTATTCGGGAGGTTTTTATTCCCGTGGGACGTTAGCCCCAATCAACAGTTTTGAACAGTTGAAGGGTGAACCACGTAATTCTCGGTGTTCTTATTTTTTCTGGCATTTACGGTAATTATTTAATTTTTACCGTGATTATTATTTCTGGTGGCTTCGATCGTCAATATTTAATATTTAATTATTGGAGGTATATGTGGTAATAGTAATTTTATTTTACTTTTACCACCGATATTTTTCACAGCCCCCACTCGGGATCAGTAAGAATCCCAACAAGAATAAAAAGAAAATAACGGTTCCCCCAACTTAATGGAATTCTGAAAGAAATTATAAAAATAATATTCGCTGCAGGTATTCTTAGTTCACAGTGCACTGAAATGGCTAATAGAATTGACAATTTCAGCGTGCAAAAATATTTCAATAACATGCGCTATCATTTTGACAGCTCAGTGAAATAGCCAATGAACTAGCAATTTTAGTGAAGCCAATTTATTTCATTTTTCAAATAAGTAATAGGCAGTGCCTTTGTACTTGAGAAATGATGGAGATATTTGCAGTGCTTTTGGGATTTTTTGATGAGTTTTGAGTTTGGTAAGAAAAAAGATATTTTGAAGGCTTTTACCCAGGTAAGTTGGCTGTAACTCTTGCTTGAAGAAGATGTTTCAATCTACCGAAAATGTGTTGGTTAGTATGGTAAACGACATCAATCCCCGTGCGGATGAAAACATAAGTTCGAACACTGAGAAATGCACTTTTCTGAGAGCATAAAAACCTTTATGCTCTATGGCTCGCAAGTCATGAGCTTGATTTGGTTAATTAAAAGGGATTTTTAGGAAAAATTACACCAATGATCACATAACTTTAGTTTGTCATTTTTTTAATCACTAAACTTTGATAATTGTTTCAACAATACCATCATCGAAAATACTAATATGGTAATAAAAATAAAAAATTTTATTTTAAGAAATACATATTTTCTCCTAATATATTAATTTGGAATCTACCTATTAATTTATTTAACAAATAATGTCATTTACATGAAAAAAGTTTTAAAAAAATAGAAGAAAAAAATTGCTCCATCATTTATATTATGTAGTATTGTTTTCTTTTCTTTTTTATATTCCTTTATGGTGGTAGATCCAAGTCCAGAGAGATGAGAAAGTGTTACCATTGCGATAAGGAGAGTCATCTCAAAAGAAATTGTCATTTACTCAAACAGGATAATGCAAACTGAAGACAGGAGAATGATAGAAATACATCTGCTACAGTCTTAGGAAAAGATGGTGAGGTGACTTTAGTTACTCATGATGCAGATTACTGTCATGTTGGAGATGCAGATACCGAGTGGATAGTAGACTCTGGTGCGTCATACCACTGTGTTCCAAAAAGGGAATACTTTTTTCATACCACTGTGTTCCAAAAAGGGAATACTTTTCCACTTATAAAGCAGGAGATTTTGGCACTATTAAAATGGGAAATAATAGTATCTCGCAAGTAGTGGGAATCGGTGATATTTGCATTAAAACAAGTGTCGGGTGCACATTAATACTTAAAAATGTGCGACATATTCCCGATCTTCGGTTGAACCTGTTGTTTGTGAGTGTACTGGACAAGGAAGGCTATCACCATCATACAAGTGGCGGTAATTGGAAACTCACCAAAGGGTCTTTGGTGGTGGGGAGAGGAATATTATGCTGCTCGCTGTATAAGACGCACGCAACAATATGTGCGGGTCAACTGAATACAGTTGAAGATGATGCTTCACCAAATTTGTGGCATAGGCGGCTTAGTGAGAAAGGGTTGAATATGTTGGCTAAAAAGTCCCTCATACCATTAGCCAAAGGTAAAATAAACCATTGTGATCATTGTTTATTTGGAAAGCAACATCGTGCCTCATTTTTGAAAAGCTCTAGACGGAGAGACAACAAGTTGGAGTTGGTACACACAACGTTTATTTGGGAAGCAACATTGTGTCTCATTTTTGAAAAGCTCTAGACGGAGAGACAACAAGTTAGAGTTAGTACACTCTGACGTATGTGGTCCCATGCAGGTAGAATCACTTCGAGGAAGTAGGTATTTTCTAACCTTCATTGATAAATTCTCACGAAAAACATGGATATATTTGTTGCGCACAAAAGACCAAGTATTCAAGAACTTTCAACAATTCCACGTGATGGTGGAAAGGGAGACTGGAGTGGCATTGAAGTGTTTGCGCACGGATAATGGTGGCGACTGTATCTCTAACGAGTTTAGAGATTATTGTAGTCAACATGGTATCAGGCATGAAAAGACAGTACCTGGTACGCCTCAACACAACAACGTTGTTGAATGGATGAATCGCACCATTGTTGAGAGAGTCAGATCCATGCTCAAAATGGCAAACTTACCTAAGCCATTTTAGGGAGAAGCTGTCAATACTATTGTCTACCTAATCAACCGACTACCTTCAGCACCTTTGTATTTTGATATCCCGGAGAAAGTCTGGACAGGTAGAAATATTTCATACTCTCACCGTCTGAGGGTGTTGGCTGCCAAAGGCATTTATTGGCATGTTCCGAAGGAGCAGAAGATTCAAAGCTGGACGAACAAGGTCAGTTCCTTGCAGCCTTTTGTTGGTTATGGGAGACAAAAGAGTTTGGCCTTACAAGGTTATGGGACCCAGTAGAAAAAAGGGGAAAAGGTTGTCCGGAGCCGAGACGTTAGTATTCCACGAGAATGGAGATCGTGGGAGAAACAACTTGTGAACCAGAAAAATTCCACAAAGTGATGGTGTTGTTTGTCGTTGATTATACACCCAGGAAGCATTCCTTACAGATTTATGATGCCCACAGGAGGAGGGAAATGCCAGTAATCAGAACAAAAGAAGAAGAAAGAAAAAGAAGCCCTGTCGTAGGGGATCAAGAGGACAAGTGTAGATTGATAACAGTGATTGCAGAGAGTTGTTGAGCAGGGGAGCCAGAGAGGCAGAAACCCCATTCCACCAGAAGGAGTTGAACCTCAGTTTTAAGAAGTCAAACCACGAGAAACGCCAACCATGCTACAAGGTTACCCTAGTTCTGGATGTACATTTTGATTCTGATGGAGGGGAGCCAGAGAGCTTCCAAATGTGCAATCTTGCAAAGAATAGAGATTGCTGGAGAAACGGCCATGCAGAGAGATGAATTTCTTTGAAAAAGAAATTGACAGCCTATGAAGCTGGTGAAACTTCCAAAAAGGGAAGAAGAACAAACCTCAAGAACCAAATGGTGTGTACAAACTGAAGGAAAGATGGATGGCAAAACCCTAGTGAGATACAAAGCTCGATGGATTTGGTCGTCAAAGGCTTTACTCAAAAAAGAAGGTTATTGACTTTGATGAGATTTTCTTCACCAGTTGTGAAAATGAGTTCTATTTCGAGTTTGTGCTAAGCCTGAGTTAGCAAATTTGAAATCTTTGATTGGAAGCAGCTTTGATGTAAAAAGACCGCATTTCTTTGCAATGGGGATCTAGAGGAAAGAAAATATATATGGAAAAACAACCAGAAGGTTTCAAGTCTTCAAGGGAAAAAAGAAGACATGGTTTGTGCTTGAAGAAGAAAGAGGCCTTTGTACGGGTTGTGAAAACAAGCACCGCGACAGGTGGTATAAAAAGTTTTTGATTCTTTCATGGTGAATCAAGGGCTTATAAAAGGACAGATGCAGAAATCCTGTGTATATGTTCAGAAATTTCCTGATGGTTAAATTATCATCCTTCTCTTATATGTGATGATATGCTAATCGTTGGCACCAGATTGCACATTATGAATTAGCAAGTTAAGAGGAGATTGTTGTTTTTCAAAAGCATTGACATGAAGGATTTGGGATCGGCAAGGCGAAATTCTCGGAAATGGAGATTATTCAAGACAGAAAGTTCCTGCAGATTATGGTTATCACAGCGAAAAAAATATATTTGAACGAGTTCTAGAGAGATTTCAATTATTGAAGAATGCTAAACCAGTTAGCACCTTCCCGCTTGCCGCTTCACTTTCCAAGTTGAAGTAAGAAAATCCTACCCATCAACAAGAGAAAAGAAAAGAAAAAGGAGGATTATGTCAAACATTGTTCCATAATTTCTTCAGCGGTCGGAAGTTTTTTTTAATGTACGCAAATGGTGTCTGTGTACAAAGACCAGAGGATATATCGCTCATTTGCAGTTGGGCGTTTGTGAGTCGATTTCTGTCAAATCCCCAGAGACACATGGGAAGCAGTGTTAAAGTGATCTTCAATACCTGAGGAGGAACTTCAAAGTTATCGTTTTTAAACTTTTGGAGGTGAAAAGGCTGCACTAGTTGGTTACACAAGATGCAGGAATATGGCGGTGATCTTGAATTGAAAGAAAAATCTAAACATCAGGATTACCTATTTACATCTCAGGGGGAGCTATTTCATGGCCAGTCAAGATTGCAGAAAAATTGTGTTGTGTTCAATTATCAACGACTGAAGCAGAGTACGTTGCTGCAAGCAACGGAGCAGGAAAGGAAATGCCTTTGGTTTTAAAAGAGATTTCTTAAGGAAGAATGGTGTGTGCAGCAGGAGAAGAATATATAGTTTTTACTGTGATAGTCAAAAGTGCATTAGACTGAGCAAAAAATACTATTGTATCAGCACGAACGAAAGCACATTTGATGTAAAAATAATCATTTGCTCAGACTTTGCCATTTGAAGAGGTAGAGGAAAGCAGTTTGAAGAGAAGCAGTTTCAGTTGTGAAAGATCCACACAGACAGAAATGCTGCAGATATATTGACAAAGGTCGTTTCGAAGGAGAAGTTCGAGCTATGTGTCAAAGCAGCAAGGATGGAGAGTCCCACCATGTAGTTGGGAGGGGGAGAATTATTGTGGGGTCCCTCCTACATGTGGGACCCATACAAGTTTGAAAAGAAAAAAAAAAGGAAGATTCAAATGTTTGAATGAAGAAAAAAAAAATAAAAGGAGAAAAACACGTGTTGTTTAAAGAAAAAAATTTTCAAAGACAGTTGTGCCTACAAAATGAAAATGGATGCGTTGATTGTAATGCACGGCTTTCCCTCCTCTTCCCTCCTATAAAATAGAGGTACTGGAATACCTCTAGGCACAAAAAAAAAAACAAAAAACAAAGAAAAAACGAAAGTTTATTAATGTTAGGAAAGGGTTCCTAAAAATTGGGAAAAAAAAAAGAGAAAATAGTGAGGGAAATTAATTTTTGGGGGTTGTTTTTTGGGAAACAACTTTTGTGTGGCACTATTTTTTGAAATCTCTTTTTTTGTACCTACTATTTTTAGTAGAAGAATTTATTCGGAAGTTTTTGTTCCCGGGGACGTAGCCCATAACAGTTTGAAGGGTGAACCCGTTAAAAATTCATCGTGCTTCTTATTTTCTGGCCATTTACGGTTTAATTATTAATTTTTATCGTAACTATTTATTTCTGGCTTGGATTCGAATCGTCAATATTCATATTTTTTAATTTATGGAGGTATATGTGGTTAATAAGGTAATTTTATTTTACTTTTACCACTTGGATTGGAGGTATATGTGGTAATAGTAATTTTATTTTACTTTTACCACTGGTTATTTTTCTGCGGGCCCCACTCGGGATAAGTTATATTCCCAACAGAAACGTTGCGTTTTGATCCTTGTGAATTTTAATAATAAATAGTACCTTATTACTACAACTTAATTAAAAAAAAAAGTAACTAATTCCTTTCAAATAAAAAAAGAACTAAATAACTAATTCTAACGAGTTAGTTTATTTCCCAATTCTTTTTTAGGGTAAATTAGTGATTTTTTTTCTTCTTATTTATGAATTCTCTAATCACGTATGAATGGTCTTTCTTAATTTAATAAAATTAAAGAAATAAATTTTAGACTGTAATTTTTTCTTTTTTTTGGGGTAGTGCTAATTAAAGACTCACGTGTATGAAAAAGATAGAAGACTATTAGAGACAAATACACTTTATTAAGACCAATATTTTTAAAGATTATATTATATAAGTGTTTTTTTTAATACTTGCACGGGATATTCATACCCGTGTGTTTTAACGGGTCAAAAATCTGACAACCCTCACTCGTTCTTAGAGGCAAAGTGTCTGACCCGGAAGAGTTTGGGTTGCTAATTTATAGGTCACACATATAATTTTTTTTTTTTTTTTTTTTTTTTTTGGGTTGCTTAAAATTTATAGGTCACACCATATAAATTTTTTTGTTTTTTTTTTTTTTTTTTTTTTGAATATTTTTATGGATTTAATCAATAAGCAAAAACAAGTAGCAATCATGCCACTAATCATGTTCCAGTGATGAAAAAAAGGGCTTCCACGGCTATGGTTTTCAAGGACGCATTTCTCTTACAGGCCCAGGCCTCTTTCAATGCTAACCCATAAATTAAGTAATTAGTTTTAGAGATTATATAAATTCATTAGTGCAAGGAGAAAATTAAGAAGTACATTTTTATTATATTTAAAAAAACATTTTTTATTTATAATTTTTTTTAAAAAAAAAAAAACTCCTAGTTGTAAAGCTTATAGAGGATAAATAAAAAAATCATTAAAAGCACACCAAGTAATAAATAGTATGTATAATAATAAATTTGTAAATTTTATTGCCTCATGACTTATTACAAAAACACCATTGGCATTTTTTTTTTTTTTTTTTTTTTTTGAATATTGTTTATGATTAATCAATAAGCAAAACAAGTAGCAAGTCATGCACTAATCATGTTCCAGTGAAAAAGGCTTCCACGGCTATGGTTTTCAGGACGCATTCTTCTTACAGGCCCAGGCCTCTTTCAATGCTAACCCATAAATAAGTAATTAGTTAGATTTATATAAATCATAGTGCAAGAAATTAAGAAGTACATTTTTATTATATTTAAAACATTTTTATTTATAATTTTTTTAAAAAAAAAAAACTCAGTGTAAGCTATAGAGATAAATAAAAATCATAAAAGCACACAAGTAATATAGTATTATAATAATAAATTTGTAATTTATTGCCATGATTAATTAAAAACACATGTGGCAATCTTTTTCTGAAGATTATTTATTCATGACTGGGCATTCCAATTATTAATTAATTTTCTTGATTTTATGTTTATTAGTTACTTTCAAACTCTAAATATTGTTTTTGAAAATTTTAATTAGTCAAGGTTTAAAAATTAATAGCTTCTTATATGAGTCGCACAACTTAACCAAATGATTATTAATTATTTCATCCTCAAATGGCTGGGAATTATCAGATGGTATCAGTTTTTCTGGGGGGCACAGTTTCTTGGTCTTCTCTTCTTAATTAATTTAGATTTTACACATATGAATTTTCATTAATTTCATATTTAAAAAAAAAATAAATAAATAAAGTAGTCAAGTGTTTTCTATATTGATTTGTTTATCAATTGTTTGATTCGATCCAATTTGGTCTTCCTCAGTTTCTTGTAATGATTAGTGAGATTTGGTTTCTTTGCCTGAATGGATGTTTGGATGATTGAAATTGAACAATTACAATGCTATATGCAGACTTTTCACATTTCAACTAATGATTACAGAAAAGGATGAAGCAATGCCACAAATATCTTCATCCTACTTGAGGGACGATTGAAATTCGTGTTACATGGAGGAAATGTGCACCTCAAAAATGGCAGGCAAGAACGATACTTTCAAACAAGTCAAAAACTCACCCACCATTCCCTTCCAGTTCTATGTTTTAAAGACTATTAATTTGCTAAGAGTTATCTTATCCAATGGCTCTGTCAGGTGAGCTTGAGCTTGTGCTGCTGATAGTTCTTGTGCCACAAAACGCATAGCAGGTCTTTCCTCTGGATTTGTATTTGTGCATGCTAAGGCAACTCTAACTACAAAAGCCACCTTCTCTGCTAATTGGCCTGTAGGACATGGAAGCCTTTGGTCTAGCATTTCTTTCAGGAACATCTCCGAATCATTTGATGTTGATGTTTGCGGTAATGCCAGTGAAGATAAGAGATCCCCTGGATGCCTTCCCATCATGACTTCTAGTGCTACCACTCCAAAGCTATAAACATCGCACTTGTCGGTTACTCGCATTGTAAGCGCTAGCTCTGCACATTATGAAGCAATAGCAAAGTGAATATGATGGAGCTTTAATGGGTTAAAATTGGTGACAATAACACAATTGGTTAAGGAATAAAAAGAAAACCTTTGCTAAGGGCTTAATTAAAAGGAATGAAAAACTTGAATTATTAGTTTACCTGGGGCCATGTAGCCATATGAACCAGCAACTGCAGTCCAGTTTGATGAATCTGTATTCAACATTCTTGCTATGCCAAAATCTGAGACTCGTGGTTCGAAATCTGACTCCAGCAAGATATTATTCAGTGATATGTCTCGATGAACAATTGGTGGAGAGCAATCATGATGCAAGTATGCAATTGCATGAGCCACTCCTTGTACAATCTTCACCCTTGTAGCCCAACCAAGCTCCAGTTCTCCTTCCACTCCATACAATGCTTTCCCTAAACTTCCTCTCTCAACATACTCGTAAACCAAGTGCAAGAAGCCTCTCCTAGAACAATAACCATAAAGCTTGATGATGTTCCGATGCCTAACTTCTGTCAACATTCGGATCTCATTCTCAAAACTCTGCCAATTTGTTGCTGGAATATCATTCGTGTCTGATGTATTTAGTTTCTTGACTGCAACAACTTGACCTGTTGACAATTCAGCTTTGTAAACACTTCCGAATCCTCCTTTTCCAATGCAGTATTTCTCATTGAAGTCATCAGTAGCCTTAACAATATCTCCAAATGTGAATTTTCCTTCTCTTTCCCATATCATTGACTCAGAATTCTCGTATTTATGTACATCTTTGTTCTCTTCATCATGGAGTTGGGTCTTCCGACGAGATATTAAGACCGTGACAACAATTACGACTATTGCTAATAAGACACTTATTGGAACCATGACACCAATAAGAACCTTTTTGTTATACTTGGAAGATTTTCCATTTGATGTTGTCGGATTACATGGAGACAAGCCTTCTATGTATCCACACAAGTCTGAGTTTCCAACAAAAGCTTTTGCAGATGCATTTTGGAACATACCACCATTTGGGACGGGTCCTGTCAACTCATTGTAGGAGAAATCAAAAGAACGCAGACTAATCATGCCAGACAATGCTGTTGGAATATTTCCTGAAAGACTATTGTGCGAGACATTGAGATTTTCCAATAATGTAAGCTTTCCCAGATTAGCAGGTATTGTTCCTGACAGCGAATTGCTACTGAGATCCAACACGTACTGCAAGGAGTTCAAGTTGCCAAGCTCTAAAGGCATTTCACCTGATAGATTATTTTGACTCAAATCCAAGCTTGACAGCTTCCCACATTTCCCAAGCTCTTCTGGTATATTTCCAGACAGCTTGTTATCTGACAAATCAAGGGATTCGAGCTTTGACAAATTGCCCAAACTCTGAGGGACAACTCCTGTCAAATGGTTTTTGCTGAAGTTGAGCATGAATAACATGCTCAGATTTCCCAGTTCATTGGGAATCATCCCTCTCAAGTCATTTGAGTCCAGAGTTAGAACACCCAACTGGGTCAATTTCCCAAGCTCAGCCGGGATTTCACCAGAAATTCTGTTTCTGTCCATCTGTAAATTGGTGAGGTTTCCACATTCTCCCCAAGCAGGTGAGATTTCACCAATAAACTGATTGTCGCTAAGAGAAATGAAAACAAGTGCTGGATGAACTCCAAAAGCATCAGTGATATTTCCATTGAATTTGTTCCCATCAAATCGAACTCTAGTCAATCCTAAGCAACTCCTCAAGCAGGTTGGCAATGCCCCAGTAAAATTGTTTCCATTAACTGTGAGTTGTTCAAGAGCCAACCCACTGCAAAGTTCAGGTGGCAGCTCTCCAGAGAAGCTGTTGTCTGAAAAGCTAGCATATTTCAAAGAACTATACTTGCCAAGATCACTTGGGATGCTACCAAAGAAATTATTGGTGAACAGATTGATCGACTCTAGAGAACTAAGACGTGAAATGGTTACTGGCAACACCCCATGCATCTCGTTATTGCTGAGATCTAGAGTTACCAGAGATGTCATATTTCCAACATCAGGTGGAATTATTCCACTTATATTGTTAGAGAAAAGATTCAAAGTAAGCAGATTTGTAAGATTCCATAATGTTAGAGGAATTGGTCCTGAAAGTTGGTTTCCTGAAAGGTCTAGACTTTCCAAAAGATTCAAATTTCCTATCTCACGGGGAATCAAACCAGAGAGTGTGTTATTGTACAGGAAAAGAAGATTGAGATTTGTCAATTTTCCAATTTCCGAGGGTATATTTCCAGACAAGTAGTTATTTTGAAGTTGCAAGGAGGTCAACTCAGTCCAGTTGGTGAAAAGATAAGGTGAGATCTCACCTGTGAAAAAGTTATCAGATAGACCCAGATTGACCATTTTGCTCAGATTGGACAAGGATAGGGGCAATTCCCCACTCAGTTGATTCAAGGCCAACGCCAAGTAAGTGAGGTTAGTGCAAAGCCCGAGCTCAGCAGGAATTGTTGAATTTAAGGCGTTCATTCGGAGATCAAGTTGTTCTAAATTCCTGAGTTGGCCTAAAGTAGATGGAATGCTGCCAAAAAATGAATTGTTGTACAACTCAATAATTTGAAGACCAGACAACAAGCCAATACTTTCAGGGATCTGACCACTAAACTCATTAGTTGCTAGATGAAGATGTTTGAGATTGGAAAGCCTGGAAATGTTTGATGATAATGGTCCATGGAACAAATTATTTGTGAGATTGAAGTATTCAATCTTACCCAGATTGGGATACACCCATTCTGGTATGTCGCCAGTCAATTGATTGAGTGACAAATCCAAAAAGGTCAAGTTCCAGCAATTGGATATGAAATCAGGGAATCCTAAAGTAAGTTCATTAAGAAAAAGACTAAGGTGCATCAATGAAGGCATACTTGAAAATTTAGACCAATCAGGGGTTTCCAAGAAGTTTGCTCCAAGGTCTATGTACCATACCTTTTGAAGATTGCTGAGCTGATAAGGAATTGTACCATTGAGATTGTTGTTAAAAAGAGTGAGATACCGAAGCTCTGTTAATCGCCCGATCTCTATAGGTATGTTGCCAGCGAAAAAGTTAACACTCAAATCCAAGTAAGTGAGCTTGGAGAGGCTACCAATAGCTGATGGAATTAGTCCTGCAATATTGTTATTCTGGATATCAAAACTGGCGATGTTTGCAAATGAAGAGAAGTTGAATTGGATGAGTGTTCCAGTTATGTTTAGATTGGAGAGGTTTATTTTGGAGATTGTTCCAGTTGTGTCACAGGAAATTGCAGTCCAGTTGCAAAGATTTTGGAGGTTGGTGAGGGACCATGAATTGAGAAGAGGAGGCGAGGAAGATAAAGTGCTTTTCCATTTGATAAGAGCTTCTGCTTGTGTTGTTGGTGATGAAGTAATTTGTAATGGAAGCAAAGAAAACAGCAAAAGAAAATGGAACAAAAGAGAGAGTTTTTGAGTTGTAGTCATTCTTAGTTACTTGAGTTCTATATGATATGGGCTATAATCCTATATAGAAGAGAAGCAAGCAAAGGTATTCACTTTCAAAACTGTAATCATTAACTAAAATTATAGGCCTTAAAAATTTCAATTCATAGAATGATGAAGTTGCGGTAACATCTAGCTAGCTTTTCTTTTAAGTTGGATTTGAGAAATGGTGCTGCTTAGTTTAGGATAAAGGAAAAGGTTTAAAATATTATAGCTATAACCAGCTAAAATTGTGAAACTAGGGAGTTTAAACACGAGTGCTTACCAGGGTAGGTTACTTTCCCTGTTCAGTTGACTTTAAACATGGACATCGTATTCAACTATTATACTCTACGTATATTTAAACTGTCCTTTACTTTCATATTTTCTGCATTTTGTCAATGGGTATCAAGTTCTCTGGCATGAACTCCGTATTCCTGTTTTCAACTGAACTTCAAGTCAAAGTTTACAGCTTTCACGTGGGTTGACTAAATAAATACAATAATATATATGAGAAATTATAGATGGCATGAATCGTGTTTGCTCTCTCCTTATATATATATATGGTTTGGCAAAAAAAAAAAACTGAACTTTATGCAAAAACCTATTCTTTTTTAAATTCAAGAAATGCAGAAAATGCGTGTAGATTAAGAAGCAGTACATGAACCGGAAGCTACCCAAAACATTTTTAACATATATTTTAGGTACTTTGTTTTGCCAGTGTATATCTGGTCAAATACACTTAAATCATTAACATACTCTTCTTTCACGAGTTGAATATTTTAATACCCAGAAACTTCAACTCGCCGTAAGAGTGTCCTGAAGCTAATTTATCCATACCGCTTGCAAATTTGAGATTAATACTTCTAGATTTGATTAGTGGATAAAACAGCAATACAAAGTGCCAAGTAAAAAAACCGTGAGCTTACACCTAGCCAGATAGGAGTTGGGAGCAATTATGATGGTATAGCCATCATGGAAGCATTAAACATAATATAATTGGTAATTAAAAACATGTGGATCATTCTTTTGTTTTTGACATCGTGAAGTAAGGGGCACCTCACTTAGTGGACTAATAGAGAAACAATAATAATAATAATAATAATTTAAAAAAAAGAATATAAAATTAAAAACTTGCAGGTGATTCTATAGTGCTAAATTCTAGCAGCACTAAGCAATGATATAATTGCATGGAGGATTGACTCATGGTTAATGTTTTAAATTTTAAGTATTAATAATCTCCAGGCAATTAATCAGAGCCGCAATTTCTAATTCTCTATTGTTGGTTTTCTAATTAAACACCATGTTTGACAGTCCTTTATTTGCAATACAATTGAAGAAAACTAACAAGAGTCTATCTATTATGTAATTATAGAAGAAATCAATAGAATATTTTCTGTATCTGCAAAATTAATAATTGATCATTCTTAAGTTTTATTTTTATAGGTCTACCTATTATGATTAGGTGTTGACATGACGAGATTTTTCTATACAATGCAAAACATACGTACAATTAATAAATCTATATACCAACTCCTAAATTCTCAAAAAAAAAAAAAAAAAATTTTTTGGGCCTTAACCATCGTTTGGACAGTCCTTTTATTTTGGCAATTACAATTGGAAGGAAAAACTAAACCAAGAGTCTATCTATTATTGTAATAATTTATAGAAGGAAATCAATAGAATATTTCCTGCTATCTAGCAAAATTCTTAATAATTGATCATTCTTAAGTTTTTATTTTTAATAGGTTCTTACTATTATGATTAGGTGTGACATTGACGAGATTTTTACTATACAATGCCAAAAACATACGTACAATTAATAAAATCTATATACCAAACTCCCTAAATTCGGTCCAAAAAAAAAAAAAAAAAAAAAAAATCTATTACCAAAAAAAAAAAAAAAAAAAAATCTATACCAACTCCTATACGTAGTCAAATATCAAGCTTTGACTACTTAAAATTTATTACGTTTAGCTTAGAAAAAAGCAAATTGATTTGGACCAGAAAACTTTTTCCTTTTTTTTGTTCCATAAAATTTAATTAAGCAGGAAATGTCAAATACTGGATGGAACTATCTTATCCAATATTTGACTTGGCAAAATACAACTTTGCTTGTGTGAAATCAGTTGTTTAAATATTTAGTAGAAAGAAAATTAATGAAATGAGCTCATGGTAAAATGAAATTTCGAACACTGCAACTAATGAATTCGCCATTGCTATCAAATAAATAAGGAAACGCTTAACTATCTGGGTATGCAGGTGACAATCAAGGACAGAGCCAGACTCTAAGATTTAGAGACTAAAGAAAAATTTTCAAAAATTTAGGGGGCCCAGTCAAAGTAAAGATTTTTTTTGCACTATTTCACAAATCAAAGAATCAATATCTTGCCACTACGGTCATCATTTTGACATCAATAATCCTTAACCATATGCTCACTTTTTGTAAAGTTGTACTCCTATATGACTGCAAATGTCAGCATGCCACTGTGTTCCTTTAAACCACATGAAACTTTCACACACCTAGTAATATAGATGACTTTTTGAATGTAAGAATTGCAATTTTATAGCATCTCACTTCCTTAATCTCAATTTGAATAATCCCATAGGACATATCCCAATTGGAATTGGGAATGCAACATACTCCAAGTTCTTAATATCTACAACAATTCACCCACAAGTCCAATTCAACATCAACTGGCAGTCTACAAAACATGCTGCTTCTCAATTTTGGTGCAACCTACCAGAGGTGCAGTTCAGTTTAGGGGTATAGCATCTTTAACTAGACTTTGGCTCTCTTACATCGTTTTAAAGAAGATTCCCAGGATTATCACAGAGTGCCTAAAGCTGACTTTCCTCTTCTTTCTGAAAATCTGATAACGGGCCAGATCCCAATGCAGCTACCGACATGCCTGCGAGAGCTGGAATTCCTTAATTTGACTGGAAATTTCATTTAAACGGCCTTTTCCCACAGAAATAAGAAATTTTACAAAGCTTCGACACCTGAGGCTTGAAATAAACCTGTAGAATTACCTATTGCAGATGAAATTGGACACGTTCCAAGCCTTCAATTGCACAACACTCTGTTTTACGGGCCACTACCCTCTGCAATAGGAAACCTGAGGATTACTTTGATATCTAAGTCTTAAATGAGCACGCCTAAATTCTAGCATCTCAAAAAAAACGTGGTTTATGTACCAACCCCACTTATATTGAACACTCTCCAATCTACCTTGGGGGTCAATTTCCTCTTTCCTTGGCCTCATTAACACAAATCAGAGAAGTAGGCATTTCTGGTAACAAACTATCTGGCCACATACATCCATATCTCCTATCCAACTAATCAATGCTCATTTCTCAGCAACTCCAAGTGAACGATTTATCTGAAATAATTACACCTGAAAATTGAAGCCATATACAGCCTCACTTTGTTATGCACGCGTGAAAATCCCATGTCATAGCCTACAATGCATTAAAAATTTCCAGCGAATTGCAAGCAGGTATGTGTCTCCCACTCCCTCACCCCTCCACATGCTTATATTGCAATACGAACTTGATGGATGAGTTTTTTCACACATCACTCACAAGCTTCCGATCAGATGATAGCGGTAGCGAGCACTCGCTGTCACAACAAGATGGATGTATGTCAATACATAACCCATTCAGGAAGTTTGTTTGCTATGTTCTTTCATCCAAGACCAAGTATGTAAAAGTTGATGCATTCAACTCCCCAAGTCCCATATGATTCGACATATATTCTTCTGTTCTCCAATAAATGCCAGAAAGAAAATTAATTTTCTTCACCTTTCCAAAATTAAAATCAATAGAGGAATTTATACTTAATTACACCTATACTCAATTGATACTAATGGTGATAGAAATCTCGTGAATAGAAGCTCAGATTCAAACAAAACAGAAACTAACACAAGCACATTCGCAATAAGAAAAACTTCGTAACAAAAATTAATTCACAGAAAGTAGAAACGAAGAATATTATAACAAAAATCGCCTAAGATTCAGATATTAAAGCTATTCAATTTAATGAAGAAAGAGGAAACCCTTGTTCTATGATATTTCAAGGCTTTTGATAGTTAGAGCTGAAGGAAACTACAAATGGAGGCCAGATGCTTGTTTAAATGTCCAGCAACAAACAAGCACAGATCAAACAAACAAACAAAAGAGTAATTAACACTAACCTTTGTTTGTTATTTGAGGATGATAACTCAATCCCAAGAAGAGCAGCACGAGAGAGAGAGAGAGAGGGGAAGAGGGAAGACAATTTTTTACTGCCTCCGCCATGGTTGGTTTCTTTCCCGCCTTACAATTTATCAGCTTTAGAGCCTACGTCGTTTCTGCGCATTTGCTACCCTCTTGAGGGCAAGAAGGGATTATTAACTGTTACTGTCAAATTTGTCATTTATAATATTCTCAGATATACAAATAAAATGATAAATAAGTAAAGAGTAGTGCTAGATGCTTAATTTGGTCACTTCCACTGCTGCAGCAGAGACAAAATATCTAAAACACCTTCGATAGTTTCGATGTAGTATTATAAGAATTATACGAGACTCAAATTAGCCGATCCTTGTGTTAGGCTCAAATTAGCCAATTATATAAATAAAAATAAATATAAAAATTATGTCAGGATTAAATTGGCTAATTATATTTTCTAATGAATAAAAATAAATAAGAAATTGTCAATGATTAAATTACAATATTTTAAAAAAATGTTTATATATATAATTTTAAAAAATATATGTAATTTTTTATTACTGCGTAATTTTACCCTACCATAGTTGGAATAGGAGTATAGGACTCCTTGCGTCTCTACGTAAAATATATAACGATGCAAGAAGCGGCTAAGGGTTATACATATAATCTGGCGAGAAGTCGAGAAGGCACTGGAGCACTATATTATATTCTGCTCTGATTGTTGTAATCGGTTCTTGAAGATGGATAGGAGCGGCAAGAGACAAAGAGGTCTTAGTGAAGAGCAAAAGCCATGTTTCGTTACCAAGGAAGATAGTGAAGACATTGTTGCTGACGGAGAAGATGTCAATGTGCCTGCAAGTTGCCTGATGTCCAAAAGAAAAGGGGATTTGCGCAAGAAACTCCAGCTTAAGGTGCGGTGGAACGACGAAGTTGGAAAAGAACTAGTTCTTGTAATTGAGAAGCAGGGAGATATGTAATATTACTTGCTTTAATTCTTTAATTTTTTTTTTTTTTTTTACAAGTTAATTAGTTTTGTGAGAGTTTCTAAGTTTTTTCTATTCAATTCCAACTTGAGACACATTAGCAATCTTTTGCTAGTTTTACCAGATGATGTTCAAGAAAAAAAAAAAAAAAGTGGATAGAATTAAATTAATTGAATTACATTGTATGAACAATCAAACTTCAATCAGAAAAATAAAAGAATACAACAGGAAACACGTATTTCACAGATAATAATGGATTCACAAGCCAAACCAACAAAACGGAGATGACAGATACAAACAAACTGCAGTCTATGATTGTTTATTTATCGTTAGAAGCGCAAGCACCTCCACCCAAAGCTCTCTCCAGCCTGGTCTCAAATGGAGTAGAATGCCAATTCACTCTCTTGTCCTGCAGACCCATAAAAATTCAGTTAAGTTCTGTCATCAGCTACTTCGAAAAAAATTCCCACAAAAGTTCACTTGACATTTACCTCCCTATACTTGCTGGTTGTGTTTGGTATTCCTTTGAAAGAAGAAGCTGAGCCAGAATCCTTGCCAGAGCCATTGTTATTCCAATAGGTTCCAACAGTTCCGATGATAGGCATCTCATCAGGGCTACGACTAGGTGACTTCCTTGGCGAAGAAGAAGCCGAAAATTGTTTAAGCTCTTCCAGGGTTAATGCTCCTAAAATAGGTCTATCTTCGAAGCTTGCAGGAGAATTTGATCCCAATGACATGTCTTTTTCAGGTGTAATGGTATCTAAACCAATTTTACTAGGCTTGTTAACTGGTGTTCTATCGGATGAACCCAACCAGTTAGATAAGCTAGCATCCACTGCCATTTCTTGGTTTGATTTCTTAGATTGATTAGAATTTGCTTTGAAACTGAATGACAATTCCCCAAAACTAAGTTCAGAGCTAAATGAATTCCGCGGTTCTTGACCTAGTGTGAAATTTTCTTTCTGCTGCCTCAATGTTGGTGTCCCTTTTGCTTTCACAGCCTTCCACTGAGTAAGATTTTCAACTGGGTTTAACACAGAATTCACATACGCACTCCTATCTCGAGCACTTGGATTTGGCTTCACTTCCCTCTCAGGCAGACTACTTATCACTGCAGGACTATCAACTTCCTCAGTAAAGGGTAATTTCCCTTTAACCATAGGTACTTTAGACCTTGACTCAAAAATTTCATCATCTTCATAATCTAGGACACCATTATCTTCATCCTTATCATCATCATCATCATCATCATCATCATAATCTTCAATGTCACTTTCTCCATAGTCTAATTCATCATCACTGTCTCTGCAATTCTGGTATCTATGACTGGAAGGATACGATCCTGATGAGCTCGAAGTGATTGAACTATCTTCAGAAGAGGACTGAGATTGGCTTGGTTTTGCTAAATTCTTCTCCTTGTCCTCCTTCCTTTCTCCTCCATTTCCTTTCTCCGAGGAAAACTCAGTTGATTCTTCAACTGAAATGTGCTCATAGGTTACAACATTGGAATTGAATGTTACTTTCTTTCGAGCACTTAAGCTCAATTGCTCCTCAGGATTATCCCTAAAATCAAACCCCAAAATTAAGTCAAAAAGCCCAATAAAATCAAAATCAAAACAATATAATAGATAACAGGGAAAAGATAAAGGGAATGAAAAGCTCAAAAGCCTTAAACTTTTTTTGGTTACTCACCGGATTTCAGAAACTGAGTTAGTGGGTTTTTCTGGTTTGTTCTGCACCAAAGAAACAGCAGATTGTACTGGAGTGTACCCTACATTTCGCTGCAGTTGAAATCATAACTCAAACTTAAAATTTACCAATTGAAGCTCTATTTAGTTGTTACAAAGAAAATCAAGAAAACAAACTAAAATGAATCAAAAAATTTATATCTTTTAAACATATATACTTAAACCGAGCCTTTCTCCAAAAGAGGGATAACTGTCAAGTCTTTATCCGCTCTTTTTCCCCTCATTTTCTTAGATGCCAAACAGATGACAAGAAAGTCTAAAATTCCAAGAAAGGTCTAATATTTACCTGTTCTCGAGGTTGAACCTTGTGCCTCTGTTTTCGGCGTTTGCGATCCTTAGAGGAACCAAAGCACCCAAGAAAGCAACCCATTAGAGAAAGTCCCTTTCTCTTCTCGTTTCCTGTTTCTTCAAAGCAGCGGTTACTGGGTTCTCTAGTAAGAGAGATTTGGTTAAAGAGTCTTCATTGCAAGGGGAGAGAGAGAGAGAGGAGCAGGAGCGTTTTGGAAAAAGGCAGTAGGGACAAAACGGTCAAGCGAATTTGATTAGAAAAGGCTTTAGGGTTTTATTATTGTTTTTAGAAGGCAAAAAGCAAGTGACCGTTAGGACTTAGGATTGTTGAGGCCAGCCTGCAAATTTTGGATCTTCGTAATTTTGCAGTTTATTTATCCACTGTATCAAAATGGACCGTTAATCCACTAAAAGTTGGCGGGTCCAAGTAGAGGCTGACGTGTAATCAAATTGAAGACGTGGATTAGGCTTTTTTTTTTTTCATGGCCTAATCACCAATTATAGAATTTACAATCTCAATAAAAAGATTAAAAAATTCAAATATTTATTCGTCCAATTACAAGTGAATTTTATTAAAGAAAAGAAAATGCATGCTTAATTTTTATAGAAAAAAAAATATAGAGGATTAAATGACTTAAAACTTTATTTTTTAAAGCTATATCCATCTTGTCTTTAAATAAATTGAATTTTATCTATTTTATTCGAGTTGAGTCGATTTTGAATGGATATCTAATTCGATTAATAAAATTATTGTCATCCCTAAAAATAAGAGATTATAATATAAGGTAATAATATTATTTATGTTTTAAATTTAATAAATTTATTAAAACTATTTTTAATAAGATATTAATTTACAAAATTAATGCAAAGATCAATGCACCGATTTCAGTATAATACAATATTAATTCACTAGTTATCCATATACGTTTCAAATCTTAAAAAAAATAACGGAAATTATTTTATTTTTCCACAAAAAGAAAATAAGAAAAAAGTAGCAACATTAGAATATGGTTATTCATTTAATAACATAAAAATATGAGACGGATTTTACTCCAAATAACGTAAAACCAATTGCTTTTATATGTTAAATAATTAAAAAAAATATTGAAAATAAAACCTAGTTTAGAAGTCAATTGAAATTTATCTTTTTTAATTACTTTTTTCACAAGTATGAATATATAATATTTATGGATTTGTGTTTGTATACATGTTAAATAATTAAATATTTTATTTTATTTTCTTAAAAAAAAAAGGTTTAATTTGCTCCATGAATTTAAGTAGACATATAATTCATACAAAAATCAATTTTTTTATATAATTATCACCTCAATTTTGCGCTAAATTATAAAAACAGATCCAACTTATAGCCAAAAACAATAATTTTATCAGTTAAAAATCATTATTTACTTTTTGTTTGGGTTAAAAATTATTATTTTTTCCATAAGACAAAAAATAAATCTTTGGTTGGGCGGGAAAGAAAAGGGGAATATTGGGGTGAGAGAGGCTCGAACTCTCGACCTCAGGATCACTCGTTTGCTATGAGACCTACGCGCTAGCCAACTGCGCCACCACCCCACTGTTGGTAAGTTGTGTGCTATCATACATATAACGTTACAACAACAAAAATGAAGTGCATTCCCCCGTCGGTTTAGAAACAAACCCTAGTCCATTCCCTCCTTTCTCGTTCCCTCTCTTCTCTGTCTCTGTTTCTCTCCGGAGTCGAGTTACAACCATAGTCTTGTACAAAGACTGAGTCTGTAATGGATTCAGACGAGGGGAAGCTGTTTATTGGGGGAATAGCATGGGACACCACAGAAGACACTCTCAGAGACCACTTTAGCCAGTACGGAGATGTCTCCCAGGTTGTAATAATGCGTGACAAGACCACTGGTCGACCTCGTGGTTTTGGCTTCGTTGTATTCTCCGATCCCTCGATTCTCGATCGAGTACTGCAGGATAAGCATACCATTGATGGCCGTACCGTAATGCCCTTCCTTTTCTTATTTATTTACACTCAATCTCAATTTTATTGTTTCTGGGTTTCCTTTTTTTCCTTTTGTCTGTTCTCTTGGGTGAATAACTAGTTTTGAACCATTAGTGATACTATCTGTTTCTCATATAAGGTACGTTGGGATATTTGCTTTGTAATGTTTTTTATGGGTGATTATTTGTTTTCTGTTTAGTGTTATTAATGGGTTTTTGTTATTTCATGGTATGGTTTAATGGAACTATGGTGCTTCAATTCTTAATCGGTTTTCTGATTCAATCGTTGTGGAAAATTGTGGGCACCCCATTCATAGTTGAATTGCCAGGCGTAGCCTTTAATTGATTACTCACAGTTGTTTTGAGGGGTTTGAATGATTTTTTTTTTTTCTTATCCTGGCTCCAATGTTTGCAGCAGGGGCCTTAGATAGTTCGCTGGAAGCTTAATAGGGTCACACTTGCTTTTGTAGTCCCCCGCTCAAGTGTTTTTTGGTTGCTCATTTATTTTACTAAAGAGGCCATAGGATATTCAAACCATTGATTTATATTATCATCAATGATTATGGGTTCACATAAAGATTCTTCTTCTTGAGCATGCTACTTAATTATTAATATCTTTTGGATTGCTTTCTAAAACAAATTGTGTGTGATTTATTGTATTGCTTGAATTTCTATAGTTTTCTTGGTGTATTACCAAAATTTCAAGACTAGAAGTCTGACATCCATGAATTTGGCTTGGATAACTGTTGTTTATCCCATCTTCTGTAAAGAACAACTTTTTAGTGTTCGCCATCATGTTCATGTTTAATAACTTCATGCATGCACACACGCTTGAATGTATTTCTTCAGTAGTTTAAATATATGCTTTGACAACACAGGTAGAGGCTAAAAGAGCTTTATCAAGAGAAGAACAGCAGACCTCCTCTAGACCTGGTAATCTTAATGCTGGTAGAGGCACTGGTGGTGGTGGAAATTTTAAGACCAAAAAAATATTTGTTGGTGGTTTACCATCAACACTGACAGAAGATGGTTTCCGGCAATACTTTGAAAGCTATGGTCATGTAACTGATGTGGTAATAATGTTTGACCAGCATACTCAGAGGCCTCGTGGCTTTGGATTTATCACCTTTGACGCTGAGGAGGCAGTTGATAGAGTACTTCACAAGGTATTCCATGAACTGAATGGTAAACTTGTAGAGGTGAAACGAGCGCTCCCAAAAGATGCAAATCCAGGTGGTGGGGGCCGTGGTGGGGGCTATCAGGGTTATAGTGGCTCTAGTGCTACTTCAAATTTAGTTGATGGTCGGATGGACGGAAACAGATACATGCAGACCCAGACTTCTGGGGGTGGGTATCCACCTTATTCTGGTTATGGTGCGCCAAGTTATGGTTATGGGGCAACAAACAGCGGAGTTGGTTATGGTGGTTACAGTAGTTATGGGGTTAGTGGCTATGGAGGTGGGAATACTGGATTTGCAGCTCCAACAGGGGCATATGGCATGCCTGGTAACCTGAAAAATAGTTGGGGTAGCCAAGTTCCTTCTAATTATGCTGCTTCAGGTTATGGTGCAAATGCAAGTTATGGGGCCACAACTCCATGGAGTGCATCTGGTGGTGGCAATTCTGCTTCAGCTAATATGGGCCAATCCCCAGGTGGAACTCCTGGGTATGGTGGCTATGGTTATGGCAATTATGGTGGAAATGATGGTCCTTATTCTGCTGGATATGGAACAGCCGGTGGGCGCACTGGAAATGCCCAAAATAACAGTGCTGGCACCGGAGCTGCTGGGGGAGAACAACAGGGGAGTGGAGGTGGCTACCCAAGTGGTGGCTATGGTGATACAAATGGAAATTCAGGATATGGAAATGAAGCCTGGAGGTCTGATCCTTCGCAAGCATCAGGTGGTTACGGCAGTGGGTATGGTACAAGGCAGGCACCACAGCAGTGACTGGTGATGCCTTTAGTTTTGCAGGAATTCATACTCAGGCATCTATTCATATTTCAGTGATGAAGAACGAGGACATGACGGCAGCAAATCCTGGGAATGGTTGGACTGCTTGAAACCTCAGTTGTAGTTTGCAGTAGTTTTCTGCTAGTATATAATGGCTAGTAGTTTCAAGTAGTGGCAATATTTCTTATCTATTAGTCACAATTGTTAACTTAAAGATTTTTTCTTCTTTTTTTTTATCTTTTTCTTCTTCCTCTCTCTACTGTTTAGAGCTGGAGTAGTGTTATAAGCATTTCCTATTATTATTGAATGTTGGTTGTGTTGGTATTTGACTATTGATTGTTTATTGGTTAATATATTATCATCTGCTAGAATCTCATGGTCTCTTAAATATATTTTTACATAAGCAAGTTGCTTTTACTAGCAGCACAACAGAGCTGCTAAGTTTGTAGTGAAGCTTCGTGAGCTTCGCTACAATTTGATGGATCTAGCGGTACTAGTATTTATCACTAACTAGTCTAGTGGAACTAGCATTTGTCACTAAATAGCCTAGTGGTACTAGCATTTATCACTAACTATAGGTTGTAGCAGTAATTGTAGCGGTAATAGAATATTGTGGATGGAAATAATCATTTTCTTTCCTGTATTTGACCTTTTTGTACAGGAGAGTCTCAGCTCTAGCATGCAACTGAGCTTGGACAAGGACTGCATTTAAACTGAGCTTGGTTGATGATGATTTGTTCACTTGATATTTAACGCAGATTATGGATTGGGGCAAGAGTCATCCCATTCTGCATAAGTGGTAAATAACGCAGATTATGGAGTGGGGAAGGAGTCCTCGGATTCTGCATATGTGGTATGTGTAGAAGTTGAAGTGTGGCAAAAATTTTCTGATTTTCCTTCCTATTTCCGTTTGTTCTTTTATTTTTTCATTTGGTGTTAACTACATGGAGTTGAAGGAGATGAATTGAGCATGCAGGCCTATTTTGAGAGATTAAAAGCATTTAAAACATTGGTGAAAGATGATTTTATGATGTCTTTAGTTAGCCGATGCTGTTATCATTCATCTTGTTCTTCTGTTTTGAATATCTGCTAACAGTTCAATCTCTAGAATTGATGGTACTTACCAAGTGCATCTCCTGGCGGAAAGATTGTACCTTGCATTTCGTTTCTCTTCCCCTACAGTTTCGCACTTAGCCACCAATTTCTCCTCTGTATTAATGATTAATTTATTTGCTTGTTATTCTGTAATATCTTCTGTTCTTGATATTGACTTCATGGGGTTAGTTTAGGCATTTATGAACTAAAGTGTTTGACCTTTTTTTTTTTTTTTTTTTCTTTTTTTTTTTTTTTTTTTTTTTTATCTTGATACTGGACATTTATCTTGATCAGGTGTTGGATATATATTTCTTTGAGAAAAACCAATTATTTTTAAATTATGTTTTTAGAATATTCAATCAAAATAGGGGGGGTAAAACGTATCGAATACCTGAGTCCTCCAATGGGAATCTCCAATTTTAAAAATACCCGATACTGTGATAGTTTTTAAAAAATACCAATCCAATCTCAAAAAAATGGGGTCATCAAAAATCGGGTTCAGATCTGATTTGATTATCCATCGAAAATCGAGTGTTTTTTATTTATTTTTTTAATATTAAATGTTATAAACTGTCTATTCTTGGAGTTGAGAATAATATTTTTTATTATTATATTATTAAAATTTAAAAAGAAGAATGATGCCTCACCAAATGTTTTATTCTATGAATGATTTGCAAAAGAGGAGAAGATTTACGGTCTTGTGACTTATTGACAAGAAATAAAAAAATGCAAAGCTTTTCGTTGTTTTTTATTTTTTGTTTTTTTTTTTTTTTTTTTTTTTTTTAATTTTTTTTTTTATTTTTTTTTTTTTTTTTTTCCTTTTTTTTTTTTTTTTATCTTGATACTGGACATTTTATCTTGACAGTGGATATATATTTCTTTTGAGAAAAACAATTATTTTAAATATTTTTAGAATATTAATCAAATAGGTAACAGTATCGAATACCTGAGTCCTCCAACTTGAATCCAATTAAAACCCGATATGGATAGTAAAAATACCAAATCCATCAAAATTGGTTCATCAAAATCGGTTCAGATCTGATTTGATATCCATCGAATCGGGTAAAACTGTCTATCTTGAGTTGAGATAAAGAAGATGATGCCTGCACCTAAATGTTTTATTCCTATTGAATGATGCAAAGATTACGGTCTTGTGACTATTGACAAGAATAAAAATGCAAGCTTTTCGGTTAAAGCGGAAGCTGGTAGTTACAAAGTCGGAGATTTGGGCTGCGAACTTGGATGGATGGCTCATTCCAACGTATTTCAATTTATAAAGAAAGTTAAAAAATAATTTAGCTGAACCTTTATTGATTTTTAATTAAATATGAAATGTTAAGTTTGTAATTATTCTAAATAAAATATGAAAAGACAATTTTGATTAATTAGTCGATTTTGAATTCTTAATTAAATATAGAAATACAATTTTATTCAATTTTGAATTGAATAATCAAATGTGGGAAGTAACTTTTGATTGATTCTCAAAATATGCAAAATCGAAACTAAAATCCTAAAAATAACTTTTTTTCATGTTTTAGCAATTTGATATTATAAAATTTGTTATGAGAATTATTTTAATATGGATTATGTTTGTATGAATGATAAAAATTTTGATCATCATAATATATATATATATATAAAATAAAAACTGTCCTTTCAACAGATACAACTGAAAAACAAAACAAAAACAAAGACATGACTAACACTCCACCCCACATTGTTTAAGAATAGGGCCAGTTTGTTTGGGCAAGAAGGGATCAATTCTCACCCAAACAAGTGAGAAAATTGATGCAAGAAGGATAGACCATAATACTACAATGGTGGGAGTTCTGTTTTGTCTTCCCATCAAACCTTTTAGGAAAGGATAGAGATGAACAATGACCCAGAATGCGAAAAATAGCTTCCCAAATAATGGACCCCAAGAGCCATAGCCATTGTTGATTGCATCAGAAACTCCTGCAACAACTCCAACCATGTTCAGAATAATTAGAGTAGTTGGTGGGATTAAAAGGGTTGTCCATTTGAATAGGTAAAGCTCTCCGAACTCTGCATCATCTGCTGCTTTCGCCGTGACTGTAAAATTTGTGTCAACTCCGGCAAGAACCTTCAGAAGGCCTTGGAATACTGCAAAAAGATGAGCTGACACGCCACCAATGACCCAGAATTGCTCGTTACGCCACCAATCCTCAATGCTTACTCCGCTCCATCGAAGCTCTAAAATGCCTGTTGCTATTATGGAGAGGAAAAGTGCCAAGAACCATACACTAGCCAAATTGGTAAGCTGCAAGAGATAGATAAATTGAAATTATAATGGATTTTATATTTCAAGAAAAATGGCGTGGAAAATGATTACTTACTGTAGGAATTATGAATTTTCCTGTTAAAAGGCAAACGGCTGGAATAGTACAGTATGCAAGTAAAGGAATGGAAGTGAAAGGATAGACGATGGTGTTAATATAAGCAAGCCTCTCTAGCCATTTCAACTTTCCTCCATAGCCATACCACAATGGACAATGGCGACTGAGGAAAATTTCGACAGAGCCAAGAGCCCATCGAAGAACTTGATGAAGACGATCTGATAGATTAATAGGAGCTGATCCTTTAAAAGCTGCTCTCTTCGGACTACAGTAAATTGATCTCCATCCTCTACAATGCATTTTGAAACCTGTCAAAATATCTTCTGTAACTGAACCATAAATCCATCCAACCTCTTTGCCCCATTCTGTTTTCTCTTCATAACCACAACTTATAACATGAATGGCTTCTTTAATGAGTGTTGAAGGATTAGTTCCTTCTGGCAATCCTCCTTCTTCCATAAGAGTGGAGGCAATAAATACAGGTGATTGCCCAAATCTTTTCTCGAAATTTTTCTGTGACATAAGTGATGATTTTTCCAACTCTTCATATCCTTCAAGCCCTTCTTCAATCTCTTCAAGTTCAAATACTGCTCCTGATGACCCTTTCCTCGTATACTTGTTACCCATCATTTTCTTTTTCCTGGCAAGTAATCCACCAAGCAGACCTGTATGCCCTTTCTTCTTAGATTTCGACTTCCTTGACCCGCTACAGCAACAGCAGCACCATGAAGGCAAGCAATCACATGTCATCTTAGGCCTTTTCTCAGACACCGGTGGATCATAGCCGTACAAGGCCTGCCTGTTGAAGACACAACCAGTACCCACATATACTGGTCCTTGAACCCCATCTAATCCTTTCATGTTAATCTATATATAATCAAAGCAAAATTAAAGTTCAAAAAAAATTGAATTGTACAAGTTAAGGGAAAAAAAAATGCTTGTGATGGTCAACTACTCTAACTTACATCAAAGAAGACAGTGTTGCGATTAGCATATCTGTCATGGCGATCGATACCATCGAATCTCTGAGGAAACTGGACATAACAGAGCTTCTTTCCTAGCTGGGGATCCATTAAAAAGCACATGGCTTCCCTTGCAGCTTTGCTGTTGTTAAGGTAATGATCACAATCCAAGTTCAACATGAAAGGTGCATTGGTGAGCACTGCAGAAACTCGGATCTAGTGTTGACACAGAGGAAGTATAATTAATTATGAAACTAGCCATTTGAATCTCATATATAGGAATCTGCAAAAGAGAATCTGAAAGTGAGCTACTTACTAGAGCATTCATGGCACCTGCTTTCTTGTGGTGATCATAACCTGGTCGCTTCTCACGAGAAACATATACAAGCCGAGGAAGCTCCTTACCTTCCACATCAAGGGCACCTTCACTCCCAAGATACACCTGCAAAGAGAAAGTACAGTTTTGAGTTGCACTTGCCATGGAAGAAGATTAATTTCATCAAATTTCAGATTATAAGTAAACCTGAATCATGCCAGGATGATCTCTTGTGTTATTTCCAGGCCATGGTGTACCATCCTGCATCACCCATCCTTCTTCTGGTTTCTTTTGAGCCTTTGCCACTAATGAATTAATCTTCACCTTGAATTCTTCATATTCTCTCTATAGTACCAAAAAATTATTCTGTTAATTCAAAGGATCAAGAACATACAAAGTAAAGATTGTAGAAAAGAAAATTTGATTGCTTACTTTCATAGCTCTACGCTCCTTGACAAAGTTGGGATGCACTTTATCTTTCAAGTAGTCTATTTTCTGAGAGAAGTAGAATTCAGGAGCCCTTGGCTCAATGTTATGTTTCTTGCAAAATGGCACCCATCTCCTTGCAAACTCAGCAGTTTCTGCTAATGTATCGAAAAGGAGCATCGAAGCACCATCATCCGATACATAGCAGCTGACCTTGTTGACAGGATAATCAACAGCCAAGATGGAAAGCACTGTATTTGCAGTTATGATTGGTGGTTCCTTGAGAGGATCCACAGTGCTGACAAAAAAATCAACAGGAGCCAAACGGTTAGGCTCTCCCTCACGCTCAAACCTCATAGAAAGGCGATCAAGATAAGTTTCGCGCTCAATGGGGAACCATTTGGGAAATTGGTCAAGTATCCAAGAAAAGGCAAACCATATTTCACAAATAACAGATACTAGCCATAATGGGTAAGCATCCAAAGCTGGAGTTAAAACTCGAAAACGGAGAAAGAAGGCCAAAACAACAAGTCTAATCACAATGACAATGCGATATGGATTGATTTTACTAGAGGAAATAGGGATTTTTCGCCATAGAGGTTGTCTAGCTTCAGCCATACTGCATAAAGAAGAATTTATTAGTAGCATGGAGTCAAGCATTCAAAGGAGAGATCACTTTAACCACGCAAAAAACACTTACAGATACTCATCTTCTTCTCCTCCGTCATCTTTGTTTACTAAACCTCTCTTTTCTTGCCGGACTTTCCATTTCTCCACTCTTTCCTTCCATTCTGCATTACTATACATCTCTCTTTCTGCCTCAATATCCTTACCTGCCACTACAAGAAATCTCAGAGATTAAAATTGTTTATTCCAAATGTAAAATTCTCAATTAGTTCATTATCATTCTTCTTACCACTTCCTGCATAAGAAAATGAAGTATGCAATTGCTTTTGATTATAGTCCCCATTTTCCTGCAAAATTCACCACTCCGGCCATTAGAGATTGATCTTTCCTATTCTTTTATAAGAGGACTAGTAATATTCTTCTCCCCGTCAAATCTTCTTGTTACTAAACCTCTCGTTTTTCTTCGCCGACTTTCCATTTCGCCACTCTTTCCTTCCATTTCTGCATTACTATACATCTCTGCTTTCTTGCCTCAGAATATCCTTACCTGGCCACTTTACAAAGAAAACGAATCTCAGAGATTAAAATGTTTATCTCCAAATGTTAAAAATTTTCTCAAGTTTAGTTCATTATCATCTCTTTCTTACCACTTTCCTGCATAAGAAAAATTGAAGGTATATGGCGAATTGCCTTTGATTATTAGTCCCCATTTTGCCTGCAAAAAAAAATTCACCACTCCGGCCATTAGAGATTGATCTTTTCCTATTCTTTTAATATAAGAGGACTCAGTAATTAGTACTATATACATCATAGAGTATAATATATAGTATATATATCATATTAAGAAATGATCAACCAAGTAATTATCATAAAATTAATCCGCTACCGATTGGAGCCAAAGACATGTTTTGCTGATTCTGCGGTCGTCAATGGGTGCTGCCTTTAATCTGAAATTCATTTCATCCAACAAATTCATCTGCTTCGATATTCTCATTCATCCATGCATTCTCCAGCAAACTCTAGGACAACCATGCACCAATAGAAAAAAACCTTAGTCTAATAACTTAATATTCGTCACATGTAGATACATAAAAAAGAAACTCAAAATCTGCAGTCAGTTACAAATAGGCTTCAAAAGAAAGAACGCATATATTAGTTTAAAAATTAAAATATATATAAGAAATGATCAACCAAGTAATTCATAATTAATCCTACTACCGATTGAGCAAAGACATTTTTGCTATCTGGGTCGTCATGGTGCTGCTTAATCTGAAATTCATCATCAAAATCATCTGCTTCGATATCATCATCATCATCTCCAGCAACTCTAGGACAACCTGCACCAATAGAAACCTTAGTTAATAATTAATATCGTCACATGTAATAATAAAAGAAACTCAAAATGCAGTTACAATAGGTTCAAAAGAAGCAATATATTAGTAAAATTAAAACCTTTATGACGCTTATAGCGAGTGTTGCACTGAGGACAACACTGGTTCCCTTCACTTCTCTCATACTCATAACAAGGCCTACAAACAGGAAACTCGCAAACATGACAAGCAAGAAACACCTGTCCATCTTCCTTGACTCCAATCTCATCCCCACAAACTCTGCATACTTTCGACGTTGCAGACTGGCGAGTTGCCGGCCGGTGCTGCTAACACATTACACCATTCAATGAAAATATTCATTTTGCATATTACTATGAAAGAATTAAGTCAAAGAAAGTCAATTAGTACCTCTTCGTAGTCCTGTAAAGGATGTGAACCGCCGGTGGCGAGGCCAGCCATGGTGAATGAGCTAGACCACACAGCAAGCAAAAAGAAAGTAAACAAGGAAAGAAGATGGTGAGAGGAGAGAAGAGGATAGATGGGTTATTAAAAGAATGGTCGAGGAGGGAGTAAAAGATAATCATTGTTAATGTGTGTAGTATTGTGTACCAAACTATAAGATGAGAAGTCATGGTTTTGAGTCCAAGAGACGTTAACTACTTACTGGTTGTGGGGAGCCATAGGTAGGAGAAGGAAAAAGAGAGATTGCTTCTTCTGGTTTGAGCTGCCATTGGCTTACTTAGACTCAAAGGCGCTGAGAAGCTGACACTAACCTCTCAGTTACCTAACAATGCATCAATACAAAGAACGTACAGGTTTCCTGCATGTGTGGCGTACCCCATTACTCCTTAAAATTAAATACCGTCAAAAAATTTATATCTATATCTATATATATATATATATTTAGTTGATCTTCTATTAATAAATAATTTAGGTGTCTTTTTCATTAAAAAAATATTTAATGTTGACTGATTTTTCTGAATATTGCAACCAGTAGAAAATTCAGAAGGAAATATTTGTCAGAATTTGAGAGTAAAGTGTAAAAAAATGGATTTGCATATAAAAAAATTAGTACTCTCTAGTGTGTAAATATATATGTTATTTGTATGATTTGTTTGTAACTGGTAGTAAACAATTTTCTTGTTAAAGTTAGAGACATGTAGTAAAAGAAGAAAAGGAAAGAAAGAGGGCAAAATGCAGATGCGTTGGGTATTGGAATTATTTGGTCAAGTGATTTTGATTACAAATTTACATGTCAAATTATATACCCCAATTGATTTGTTAATTGTAGTTTCTACCCCTCTTTAGGTCTCCCTGGATTTTGATACCCCAATTGACTCTTCATCTCTCTGGCTAGCTAAGAAAAATCTCAAAATATTCAAAAATAATAATTAATATATATATAAAAAAAAAATAGGAACATTAATTGACATCATTACATGAAAACCTGCCAAACCAAACAATGTATTATCCTCATTCTTCCTAATTTTATTACTTTTTTTTCACTGAATTTTTATATATATGCTTATGTCTGAAGATCAAGTAATGCCTGAAGATCAAGTGATGCCTGATTAAGACATTTAAATATCATCATCATGACTTTAAATGTAGGGAACCCCTTTTGCAAAGAGCATAATTCTCAGGCCTCTATATTGTTTGAATGCCATATATAAAGAAAGATCAGTACATAACCTGACAGCCTAAGTTTCCGAAGTGTAATGCTTTTCCAATGCCAGAAGTAACAAATACAGACTTATATTAGAATTGTTTACACAAATAATTTATATCGCTAACCAGAATTATGTTTCAACACATTCACTGAGCCATCAAAAGCTTATTATGGCTGCATATCCAAACCCGCGATTTTTCCTTCTCAATCTGTGCTTCTGCAACATCTCTACCAAAACAAAATGTCAACTGGAGACAAAATGTGATTTCAATAAATTTAGCTGGAACGAACTAATCTCGATTCCTGATGAAGCAATATTGCACATAGCTTAACATTTGCAGACATTGGAGAAAGACCAACTCGTTCATAGGATAATCAATGAGCTCAGCACATCAATTTTATACTCTCCTTTGGTCTAACTTGATCTAGAAGTACAAATCAGGAGGCTGAAAACTATTATGATCAAAACTTTTTCTTATACATCTGATACCCGGTTTTTATCTAGTAAATAGAGTGCATAGCAAATTCCAAGCTAGGACATCATAAAGACAGAAGCCGGAGGGATCTCAAAGTTCTGGACCTCTATTTATATGTCATCTGTGTTTTTTCCGACCGACGATTATAAATTATGCCCAAATCAGTGTCACCTTGTCAGTGCAAATGCTGATGGCTTAAGCATCTATTCTTGGACGTTTGGCAGATTGTGAAATTGACTTGCCATTATCTGGCTCAGGATTCTCAGAAGCTTCAATTTGAGGAGCCTTTTGCTTCCCACTTGGATCCCGTGATCTTTCTTCCAAAGTAGACTTGTCAATAACCGTCTCAGTGTTTGTCTTGCCGTGGTCCAACTGGGAGGCTCCCATTTCATTTTTGGTAGGGGAGTCACAGATTGTATCTGAAGATAGAGCAGAGGGGTTTTCCAAAGTGGATGGTGATGCCTTCAACTTGTCAGTGCCTGACTTGCATTGCTTCTCAAACATCATTTGGAGGTACCTCCCTTGTTCTTCTATTCGTAACTGTAAATTTCGTTGAATCTGCCAAAAGAATAATCAGCATCAAACTGCAAATCAAAAATGCAACTTGAAATGCTTTTTAAAGTATATGTATGCACGCAGCAAGGCCCATATCTACTATTATTCATGACTGATTTTATATATGCTCTAAGGCTTAACTTTATCTATTGTCATTGAATGCATCAATAGATTTCAATAAGAAATCACTAATTTTCAATTTCTGACATGATATCAAAATATGCTGCTATGATTTATATTTTAATGAAGTATGATATTACTGGGTTTCAATAAAAATTCCAGAGTTCTAACGAAACAATTAAGTAATATTATTTTAATTTAACTCTGCCACCACAAGCTTTCTTTTTTCTCTTTGGTCACCTCAACAAATATTCGACCAAGAATCTGCATAAATCTGGCTATAAGACGTTAATAAACACAAACTGTTGAGTTATTTTTTTCTGAAAAATCAAAATTATGTAACCATATTAAAATCTGGCAATGAATTCAGGAACTATGGTTGAAACTATTTCTACACTCAATGCACCAAACCTGTACTTGTGTGGTGGGTGCATTCTGTAAGCACGAATTCACTACATAGCCTTTACATGTGTTAATTTTAGGCCAGTGATTGTTTCATAAACTCTAAATCCTAAAACATAGTTCTCCAAGAACAAAATTTGTTGGCTTAAAATTATTAGGTACTTCATAACAGAATATAAAGTAAAGGCACATATATTGTTCTAATCAACAGCCTGGCAAACTAATATTTCAGACATTCATTAAGTTACCCCAAAAAGAAAAAAATTGAAAGGCCCCCTCCATTTTCAGAAGTTCAGTTCCTCATTCATTTCGGTCTTATCTTTTCCAGAATTGATGGTGCTGCTTTTTGCCATCCCGATGGTTTATAGAAGAATAAACAATCTTCCAAGTTTGTTCAACAGCACCCCTAGAGGTCAAATGATTTTCTTATGTCAGGATTAGCCATGTTCCAAATCCAAATGGTAGCAGAGTAGCAGATCAAAAGGATAATAAGGATTTTACTAGAATCCCCACAACTATACTGTGCCATGAACATTAACTCTGTGCATTTTATGCAGCAACTATGAATTTAAGGCCTCTAAAAGGGCATGAAACCTGATTCTTAAGGTACAAAGTCAAAACTACCAACCAAATCTAAACATAGTTCCCATTTTCAGAAATTTTATACCTCAAGCTGTTCATGCAGCCGCTTCTGAACTTCCATCTGTAATCTTAGAGCTTCAGTAATTTCAATACCCCTGTTTTGAAAAATAAAATAGAGAAATTACACATGTAGCTGGATTATTCAACATGCAATTGGAACACAACATTGCAAAAAACTTCATGCACAAACTATTTGAATATGTGGCACTCTTTTGGATAATAATTCTTGTATCTTTAGCAATTGTTTGATTATTGATTCCAACCACATTGCTCTTGTTTACATCAGCTAGCAAACAAGTAGACGTATTTTGTTCTTCTAACAACCTAAAAACAGTAACTGTCTATTTGACCCACCTCAAACACAATTAAGTACTAGTGCCTAGTGGTAGCTAAAACCTTAGTTGAATTCCTTAGTGGAGGTTAAAAAGAAGCCTGCCTCAAACAGCTGTCACGTTAAACAATTTTCAATTGCATGAACTCCCTAAATTTAATTTTGAACAAAATCTGGGCCTATCACAATTCCCCATGATCCATAGCATTAAAATTATCTCAAAAGAAAAAAGATAATGTTGACAAAAGCCCTTTCACAGCCAACTGTGTCTCCCAATTATGGTAGCAAAGGGTCAAAAAAAAGAGGACATATTTGGAGGCTTGAGTAAACAACTTCCAATTGTTAGAAAACCCAGAGGTTGTAAACAAGTCTCCAAACAAACTAAGTATCCCATCCCTCCAAGCCAAACAAGAAATGGAATATTGAAAATTTTGAATTAGGGGTGCAAACGCGCCGAGCCGGCTTGCGAGCTATTCAAGCTCAGCTCGAAAGAAGTTCGAAAAAGTTTGGTTCAAATCGAGCTTGAGCCTAATGTTGTTCAGCTCGACATCTCGTCAAGCTTTAGCACATGTATATAATATTTATTTTAAACTTATTCCAACCTAGAGCTAAGCTCAAGCTCAAAATTTTTCGAGTTGAACTCGAGCATCAAGTGAAGTTCGAGCCTAAAATTTTCAGGCTCTTTGAGTTTACACCCCTTATTTTCAATACATGCAACTATTAGTGATTGATTCACTTACGTTTTCAAGTCAAGAGAGGATATTTCTTCCAAAGGAGTCAATTTTTTCTCTGAGGATCCTGCAAGAGACGGAACATCTCATCACAAGAAATAAATATAAATGATGTTTCCTTACACATGTTATGGTCCATATGCAATAAAGAAGTAAAGAAATCTACAACAGCTACAAACAGAATCAGCATCAGGCATAAAACTAAGGGGGCTATATTGCAGACAAGGAATTCAAGATAGGTGAAAAGCGGGTTCAGGTGAGATTGGGATAGGATGTAGGTGCATGTATCAGACTGTTTGGATTGCTTTAAACACAAGCATCGCACTTTTCCAAATCTCAGTTCAAAAATTTTGGTTAATGTTTTATTTGTTTCTGTTCTTCACCCATTGTCCTTCAGCTATCTAGCAAGGCTTGATTCTTCACTTCTCCAGTTAGGTCTCTCAGAAATGATTGCTGAATTGAGCTCTCTGGTTGACTATTGCAATTTGCTGAAAGATCATAGAGAACCTGTGTTTGGAACTTCCTACATGATTGCCTCCACTATTGTGTTGAAAAGAGATGCCATTTTTTCAGTGGATTGTGCAGAAATATAAGCAGCCTCTGAAGAAGATAACAGGTGATCAAAAGTTTTCCCTCTCTTTCGCAGCATGTACTGGAGAGATAGGTACAGTTTCCCTTCATCTTGTTTTATCAGTCCTCAATTGTTCAAACAGGAACCTCGAGTATATTGACAATATAGAGGAGCTTTTGTTTGTTTTTATTGTACACCAATGATATTATTTAAAATTACTTTGTCACTATGCATCTATAAACATTTTCCTAGGAACAAGAAACAGAAACAAGATTTTGGGCCCAAAGATGCAGCACAGTCAAATAAAAAAAGCTTACTTTCAATAACGTGGTAGACTGCATGCCAACAAAATATTAATGATGTTAGTGATGTGAATTTTATTTTTCATGCTAATTAAATTTGTGATAATCAATGTCATAGTCCAATAGAGCATATTTTAACTTTTAAGACCTAAGGCTTATGCTTATGAATGATGTCACAAAAAAAAACAGGAACAAAACAGCACCCACCCCTACTCCCAAGCCCCAAATGAAACACAGGCACACAACATCTTAAAATCGTTGAAAATTCTGAAGAAGTAAATAACAGGAAAAATGAAAAATGGTTGTTATTTTTAATAATTATAAATACCTTCTGATGAGTCTGGTCTATATCTAGCTGTCCTGTATTTCTGAAATACAAAAAAAGAAAAATTTTCCCTTAGGAGTTCAGGAAAAAGAAAAAATCTACTAAACCCACTCAGAGATACAGAAGCAAATGCAGTTTATGCAGCCAACAAGCCTTGTGCAAACGGAGAGAAAACATACATACCTGTAAGTGGCTTTTGACATGATAGATTGTCAAACTGTCCACTTTCATGAGCTTAAGCACACCTTTTGGAGTAGCTCCTGCACATTAAAAAGGGAAAAAAATCAATTGAAGCAGAAACCTTATGACTTTATCATACAATACAGCAGGAGAGTCACGCACTTTCACTACCACCAAGCTGGTTGACGGCCTCCACAAAGGCGTCATGAAGTTCTGGTGTCCAACGCATGCGTGGCTTAGATGGAGCACTATTTGCTGAGGAAGTAGGAGTAAGAACAGGACGAATTTCTGCAGATGGGGCAGGAAGCTGTTGACACACTTGGGCCTGGTGTGATGAAATATTTGAAGATGGTTTTGATACCTGATATGCCATCTGAAGCAACAAGATGAGAACAGGAAATCACATAAAGCACAAAAAGATTTTGCTTAATTGCCATTTGTTCTGAGAAGAAACCAACCTTTGGGTCAATTTCTGCAATATTGGTATCAACCAGAAGCTCATTCCAATTAGGTGTCAAAGCGTCATCAACAGTGATTAGCTGGTCTGCCCATTCCTGCCAATCATTTCGTTTACTAAATTCCTCAGATGCAATGACGCCACTACAACTGTTGCTTTCCATTTGATTATTTTCAACAGGGGTGTTTACAGGAAAATCAAGAAAGCCTGGCAGTGATTCTGAACACCAGGAACCACTGGCTTCTTGGACATAATGACTTGTTGAGGTAGATCGAAGCAATCCCGAATGCAAAGATTGTGGCATTGTCAAAGCTGTAATATTTTTTGATGATTGAGAAATGAAAGGACTATTCCTAGAATGTTTCTCTTGGGGTGAAACAGAAGAGTACTGAAGGTCAGATGAGAAGCCTGCAGATGATGAAAATAGATGACCAACTGCTCCACTGTTAGAGGGTAATTGACTTGAATGGACAAGAGGCTTTGTCTTAAGTCCACCTTCCATGGAAACCTGTTGCGAGTCCGACAACTTGGGATAAGCCTCTTCTAGTGAAGAGACAGGCAAGGATGAAGACAATGCCCCAGGAACCACAAGGTTATTAAGCTGTCTTGCAACTGATCTCTGAATAGACAAAGTAGGGCGTGCCTCCATTATTTGTCCTTAAATAAGCATAAGGCATCCATTATTTATGAAACTGATAATAACTTCCTATTGTTAAATACCACCAAGTAATACCTTCTGACAGCACCCTTCTCAATGGTTCACAATATCATCTCACAAAAGGTCATCAACTTACACATCTGGCCACAGGAAGAAACAAATTAATACACGATACCATCAAAAGGGAATGCATTTCCTGCTTTCAAGTATATCACTTTTTAATCTTCATTGATGAAACTATTTAAGCAAATATATCATCTAGCAAAGATAACATTAACATATCTAACTCCAAGAAATTCGTGGGGGACGCTAAAAGAGTAAGCATGAGATCTATTATTCCATGAATCAAATTTTCTTTTCTTTTTGAACATTTAATTACTTCTATCATACTCAAATTACTATAATTATTAAAATAAAATTATCCTCATGTTGCCCCTTCCCCAGTAAGGAGCATCATCCTAGTAGCGAAATATTACTAATGAAAGTGAATGGCTCCTTTAAGTTCAAGCTTCTTTTTGTCCATTGAACTTATAACCAATCCACCATGATAGGCAAATTGAATAAAACATAGAATTTTTTGAATGACTATAAACATGATGTCAAGATCCAATTCCAGAATGTACTGTTTCCCAAAACCAACAAGCAGGCCACTCAGCCCCCTCCAACAAGTTGCCTAGCAACACAAAAACCTCAGTAAGCTAAAAGCCATGTATCGTTACTTCCATGCATAATCAACCAAGCTTTTCCATTAAGAATCTATCAGTGCCCCTTTCAGTATGACACTTTAAACACAGATAAACCGGCTTCAAGATCAGAGAATCCCAACTATTTGAAGTTCAACAAATACATTTCCTCACCATCCATCCAGCCTTGTCCAGATTGCCCGTGACTTAAATGCTGTATATGGGGCCCACAAAGCCAATTTATTTTCAACATTACACTCTGTATAGCATCAGACTCCGAATATACCTCATACCCAGAAACGAATTCTTGAACCATAGTAAGCAAGCTCCAAAAAACCAAACAATGAACCCAAGACGAGAAAATCATGGAAATGGAACCATGCACCCCACCATGCAATAGACATCCCATGTTAAAAAATCCAGCTATGCATAAGAATAAAAAATAACCTATAGCAAACACTTCATACAATCAACAGACCAAAGAATTGACGATACATAGAAAAAGAGAGATAATCAGATAACCCAATTCAATCAGGACCAAAGAAAGATTGAAAAAGCATTAGACTTTAAGCCAAAACCCAACGGGTATTCGAATAAACGCAATAAAATCCAAAATTCTATCAGAATAAACACAACACTATCAATTGAGCATATAAAGTCTTACCAAAAACTTGTTAGAGATAACAGAAAATCGAAATCCAGGAGACAGAAAATCGAGTTTTGATGAAGAGACCAGAGACGACAGAAACAATTGTCTAGAGAGACAGGCGGGTCGTTCTTAAATTCCGACACCGGCGTGCCAAAGAAGTGAACGGTGAGCAGTGTGGCTTTGCCCTCTCCATTGGCCCCTCTTTTGGCCTTCTCGGTCCTAATAAGGAACAGTGAACATCCACGCGCTACTTAAGCGCGTGTAGGCCAAAGTATGAATAGTGAGTGTGGGTACAGGTTTATGATTGGTGGATGGTGAAATATCTAATGGGTTGCACGTGGGATTAGAGTCTGCCATCTGATTAGAGTTCTGTTCTTTCAGTTCGCCGAGAGGCCATGGATGATGGAGGGAAGAGCACCATAAAACCTTGTTTTTTTTATTCCTTTTTTTAATTAAAAAAAAAATATAACGCTTTATTTATAAAAATAATGGGGAATCTCTTAGGTCTATCAGTGCTCACACGCTTAACTTATATCCATGGAAATGAGTGGACATGTGTCTATAAATGGGCCAAAATCTAAAAATATACATTTATTCATGTATTTTTTTCGGAAATTTTATATATCACTTTTAATTTTTAATTTGATACTACATTTTAATTCTTAAAATTATTTTATTAAACATTTCAATTTTTAAAATTATATTGGTTAAATATTTATTGACTTTTTAAAATTATAATAATCATACATTAAATCAATAATTTGTAATAAAAATTTCACACTCTACAATTATTGTTATTAATATGAGAATATATGTAATATTATTACAATTTATAGCATAATATTTACAATACTATAAGATTTTTCATAAAAGTATAAAAGTAAATTTATATAAGTCGTCTCTATAAATGTTTAAAGTTATTCTCTCGGTACCTAAATTATAACCTCAAAATTTTTTTTGCACAATTTAAAATAGTTTGGCTATAAATTTATAAATTTTTTTATTTTTTCTTATATACCTTTAAATATCCTAAAGATATATTAATAGTTCCTTAAAACTTTCAAAATACGAGAATAGTTAGTCTATAAAAATTTCAAAATTAATTATTATTTCAAGATTTTTTTATTATTCAGTAAATTCAATTAGTATTAATTAATTACACAGGTTATTATATAAAAAGCATTATAGGAAAGTGGACAAAATTTAAAAATATAAACTAAAATTCGGTTTTCTATTACAAGTTAAAAATTTAAACATAATAAAACACGTTACACAAATTTGAAAATAACGGGTAACATTATAATCCAAAATGAGAACTTGGCCTTTCTCTTTAATGAGTTTATTGCTCATCATATAATTGTTGAGTTTGATTTTTGATTCATTGAAAGTTTCGATGGGTTGATATACCACTGCGAGTTACAAAACAAGAGGTAACTCTCTTTCTGGACTCACTAAATTGATGAAAACACTTGTGGTCCAGAGGACTCGAATTCGATATTTCTCACTCTTCACATAAGTGAAAAAACTAATCATACCATGTATGATTGACCATTGAGCTTTTATCAAACTCTATACCAATATCTTTTGTAAAAGAAAAATGATATACCTCAATGGAATGGATAATGTTTTACTTTTGAGTTGTGTCAACATCCTTCCCTATCAAATATCACCTTATTTTGCCAGTGAAGGTGCATTTTTTTGGTACCCACTACCCTATATTTTGAGGATATCAAATCTGCTTTATTGTCCCTAGAATCAATTCCCAATAATCTTAATCCCATTCGATAATTTAGATTTTAAAATGTTTATTTGAATTTGATTTTCACTCAATTTTTTTTATTATTTTTCATTTAAAATGTAAAATTTAAACTCTTCATCATTTAAATTATATTTGTTTTTACACTTTTTCGAATGAACTCCTTTGAGATACGGAGAAGTATTTATTTGGATTCATAGCATGAAGAAACCAACTAAAAACACGTTGGTATGGTAATAAACGTTTTGATCCCGTAATAATAATTACGTAAATTCACATTAATTAAGAAATCAACTTAAATTTTAGTTTTAAGTAGGTTTTTTTTTAATTTAATTTAGAAAAATATAAAAGAATTTGTATTTATTGAAATTTGAATACTCATATCACATTTTCTTACACAAAATATTTAATCACTGTATAGAAATCAACTAAACAGAAACATCCAACCATAACAACAATGATCAATTCTTATTTAATAAGCATTTAATTATAGATCTAGCTAGCTAGGGTACTCAAATAAATAAAATACAAATTAATAACCTAATTAATCAAAACTTAATTTTAAGCAATGTAATACATGGAATTTGGCAACTTGAATGTTCTTTTTGCATAAGGAAGACATTCAAGACTGCTCCACTGAGCTCCTATGACTGCCCATAGCAGATACCTTTCATCCATCAATTCTTTTCTTGCTTGAGATTGGTATTCTTGAACCTTCATGGACTGATCTTCAAGACCCCTTTATTTTTTACATTAAGAAGCCAAAGAATTTAGAAATAAATTGAATATATTTTTTGGTTGCTTTTATAATGTAAAAAATTCTTGAAAAAACATCTCAGTTAAAACTTGAAATTTCCATAAAAAAGTTTTAAGTTCAAATCACGATCAAGAAAAATTCGACTCGACATAATTACTTTACTTTTCATCGAAAACCAGCTATTAGTGACTGTAATATTAAACATGCTCTCGGTATCTAAGAATGATATAAAATAGAGGATTAAAATTATATAAATATTAATAATGGTGAGCAATCAAGATACCTTAATAAGAGCCTGGACCATCCATGATAGCCAACATTGATGAGATTATCAACGGTAGCAGATCTTAGGGTTTCACTTCTTGAGGAGACGATGAAGATTTTTATTCCTTTGTCTTTCAGCTCATCGAAGAGCTTGAGGCTCTGCTCTAAAGCTGGTGCCTTTGCTTCTTTCATCCATTCTTCCAATAAAGTTTTATCCAATTTCTCTCCTCCTTTTTTTTATTTCCATCACATTCCAAAAAGATTTCATCAATCACATATTAACATAGGAAAGTTTTTAAAAAAATTAAAAATTTAGTAGAAACTTTAACTCGGGATGACCATGGTTCGGTTTTAAACCGAAACTGAACCAATCAAAACCAGTATTAAACCTTAATAAACGGTTCTGGTTTCAAACCGTAACTGAAACTGTGCACTTAAGTTTCAATTTCGATTCTTCATTTTTTGAAACTGAAATCGATGATTTTAGTTTGAAACCGTAAAAAACATGTTCCTAAAAAACATTCAATTTATTTTTTTGTTTTATTATAATTTTTTAAAGCAACTTTTAATAATTGTTATTAAAGTGATTTAGTTTTCTTGGATAGTATTATTTATTATTGTTATTATTATTATTATTTGTTCAAGCTATAAATCTAAAAATGCATTTTAAAAGTTTAAAATATATTATTTAATTTTGGTTTAAAAACGGAATAAAACTGAAATCGACGGTTCCAATCCGCAGCTGCCACTTGCCCAATGAAGAGGCTTCCCAAAGTTGCTATAACCATTAACTTTCTTCCCATTTTTGCACAAACAAAACAATTTTCTTAAGTGATGAAATTCCAAAACTATTTTCAAGAATAAAAAGGATATGATGATGTAAACATAACAAATCATTAGTCATTTTAGACAGATTCAATGCAATCTCATAACAAATCATTAAAAAAAAAAAAAAGAATTTGAATCCATCAAACCTTACATGAATTGACGGATTCAAACTTAAGAATAAAAAAGAAATGGAAATATAATATAAAAATGTTACATCTTTTTATTAATTTATATTAAATAATATTGATAATGTATATTTTTATGTGCAATTACTAAAATTTAACACAAAATTTTTATGTATTTGAAAAAAATTAAAAACATTTCTTTTTTTGTTTAGGCAAGCTTGAATGTGACATTCAATATAGATTTTGGGCAAAAATCAGATTAATTTTTATCTATTAACAAACAAACATGACTGCACATCAAGCCATATTCTAGTGATACGTGTATATACGGTCTGATAATAGTCCCCAATAATCAAAAAATAAACAAACATGACTGACTTAATTTTAAATTTTTTTATACTCGGAAGCAAAGGGCTAGTTCGAAAGAGATTACATTGCGAAGAATCAACCCCACAAAGCAAAGGGCTAGTTTGAAAGAGATTACATTGCGAAGAATTAACCCCACAAGTACTTCTTTGTCGCTACCCATTCGAGTTAATTTAAATTTGAATTTAGTGTTCACTTTTATATATGAATTGATTAGTAACATAAATGGAATGATTTAAGGGACTGAAATGGATAATTTTTAAACTTTAGTAATACTTTTTTGAAATTTGAAATAATAATTTATATAAACAATAATTATCTCAAAATTTTCTTAATTAAGGTACTTAATCACTGTATACAAAATAACTAAAAAGAGAAAAAAAAAATAGCAACCACAAAAATTATTATTTAATATGGATTTAGTGTTGGAGGATACTCAATAAATATAACATAAATTAATAACTTAATTTAATAAAAATTATTAAGGAATATAATACATGGAATTTGGCAATTTGAATGTTCTTTTTGCATAAGGTAGACCTTCAAGACTACTCCATTGATCTCCTATGATTCCCCAAATGCGATACCCTTCATCCATCAATTTCTTTCTTGCTTGGGATTTGTATTCTTGCACTTTCATGGTTTCATCTTCAAGACCCCTTTATTTTTTAAATTAAAAAAACAAAAAGATTAATATACTTAAAAATAAAAATAAATTATATACTTAAAACAAATAAATAAATAAATAAATATAAATTAATCTCATACCTTAATAAGAGACTAGACCATCCATGATAGCCAACATTGATGAGATTATCAACGGTAGAAGATCTTAGGGTTTCACTTCTTGAAGAGACAACGAAGATTTTGATTCCTGTGTCTTTCATCTCATGGAAGAGCTTTAGGGTTTGCTCTAAAGCTGGTGCTTTTGTTTCTTTCATCCAACCTTCCAATAATGTTTTATTCAACTTCTCTCCCCTATTAAAATCCAATTGATCTCATTAATCACATATTAATTTCAATTGAATTAAGTAGTTAATTAAACATTCAAATGCTCTAACATAGAAATTTTTTTAAAAATTAAGAATTTAATTATATTACATGATAGGTAATCATTAAAGAAACATAAAATGGAAAAGAAAAAATAATAATAACTTACCCAAAATTATGTTTCTTGTAGAAAGGTATGGTAGACAAAAGAGTATCATCAACATCAAAAATCCAAGCATCTTTACCATCACCTTCCAAAGTACAACAACTACAGCTACTGAGATAGAGCTTGACCTCTTCAATGGCTCTTTCTATGTCTGCCTCATATTGAGAAGATGTCATATAGTGTTTGATATAAGCTATACACTCTTGAGGCACAACCTCAAAACCTCTAATGTTGCTTACTTCAACATTAATTCTCCAACTCTCACAATAATTCTTCAAATTATTAGATTCAATCCCATAGTTTCTCCTTTTCAGGTTCAAAATGTTCCAATCTGCAGCTGCCACTAGCCCAGTGAAGAGGCTTGCCAATGCTAGTGTGAACACACACTTTCTTCCCATTTTTTGCAGAAACGAGAGAGACAGAGAGAGAGAAGGAGAATGATGTTTGTTTTTGAAGATGGGAATTTAAATCCAAGAAGATGAAGGAGGTCACATGGGAATGTGGGGCATATGGGACATGTTCTTGCTTTGAAATTCATAAATTTTGTAATTTAAAAAGTTGTTTGATTGTAAATAATTTTGATCGATTGATTGATATAAGGACAATTTGCCTTATCATTATTACTAGACACATATGTTTCACAGCTAATGTAGTGTGATTGCAGAGATTTATGTTTCCTTAAAAAAAATTTAAGCTTGGTAATGCGTTGATTAAGCAAAATTTTGTCCACAACTGCTGCCACTGAATACGGATTTCTTTTTGTTTAAAGTTTTTATTTTGGTGCTTTTTTGGTTGAAATTTTTGTTTGATATTGAAGAATGAATATGAAAAGGAAGCAATGTTTTATTCCGCTTCACGTGCTGAAATAATTCAGTTCTATACAATCGGGTATCATTCCTCTTAATTCACTAAATTGATGAAAACTCTTGTGATTGAAATGACTCAAATTCAAAATTTCTCATTCTTCGCACTAGTGGGAAGACCAACAAGAAAACACATCCGGTTAACAACTAGTTAAACTTTTCAACGGTTGAAATTACCTATATTAAATTCTTCAATTTCTAAAATTGCATTTATTAAATTTAATCTTTTATAATTTTCAAGGAATAAAGATCAATTTGATTCTTAAATTTGTTTAGCAGCATCAAAAAGATCAAACTTGGCTCTTTAACTTGTATAAAATGATTAAAAAGATTCGATTTCATTTTTTAGGCTAATTTAACCCTTTAACATGAGTAACTTTTTATTCTTTTTTGTCCTACACTAAGAACACTCAGATTAAATTTTTCCAACACTTATGAATATAAATTTAAAATTTATAAAAACATTATTTCTTTTAATATAATAAATTTATAAACATGCATTATAACTTTAATTTATTTAACATGTTAGGCTAATTTTAACCCTTTTACATGAGTAGAACTTTTTATTTCTTTTGGTCCTAACACTAAGAACACTGCAGAATTAAAATTTTCTCCACACTTATGAATATAAATTAAAAGTTATAAAAACATTAATTTCTTTTTAATAAAATAATTTTATAAACCATGCAATTATTAACTTTTAATTTATTTAAACATGAAAAATGCATAGGTTTTAAAGCGATAACTAATAATAGGGTTAATAATTAAAAATAATTCCAAATAATAATCATAGTTATAAGCTTCAACAAAGAGAAGATAACAATAAATACTTCATATATTAGTGAATATAAATTTAAAATTTATAAAAACATTATTTCTTTTAATATAATAAATTTATAAACATGCATTATAACTTTAATTTATTTAACATGAAAAATGCATAGGTTTTATAAGCGATAACCTAATAATAGAGGTTAATATTAAAATATTCAAATTAATACATATTTATAAGCTCAAAAAGAGAGATACAATATACTTCATATATAATTTTTCTATATTTTATAATTAATTAATTTTTTAATAGATTAGTCAGTTCGATCTCAACTACAGTTTTAACAAATGTCTATATAATAATTTTCACACTGTAAGTACAATGAATACTTAGAGATTAATTTGACTCAAAAAAAATGTAAAAAATATGATTTTTTTAATTATTTTAAATAAGTTCATGGGTTAAATTGGTTAAAAAATGAAATCAGTTCTTTTTAATTATTTTATACAAGTTTAAGAGTTAAATAGACTCAAAAGTCAAATTTTAACTTTTTAATCCTGCTAAACAAATTCATACACCAGAATTACTGAATATATTTTTAACAAGGGCGACAATTTATGCATTTTGACACAAATTGCTTCATTAATAATACAATTTTATAAATTAAATATTAAACAAATATAATTATAAAATTAAATATTTACGAAATGTATCTTTACAGATTAAAGAATTTAATAAGACAATATAAAGTTTACATTTACATTGAATTTACATATTTATCCAAACATAAATCATTCTTAACAACCAATCAAAGGTGTACATCACATGAAATGCAGCTGTCATTACAATTATTATTGTTGTTACATGTTTATTTTAAATATAAATAATAATAATCATATTGAGGTGTGTCCGTCATGTATCATTATTATTATTGCCCATGATTATTCTATTTTTGACCCAAAAAAAAAAAAAAAAAAAAAAAAAAAAAAAAAAAAAAAAAAATAAAAAAAGAAAAAAGAAAGAGCTAATGGAAATCTGCTTATGGTTTGTTTTTTGCAAGGCCTAATATTTTAGAGGTGTTCAAAAGTTGGACCTATCACTACTTATTCAACACGATGTGTACATCGGGAATCAATTTACAATTTTTTTCAAGTACTGGCACTGATGTTTTTTTAAGCAGGAAAATATTATATTATTTTATATGGGTCACCTTCTAAGGTTTCGACATAAATATCTAAGTAATTACGCGTCTGCCCAGATGTATGTTAATTTATAATTATATAAACTAGTGGTACCCTCCGCGCAGACATTTTAAACTCCGTTCTATTAGAAGAAGGTCCATTCGCAGAAAAATGTGGTTTTTTTGGCTGTTTAAATTGAATTTTAATATCTAAAAACACCCCTTCTCGTTCCAACTGACGTGGAACTCATAATGACCTTCCCAAGCGAGGGAAACGAAAAGCCAGACTCCACAAATGATGTGCCTTGCTATTGCTCGCACAAAACGATGGTATAGAGAAAGAAAACATTCCTACTGAAAAAAACGATCTCCTTCAATCTGCTCAGTAATCAGTTGTTGAAAATTTTACCAAGAAAAATAATGAGAATGTTTCCTTTTTGACACTGAACATCTGTAAAATGAGTGCTCGTAGCAAATGATATGGCTTCCGTGTTGGGCGTGGAATCTACACAAATCGTGAAAGCATTCGTTTTTGAAGGTAAAGACGAGTAAACCGAGACCCTATTTCAAGTTTTTACCTTAGAAAAAAATTGAATAATTCTGCGATAATTTTTCCCTGGAGATAGTTTATGATGATTAAATTTTGGTATATTATGAGAGGCCACCAAGCAATCAAATTTATAGTGTTCTTTATTTCTATAATGAGATGAATCGCAGTTTAGAGGTTTTGTTTGCAGACGTTAAATGCCTTAGTTTTTTAAAACACAGATTGTGGTTAAAATTAGGCAAAATGTAGGAAAAGCTTATTATGAATTTGGATGGCTTTGACCTGAAAGTTTACACTAAACTAATAATATGGGTCAATAAAGTAATGAAAGGGCGAATAAATTACTAGTGTAGTTTTAATAGTTAGGATTGCAAACAACGCTGATCACAAGAATGCACGCTCAAAGATCATGTCTTATTTTAACACAACGTATGCAAAAGTATACAAAACAAGAATAAAAGAATGAGGAAATGTGGAGATAATTTATACTAGTTACTGAAAATTATAAGAATAGAAAAAAATATGCATGACAGATGACTTTAATGTTTGAAAGGATTCATAGGACTACGATTCCTAAGCATTCTAATATTGAACTTAGGAGAGAATCTGTTATCTCAGGAAGCCTCTCAATTGGAATAGAATAACCGAAGTGGTTGTTAAACAAAATCACAAATGGTCCTCACATCAAGTCAGATAGCCAGAAAAGTATGAGATGGTATATGGGTTTAGGCTGATTTGACTGAAAATTTGGCAGCCTAATAGGGAAAGTTTCCAGGTAAATTGGTGTTGGGGAGGCAGAAAAGTAATAATTGGTTCACTAGACCTAAGAAATAAGTGGGGGATCTTGAGGATGATGATTCATTATTGAGACAAGAAATGTAGGTGGTGCGGAATTGTGAATTAAATACAGGGGTAATAAGAGGTAAGAGTACGGAGAATAAGGACGCGCAAAAAGGGGAGAGAGAAACTTGGTTTCCTGTATATGTGTTATTGAAGATTGTTGGGTGAAATAATTTTGATGTCTTGAGGCTTGATGAACTGACGCTAACTCACAGTCTATTGGTAAATGAGTTTATCGGTCTCGAGTAATGGGTGGAAGGGGGAAGAGGCGAAAGTAGATGACATGAGCAGAACCCAAAATCTTATATATTCAAAATGAAGGCAAAATGTGAATTATATAGGGATTCACCGAAATATGGTATAGAAATAGGGGTGAAAAAGAGACATCTGTTCGGCAAGTTTTGACACCCTATCCTTTACAAAGCTTTCAAGAAGCATAGGTACAATAAAGAAAACAACCAATCTCTAGAGGAGGGGAAGGAGGCGGAGAAAGAAAACACAACAGTAATAGCTTGTTGTTGATTAGCACAGTTCAGCAGGAAATATCGATGAATCTTTTACGCAGCTTTTTCGTTACTAAGAGAAATGTACAGTTACTGATCTCAGAAACACTTATAGAGCTAGAAGGAAACAGAGTACAGAAGTAAGGAGTATATGAGCACTTTGAGAGTTATATAAGTAATGTATGAGAGATGGTTCCGTCAGTGATGTATGATACTCTTAAACTTGAGACAAGTGAAAAGCAAAGGTCAGCCTGCAAACGTAATTGACATGGGAGGGATTTGATATGCTACCAAATAAGGAGTGAAAAAAACTATTAAAGAAAAACAGAGAGATCCCTTGAAGAAAATATATGACCAATATGTTTTGAAACACTTGGGGTAACCCACCAGTTTAAGGTTGATATTGAATTCAGAGTTGGGCCATAGCATTTCTTAAAGTGTGATATTGGTAGGGAAAGCCTTTAAGGGATTATTATCACTAGTTAGGAAGGGTTCATAGATGAAGGATGACAAAATGATAGTAAAAGAAGAAGTAACCAAACAAAAATAAGGGGGAAAGGGCCTGCACATTTAAGGTTTTCCATGGTAAGTAGTGGCTTCAGACTCAAATACTTTGTGGAAAAATAGCGTACAACCTGGCATACATGCATGAGGCCATTAAACAACAACAATCCAAATACAACAACAAAGTGGGTGAAGAAGAAACTGGAATCTCAATTGGCTGTTGATCCAGGAATGAGCTATGCTTTAATGCAAGCTGAGTTGAAGGAAAAATGGGGCATTGAGACTCAGTATTGGCAGCTTCATAAGGCAAAGACAGCTGCTAGAGAGCAAGTT